ACAAAACCTATTTATCTAAATGTTTTGAAGCTTATTGACGTAACACTAACGCACCTAGTTCCTACATAGGTAGTTTCTCGGTGAAAGCGGGGTGTTAAGATAATTTCGCGGTATTATAACATCATAATTTCACCATTTCCCTATGTCGTTGAACGTTTATGTGATCTGATCACGCAACTGTGAAAAAGGATCCGAGTTCGTTTAGTACCTGAATTAATAAATAAATATTCTTTATTTCAGAAAGCCAACTACAATTTGTCCGTCTCAATATACGAGTAATATAAAAGTACGCTGTTGTATTTTATTAAGTAGGTACAAAACAAAGCATTTTTTGAGACAGAGTGATCGACTGTGTATGTGCTAGTATAAACTGTGTTACAGACATAGGCTAATTTGAGCTAAGCGTTCTTTAAATTGTAAGTAATACTAAGTACCTACGGGGTCTGGCTACGGGGGCAGTTTCCTAGGTCAAAAATAAATTAATTCGACGTTTCAATACAATAAAATATTGAAAAATAACTATACTTTCATTCATCGGTCGATCGATACACTAAATTGTAGATATTTTTTTATCAATTTTTAAGAAATAAGTAAACTATTTGACGTAAAAAAACACTATTACGTCATACATAGCTCAGTATTTCATACTAATTTCATAGAAAAGTATCGTTTTTGACATTTGGATAAAAGTATTGAATTTTACGAGTTGGAAACTACCGTATTATACCTAATGTTTAGTGCTTTAAGACATAAGTCTATGATCATTGTGTGTTACCAGTTATGATCTATAGAAATGTCGCGTTGTCTCTTTCTGGCCTTATAAGAAATCAGAGGGTTACTGGAACACGCTATAGAACGGGCTATGCTTAGTTTTCCTTTGTGAGTACTCAGAAATAAGCAGATCCGCAATAGAACAAAATTTGCTGAACATAGCCCAATGGATTAGGAAGTTGAAGTGGCAGAGGTTACATAGCTCGGATAGCCTTCGGCTGCTGTGGCAGGAAGGTTCTCGAATGGAGATCACGTGCCGGCAAGAACAGAGCAGGACGTCCACCCACAAGGTGGACAACCTACTTAAAGGTGTAGGAAGCCGCTGGGTTCTGGATGCAGGTAGCTTCCAAAGGGCCTATTTCGAAATCACTGGGAATGTTAGCAGTAAATATCTTGAGACTGTTATGATGTATTGCAAAACTGGAAATACTCGTAGATCTTTCATAGAAGTTCCAGTAAAATAATGTGGCGAAAAATACTATTGTATAATCCCTACATCAGGCTCAAGAAACTTATAGATGTGGGTATCAATGAAATAAAACTCGAACACGGAATTGATTAATCTTGAACTTAACATACTACGGCGCTATTACGGAACCGGTTCTAAACATAAAAAATGGTAGTACATAGTTTCACTGCACTAATCGCCGCCCGGCCAGTAAACTAAAGTCGTTTTCGTGAACATTCCTTCTATTAATAAACAAACAATATTATTATCAGATTAATGGAAATTAAATATAGAACAGTCGTTTGGAAAATTTGGATCTAATGAACAATTATAAATTATTAATTATCGTTAACTTTAAAGCTGATTTTCATTTGTATTTTTTGTCAGAGTCGGCAAGTGTTGTATGGGTGACATCGACTCTTAGGGCCCAATGTCAAGTATAGCAATATTGTAGGTATCTAATTTTGCTTCCGGCTCCCAGGCCAGCTAACTTGCTGGACTAGGCTAGACTTCGATTGGATGTTTGTTTTAACCTTTCTTATGTACTGGGTTTTTCTTAAATTAGTTCATTTTTTCTCCTCAAACTAAAACTAGTCGTTTGACACCGGCTGTGCAGGTTAATTCTCACTCAGTTAGTAGTACTCCTTCAGTTATAATGTACCGCGATTTGTATGTAAGGAATGAGTCGATGGTTTTAAATGAATCTTGAAAAGTCAACCGCGGAATAGAACGCTTATTTCGTATTGTCATGACTATTTCAAAACTACCCTATTACCATTTTCTAGGAAAGTCAGAAACTGTTCTGTTATAATATATTAATCAGTTTTTCTTCGATAGAGAAAGTCACGGGCGAAAGAAGTATCAAACTCTTAATATCGCTAGCCCTTTTTCGCAGGGTGACGCAACTGCAGCGTATTTAAATGTTTATATGTTTGTGTCGTCGTTAGTTTTACTTGTTTGTTTTGTTGCTTTTGCGTCTTTTGCGTTAATAAATGGATTTTCGTTCTTTCTTCTTTCTTTTTTTACTGGCTAAAAACAACCCCGTTGCGTCTCCTGCTCCGGACCGAGCACATTATTGAGCTTGTACCTGCAACTCAGTTATGTAGGTAGTAATAGCCCCAGAAACAGAATAAAAAGGACCAATACGATGCCACCGTCCATGGGTTGCTTGTACTTGTACCTAGTACGATCTTGTTGTTACGTTCAAGTAACTTTAGTTTGAGAACCTTATTACCCTCATGCGCTCCGCTTCCTCCATTTCGAGCATCATTGCTCCGCAAAAAGAGGAGATGGCTTTCCAGTTCTTCTTGCTCCACATCATAGCCTCAACTAAGGCCGAGCGCGAGAGGTTGCCGTCGCCGATCACTTTTCTGAAGACACGGCGGTGCTTAGCCCAAGCAGAGATCACCACAATGTCCCCCGAATAAGAAGCGTACGTTGAACTTAATGACATTTTTTGTTCCAGTCCCTGAAATGGCGAGAGAAATGGGGTATCGACACCACTCTTCAAACTTGGGAGGCACCAGAGGTTTTAACCAAGCATTTCCCCAGCGGGTCTACCGGCTTTGACAAAGAAGGATCTCCGGGTAAGTCCAATATCTCGTATATATAGAGCTAGTAGATATGTCAACCGCGCGACGCTCGCCGCGTTGTAGGACTTGTAGGTATGTCGCTGAATATGAGTTAAATGAATAGATAAGTATTCGTTTTAATATACCAATCAATCGGCAAACTTCAAACTGCACGAATTACTCAGGCAAATTCAATAACAATTTCGATAATTATCTCTTTCCTAGTTCAAAGTTTGATCCAAATTATTGGTTCCTTCCAACGTATATTAAAATTAAAATATTCTAATCGCATGTGCAGACAATTACCTATTGACTGATGTTCCAGCTAACTTTTGTTTATCATTGACTGAACAATAAAAAGCCGAAGTAAAAAAACTATTGAATATTCATTCGAAATGGCCTAAGCGACCTCTAATAATAATTGTAGTTCATCAATTAAAGGAATATCGTTATTAATTTCTACTTCACAATCACACAAGCAATCACAATTTAATAGGTTTGTTAAACGATACAACATTCCCGGAATGTGTACTCCTTCCTCAATCATATCATCATCATCAGCCTATAAGTGCCCACTGCTGAGCCTAAGGCCTCTTCTCATACGAAGAAGGTTTGAGCATTCATCACCACGCTTGCTCAAGGCGGATTGGCGATTTCTAATTTATAGTTAGAAATAATTTCTAAATAGGTCCAGGTTTCGTTACGATGTTTTCATTTACTGTATCTCAGTGGCGTCTTAATAAACAGAAAGTACCGACTATATAACTCGGAAAAGGCACATTGTTACTTGCCAGGTTTCGATCCCGTAGGTACCTAAGGCAAGAGAAGCGGGCGCCTTAACCTCTGAGCCACCACAACCATCCTTCCTTAAGAGTGAAGACGTATTTGTTAATAACCGAATTTTGCCCAGTTGTAAAAATAAACGTTTGGCTAAAAGAATCTAATCTTTATATCTCTTTATATATAAAAATGGATCGCAAAATGTGTTGGTAAGCGCATAACTCAACAACTCCTGGACCAATTTTGCTAATTATTTTTTGTTGCGTTTGATATCGTCAGGAGAAGGTTGTTATAAAAAAAAATATTAGAAAAGTAGAGGGCAAGATTAGGAAAATGTGGCCCTTTAATAGCGAGATAGTTGGACCCGCTAGTATTTAATAACAACGTTTTACTAGGTTATATTCGTCGGACAAAATATATGCGTTCATTTACATAATGTTTATAAATAAGTTTGTATCTATGTTATTAGCTGTCTAGCAAAGATCATGGCTTTTATTCTTACAAGGGGAACTAGACCTCTTTAATAATGTAATTCTGTACTACAATCTATAAAGAGGAAAATGGCTGTTTGTTTGTATTGGATAGATCAGATAATTGAATAGGTACTACTTGACTGATTTGAAAAATTCTTTTAGGTGCTGTTGGGAGACTACACACTCTCCAGTAAATTAAGGCTATACTCAATTTTCCAAAGTGCTTCATTATGTTATGCATAAGCTTTAAATAAGAAGCAGGTCATCGAACATAATAAAAAAGCTATTGTTTAATACTTATAAACAAAGTTGTTCTTAAAACTATACTTAGATACTAGCTATATACCTATAGGCCCTTTTTAGAACTAAGTAAATCCATTTATCGAATTTTCTTTAATTAACTCCATTCTAATATCTCCACGCCACAAATGTTTATTTTATTCCCATGCGAAGTCGGGGCGGGCTACTAGTCCCATAATATTTTTTTTATTACAAACAAAGTTATTTAACAATACGATTCTCGTTTACCAATATCTTTTCGTTTTTACGAAGATCTCGGTAGCCGTTTGAGTAGTATTTGCATATTGTCTCTGTAGCGTAATACACACAATCACTTCGCGTAGCATGCGTCGCTTCGGTTGCGAAACATTTGGGTCAAAGTCACTGTCACTCAGAACCGGAGTTGCAAGACACACAAGTCATGAACTTCCCTCGGTTTCTTCATTCGACCTTGGCCATGAAACAAACGTTTGGGCAACAATATGTTAACATGATGCGGCGAATTTAAAACTACCATTTATTTTAAAATTAAGTAGGTACAGCGTAAGGTCGGTTTAAAATAGATTCTATTCTTTTTTGTGGAAAGATTTATGGTATGGCGCCATTTTTTTTAAATGTAGCAGCTGTACCTAATGTTTATTTCGGAGTAGTTATCATCTTTGTCCTGTGGATGTATTTACAACATTTAACTCAAAAGAAAAAGTTCCAAAAGTTCTTTCACTAATTCTAAAACGTGCAAACTCTGTGTGTACCTAAAACCCAAATATTCAGCACACGAATAGATAAAAATGTAACATAATAATTAATGTCCAACTGTATTTAAAAATTATCATATCATCAAGATTTCTACGTGAAAATAAACTTCGTAGTTTTTTCACAAAGAAAATGAAATACATATCTACATATATCTCTTACTAAAATCCCTAAGCCTTTGACTGCCGACAGAAAACTGTTGAAGGCAAATCCTCCGCTAACGGAGGTCACCGGTGACCCCCATGGCGCTTAACGTGCTAATCAAAATAAGTGTTCATTTGCCCAGGTAGAACTCATAAGAAATTCTTCAACTTAAATATGGAGTACCTACATGCAGGGAACCAGTTTTGCCGGCTGCTTAGCAGAGCCGCCTATTACTAAGCTAGTTATAACGCTGGTCCCGCTATTTCCCAGCACTCGTTTTGTAGTTACTCAAGAAGTAACTTGAAAGCGACTTATTTATCTACATTACACCGTTTGAATTTCGAAGCATCTGTCAAACTAATATATCTATATACTTAATTGGATTCGGTGTTTTCTCGTCGTTCATCGTCAGACAGCACTTGCCTATTTCATTATTGATATCTCACCACCATACTATGTTTTCTTCACATTTCACTTTCAATTTTAGGTTCTAAGTAAAAGTGCCAAGTCAAAAGACATGCATTGAAGCTTTGCATTACTTTTTTACGTATATGTTATTTAGCCCTAGCGAACGACGGCGTTCATTTGGATAACTACGATTGACAGGTTAAAATATCTCAATATTTAGCCAATTTATATTTTTTCATAATTTTATTTTCAGTAATCATCGTCCCGTTCGTGGGGTTAGACGTATGGGGTCTTCTACACTCCGTGACAAAGACTGACGTGATCCGAATGATTCTAAGACATCTGGAGAACTACCTCGCCAGCGCCAGGAAACAGGCTGCAGAACATGGACCAGCCGCGTTGAAGGTACGACAAATCGTTTTATAAATTAAATCAATTCGATTGCCATTCACTAAGGGTGATTTTAAAATCACTAAAATTTAATACAAATAGGTTTGTATCTATGTTTATTGTAAGTACCTACCTATAACCGACAGAGTCGGATTTCGGTCTTTTGGGGCCCCTGGGGCCCATTTTATTAATCTTAATAATGAAATTCCTATTCATTTTGTAAAGTAAAATTACCTTAAGGTTTAATTTTAATATAGTTTAATATTAATTACAAAAAATCTGAAAAGGAACACTCGCTTCAGAACGTTATCTTAGAAAATCAGCTAATGCTAGGTATGTAATTAGGAATGGAAATCATATAGATGGTGCATACTTAGATGCATTAGGTCAGAATCAGTATAATTACTAAGACTACGCGTTGCAAATTGAGGAAAACTGTTAAATAAGGAGCTCGTGCCCACCCATAGCATAGATAACCAGTTGGCAACAGCATTACCTACCTACTTTGTCTTCATACAAAAGCATTTATTACATAAGTCTGAATATGTACCTACGACTAAAAGTAATTCAGGCTCCTCTTTTTTTTTGTCAGTGGAATATCTTCATATGACTTCTCCCGCCAAGGGCAAGGCGAGAGAGAGTGGCAGACTCTTACTGTCTAAAAAAACCCCCTCTGTTCCTTCTCTTGCGTTAGGCCGTGGCCGCGGTGCCTCATTGCGCTTGCCTCGCAACCCAGGCTGATAATCAGGCCCATAGGGCCTTGTCTGTGGTGGTCTATTGGGGTCTTTGATTCGCGCGCGGAACGCTACGCGCCGTACGCTCTGGTTCTGGTCGGGCGGCGAGCTTACCCTTACTAGCCGTCCGCAGACCCGCGCTTATGGTGGTCGGAGATCATCTCTCGATCCTCGATGCCCAGAATGTCACCTACTGCGGCGGCTGGGGCATGAGGAGGATAGATCACTTATGCCACCGCCTCCAACGCGAGCATCACTGCTTCGCAGAAAGTGTAGGCGGCTTCCCAGTTCCGCTCGACGACCAATACGATCAATTAACGAGTGATAGTCATATAATTTAATAAAAAACCAAAATGTTGTGGAAGCCTCTTTCAACCCTACCTGACATAAGTATCTTCGCTTCCAGGTGACAGTAATCTTCGACTTGGAAGGTTTTAACATCAAGCAATATGCGTGGAAGCCAGCGGCCGAGATGGTGTTCTCTTTGCTGCAGCTCTACGAAGCCAACTACCCTGAGATATTGAAAATTTGCTACATTATTAATGGTAAGAGATTACTATTACAGCGAACTCCACTTTTTTTAGTCTTCTGAGCAACTTTTGATATTTAAATGAATTAGGTACCTATCGCTTACAAATATGAAGCTTTTGTAATTTCTTATAACAAAATCCTTCAAGATTTCTGGATGCATTCTACACAAGCATGAACTTTCGAGGATCCTTAAGACGTTACGTTTTGTAAGTAAACTTTTAATGTATCCATGTGCCGGGGTTGCAGGTGAACGTTACCCTTAAAAAGGGATTTATGTAAAAGAAATGATGATGACTTTGTTCTAATTAGTTCATTTTACTATTACAGCTCCCAAAGTATTCTCCCTGGCGTTTGCAGTCATCAAGAAGTTTATGCACGAGTATACAATCTCTAAGATAAAGATCTATGGGTCTGACGCTAAGAAGTGGCAAGCACAAGTCCTCACAATTGTAGATAAAGAACAGCTTCCTGTGCACTATGGGGGTACCATGGTGGATGAGAATGGCGATCCTAGATGTTCTCTTATTGTAAGTTTGTGTTCGATACACATGTTTTTTGTAGAATCATAATAAATTGTCCCAGGGCTGAACTGGTAGGTATACAAGGGACCCGGTGGGAACCGGACTAGGGGCCCAGGATTCCCTACATGTATTTGAATGAACTTTGTGAATAAGTCTTTGGCAAAGTGATCTACGAGATACCTAAATGGTTATGAGTGGAGCGAGTGATTTTTCAAGACGGTAAAGCTTTTATGGTAATTTATTAGGTTTATTTAATTTTAAGATTTTTTTTAGTAGGTAATAGCTATAGCAATGTCCCATTACTATGTTTTTATAATAACTATCGTGAGACATACTAAATTTACTAAAAATCGCGGGTTACTCACGTGTATAAATTGAGAAAAGCTCTACTAGTTTCGAACCACAGAGGGGTTCTTCCTCATGAGCACGCATTTTTAGGAAATGTCCCATTACTGTCCTATTTAATCGCAAAATTATTTATATTATATAGGTATTTTGTCAATTATTTTTTTGAATTGGGAAAAAGAAACCCTTTCCTTGTTTAAGCGGGGGCGCGGGCGGGCCGCTAGTACCTACCTAATTTAAAATAAGATGAAAATTTGGTGTTACAATTGCCACAAATCTCTAATAAACATTGCTAATTTCAGGTGAAGCCAGGCGGTAAAGTTCCTAAAAGCTACTACTCAAGCAACCAGCCGTACGAGTCCGACAAGGAGTTCAAGCGAGTCACCATCAAGACTGGAGAGAAACATGTTATTGACTTACTATGCTCAGAGAATGACAGTGTTTTGAAGTGAGTTATATTTTTTTTTTTGAGAATTTTATTAATTATATGTATCTATCTATGCACATATGTCGAAGAAAGCCGGGATAGACAAACTTTTAATAGGTAACCAAACTGATTTGGCTGAAAATTGTTGGGGATATAGCGTAGTGGTAATGCCTGAAAAAGGCCGTTAAGCTGTACCTGTTATTCATTTTAGACCAGCCTCATACCACCATTGTATACCATCATTAGCATGCAAATAAGAAAATTGAGTTTAAACTACATATGCCACACTTAATGTAACGCGAGCGAAGCTGGGGCCAAAAAATTAATCAAAAGAAACTTTGTAACTGCACCCACAAATACTCAAACTTTAATTTATTGTATGAAACAGGTGGGAGTTCGGAGTAGACCAGCATGACATAAAATTCGTGATAAAGCGACGCGACGAAGAAGGTAACGAGACTGTCGTGCATGGGCCCCGGAAGGTCACCGAGGGGCCCGCGGACGTTGGCGTCATGGCCGTCAATGGACCAGCTACATGTAAGTTGGAAATAAACGAAATTTAAACTTGGTCAGGGATATAATGTAATCCTTATTGTAGAAAAGGCTACATAGTAAGTATTAACTTCAGTAGTAATAAATAAGTGGTAACGTTTTCTTGTTAGAGAACAATTTCTAAGCCTAGCTTATCCGAAACTCATTCTGGTAGATGTTAGGTCGTAGGGCTATTTAAAAGAATGCCTGAGACAGATAACGTGAGTAACTTTAAGTCTAGCAGATACTTAACAACGACCCATAGGGAACCTAGTCCTACCTGACTACTAAAAAGCAATGAATACGAAAATAACCGAAACCATATTCTTAATTTAAACGTACATACATAGGCTACATAACATTTTTTAATTGCCATTAGTTTTATTTTAAAACGTGGTATAGAATATTATGTCACTACCCTAATCGATTTAACTTTATTTATACGGGAAGCAGTTATTCTAAGACGGTAAGACTAGATAACAAAGTGATGAATTATGTTTTTACAGATTCGGTGATATTTGACAACAAGAGTGCATTCCTTCGCAACAAAAAGGTTTATTACGATGTCCTGATTTCTATACCAACGCGGGATTTGAACATCACTGATGATCCTACGGACGAACTTCAATCTGCCGCAGCCTGCAGTACGACCTTATAAAAAAAACTAGACCAATTCATAAAATAGAGTTACATTCACCTAAAAAAAATGTGTTGAAATTACTTATGACAAATTTTTTTTTTAATATAGTGGATAATGGATTTTACTTAATTAATAGTTGTGTTTTTAGGTATTGACATTCAATCTGATTAGAGTTTTTTCGTGATTGGCTAAACAATAAACATATGACAAGATACTTTGATTATGAAAAAAAGTCGGTTTAAAAATACCTTATATTCATTTCTTGCTCAGACTTAATCAAAATGACAACATTTTATGTAGGTACTATGACAAATAAAATTTAATTTTTCCTTCATAAGGTATAGTATAATTTAAACAATGACTTTTGTACTTGATTCTGTCTAATATAGTCACTGGTGACTAGTGGTGACGTGAGTCGCAAATAACATAGTAATATATTATAATATCTACTTAGATTTATTAAAGTAAAACTTTGATGTATAAACGGACGATTTAGGTGATATTGTTTGTAGAAGGTAATAGGTATGTATATTGTAATTGCATAAATGATGTGTAAGGGTCAATTCACACTAAGACGCCACGCCACGATATTGAAAAACGCGTCCCATGAAATTTGTAGATAGGTAGTAAACCTCTTTTTTGAGCCTTTTAAAATGTCCGCTATTCCTCGCGTTGCGTCTTGGTGTGAAGTGACCCTAAAGAACTTGTATTTAAAATTAAATTTTACTAGTTTATAAGTTTGAAAAAACTAGGTAAATGACTTAGTAGGTCCTATGATGTCCAAAATTATTTTTTAAGAATATTTTTAATACAAAAACGTTTTTTACTTAGTGATAATGATAGTGGGAACTTTGACGGTTTAAAGGTAAAATGAGAACAAATGCTATGCATTTAACCAGGGTATCTACATTATTTGAAACGGAAGCATTTCTGTGATAGTTTTCAACAAATGTTTAATGTTTATTATGATTATAAAATTTTGTACTTATAACAAGTTTTTTATTTAACTCATAATAAGTAATTGTTTTAATTTATGACAACAACATTCTTTTGAGGACAGAAAATCATCAATATTATGACTTGTTTTGCCCCGGGCAGATGCCTCGTAGGTTAAATGGGCAAAATAGGTAAGTTACCACTATGAAGTCGCTAAGCGGCAAACGATTAATTCTACAGGTATTTGAGGATTATCCATTAAGTAATACCTATGCCTACCTACCTACCTATAACTTGGCGGGAATCTAAACCTAGTACAGGTAGGAAAAATAGCCAATACAATTAATTCAGTGTGCCAAATGTTAAAAGTATCAAATGTGACATATTATTTAAACGGTAAGAAATTGTAGTAGGGGAGCCTATGAAGGAATTTCGGTAGTTACTCGAGCGCGTCAGATTAACATATGGGGAATATTTAGTAACCTATTGAATATACCCATCGTATACTTAATTTAAATAGAGGAGGGGGTGGGGGTTTACAAAATAAAAAGATATATAAATACAGTCGTTTTCGTCAGATTAGGGGGGAAAAGGTAATGTCATGTCAAAGAACGGGCGTTTAAAAAACCTGCCGATTCATCGTGGTTTACAACAGCAATAGAGTTTTGAACGGGTCCCGTTTCTATCCCCTACCAAACTAGGCGATTCGACAGATTAAAATATTTTCATTGTCAGAGATACATTGAGAATATACATTATTAATATCTGTCACGCTAGTGCGCTAAAACAAAAGTTACACCTTACAATTTTGGAAAACTATCATTCCCCCCTACCCCCACTGGAGGAATGAAATGTCATTAAGCCATTTTTTCTTTCTGTCACCAAATCTTCAGAATCCAGTTACTCCCTACGACGTTTGACTAACTACAAATTTAGCATCTTGGGCTCCCCTACTATTGGAATTTGTAAAATAGACTACTTTTCTGGGTAATAACCATATCACATTTCTGGCAGGACGGTTGAGCTCTGCAGCATTTGCTGTCTGGAAGATCCGACAGCTAACAGATGTGGACACTGCAAGACTTGGCATCTTGATGTGGGGACAGGCTGCTGACATTGAGTCTATCTTTGTCTTGCAAAAGCGTGCCACAGCGTTTTTTTTCGCTGTGTCAGTGAGGTTAATGTAGACGCAATCCTTCCTCTCCACCAATCCCCAAATGGGTGGCAACACACTCGTAACTCCTCAGTTGTAGCAGGTGTCCTTGGGTGTCGCTGATTGCTTACCATTTTTTTTTTGTGAGGGGAATATCATCAAATGCTTCTCCTGCCCAGCTGCGCGCATCCTGTCTATTTTGGCAAATAAAAGGTGTAAGGTGTAAATGTGATGTAGCTACTTACTATTTGTTATCCACGTCTATAAATGTCACTTTGATAAAATATAGATAAAGGAAAACATTGTAATGATGGAGCAATAAAACTTTGATTACAATAACACTATCTATGTTATCTTGAAAATACCAGACCAGATGGTTTAGGTATTCAGAATGAAATAAAACAAATAAAATTTGACTGCACGGTTGGCGCGGTGGCTAGGCAACTGGCTGCCGCGCAACGTGTCGCGGGTTCGATTCCCGCACGGAACAACTCTTTGTGTGATCCACAGATTGTTGTTCCGGGTCTGGGTGTGATGTGCATGTGAAATTGTATGTTTGTAAACGCACCCACGACACAGGAGAAAATCCTAGTGTGGGGCAATGCTTTTAAAAAAAAAGAAAATGATTTTAAAAGTATTTATATGTGAACTGTTATAAATGTTATATACAAGAATATATTAAGTTACATCAGAGCAAGTTTATGACCATCTTCAATCTTCATCTTCAAAAAGCATATCAAGTAGTTCCCTCTTTCCACACTGGCTGCCTTCCAATCTCCGTACTCCATTCCAAACAATTATAGTTGGAATCACCATAAGTTTTGTGCGACTGTCTGTGCGGAATGGACACGCTTTGTCTTTCCACCTTAAATAAACAGCATGTTTTTTAATAAATGTATATAACAACAAAAAGGAAGTAAAGTAAGTTAAAGGAACAGTTATAAAATTTCAGAATAAATCTCAAATGTCATTCATTTTATCAGCATATTTCTGTTCACAATGACTCTTTTTTTAAATAAAATATATACACTTGGTACTGCTAAACTAATAACAAAGTGAATTCATTGTTCTTTGTAGTAAACATTAAACAATGGTCATTTAAGACATCCATAGTTCCGTAAAGCTATTTTTACTAATATGCATTGTAATGGATGAGTACTTCACAGCAGTTTGCATTTCGTCATTATCGTATTTAGTTAATTTAGAGTGATTTATGTTCCTGCTTTTTTTTTATTTCAAATTTCATTTAATTTTCTAGAATCCCTGATATTGTAACATATTTTTTCTGTCAGCTTGTTTTTTACACTGTTATTTTTCAAAAATTATTATGTTGTTATAATTAAAAAATAATGTATTGTTAACTAATACTATTGTGCATGATGTGTTAGTCTATAAGTGATTATTATACTCGCACATGTGTTATATCTTTTATTAAAAGTAATGAAAAAGTGTAATAATTGTTGGCTAACCTATTTAAATAAATAAATAAATAGTTCAGATTATAAATAAGAAAGTAAATGAATCAGCATGTTTTGTCTTTGTAGGAATTAATGATTAGTATTGATCTGGACTTGTGTTGAAGAAGGTAGAAGGGTCAAAAAGCCAAATAAACTGATTGGGGACCAAGCCTATGTTCAGAACTCTACAAGTAACATGATTACCTGTGCAAAGTTTTATTATACTTACGTTTCACGATCGCCAACATCAACATAGACAAATACAATTTCTTTTTTCAAATCATTCAGGTAAGCTTTCACTACAGGCTCAGCTGAAATAATTTATGATATTATTATTTAATGAGTGGAACAAAAACAGGTAAATAACATTATGATGTCATAATAATGATCTCATTTTACTGTCCCAAAAACCACAAACAATAATATACTTCTTGGTTTCCATCAAATTCATAGATCTGCTTATACAAGCATGATCTGCAACCAATCTTATTAGTTGTAAGCTTAATTATGTTATACAGTGCCTATAAATGTTATCATTATCAGAATAATGTTCTGACTGATAAAGTACCCAGTTGACAATAAGGGCACCAGCTATAGCCATTTTCCTTCTTTTTACCAGTGAAAAAAAAGTAAACTGGTGGACCACTTTCTGGCAAGTTAGCAACATAAGTTTTGAATTGATCATATTCATTGAGAGTTATATGTTTCACCTCCATTTCAATTCAAGAAAAATTATCAAGATATAAAAATCTTAAAAAGAATAATTTGACATTTTAGGCATCTGACTATATAGTTGAAGTGTTATTCAGCAAAGAGTTCGTTGTTTAATTTGGCATTACTTAGTATGATGACATTTAATGTTAATTTGTAAACAATTCAAACGTCGCTATACCACCACCTTGCACAGTTCAAGTCATTAAATAGGTAAATTATACAGTACGCTAATAACATTATGACTAATTAAAGTGTACATAGTATTGATTTAATTTATATAGTCTATACCTTCAACACAATCACTACACCAACTATACCCATTAGGCAGCTTTTCACCACTAAAGTAGAAAACCACTGGACGGCTTTTAGAATCTAAGTTAGAAACATAATCTTTAAACTGATTATATCCATGCAATTCAAGTATTTGCGCCATTTTCACTTATAATATACAAAGGAAAACTTAAATACAGAAAAATTAAACTTATGTGGGTAATATTAATTAATTTAATAGAAATCTGAATGGAATGTGCGGTATTCAAGTGTTATAACTCGTTTGTTTTTGCTGTCATGTCACACTGTTTATTAATCATGCGTGACAGTGACAGCAATTTGCATATCGTGATAATATGTGACATTTTCAATTCTTGATTGTTGCGCGTTTTTTTTTTTTGTCGTTCCGTTGCACGTAATTTTTTTTTTGTAATTTTCATATTATTTACCATTTTGTGTTGTTTAAGATTGTTTATGTTTTTTTTATTTTTTTTTTCTTCATTTTTAATTTAATTGTGAACTGGTGCTGCTGGCGGGTGGTGCAGTGAGGTACTAATAGTTGAGTAAGTACTGCACCACTTAATAACTATATTCATAAATATTATAATATATCTATTTTTTTATTATATCTATAAATATATATTTATTTTGTTTATCTATATATTCATATGTTTTAATGCATTCAGATGAAGAATCATTTCTTTCTGCTAACAATTCCACTGACTTATCGAACGCAAGCTTCTCCTCTTGCACTGAGACACTCGGTGATTGCTTGCGTCGTACGTTCGGTAACTCAAATCGACACTTGATAAATATTTGCCATATTAATGCCCAGAGTGTGCCCAGCCACTATAATGACCTATATGAAGCTTTCTCTGACGGCAATGTTCATGCGGTCCTGGTTTCCGAGAGTTGGTTGAAACCTCATCTTCCTTCCACAAGTTACTCTCTCCCAGGGTTCGTACTAATTAGAAACGATAGGCTCGGAAAGGGTGGTGGCGGTGTTGCTATTTATTTGCGCAGTAATTTTCCCTATAAAATTCTAGCTACATCACCTTCTGAGTACTGTGCATCTGCCGAATATCTTTTTCTCGAGGTATGTATAACTGGAGTCAGAACGCTTATTGGTGTAGTCTACTGTCCACCTGCAGTGGATTACTTCTCCGATCTTGAGTCGGTTTTGGAATCTATTGGATCTGAGTATGAGCATCACGTCATCATGGGCGATTTCAACACAAACCTTTTGAATTGTACCCATCGTTCCCGTCAACTTCGTAGCATCCTCGAGTCTGTCAGTCTTCATATCCTACCACTCCAGGCAACTCACTGCAACTCTTCAGGTGAAGATACTTGGCTTGACTTGATCCTTACCTCTAGTCCATCTCACACCGCCTCTCATGGCCAATATCCTGCTCCTTGTTTTTCTCACCACGACTTAATTTATTTGTCCTATCGTCTTAAACCTCCAAAGCCTACTCCAAGGGTTCTGCGCATGCGTTGTTTTGCTAAAATGGATGACGAAGGATTGCGAGGTGATGCTGCCGGGCTTGAGTGGGAGTCTCAGATTTCTAATGCCTCCTCTATCGATGACAAAGTAACAATTTTTAACCGAATGCTAAAAGACCTTTATGACATACACGCGCCAATCAAGTCTATAAAAGTCAAGCGTCCACCAGCTCCATGGATGTCGAGAATTGTGCGTATGGCCATGAGACGAAGAAACCGGGCTTTTAGAAAATATAAGCGTGATCCGGTCTGAGGAGAATTGGATGCTTTACAAATCGGCCCGAAATCGGTGTAACCAGATGATACGGAACGCTAAACGCCGGCACATTCTTGAAAATATTACAGCTTGCTCTGCGGCCGATATCTGGAAGTTCCTCGGAACGCTGGGTATCGGTAAACAAGATTATGTGGAGCTGCCTAACACGATTGGTTTGGATGATATCAATACCCATTTCACCACTATTGCCAGTTTGGATTGTCAAACCATTCGTCAGACGGTAGACTTCATCGCTGGTCTTCCGCGTGGCAATACTGGCTCCTTTAAGTTTTCTCCAGTCTCCCCGGGCGATGTCAAAAAGATTATCCTATCAATAAAATCCAAGGCTGTTGGCTACGACGATATTAGTCGAAGTATGGTCATCCCGATCCTTGAGTATATCCTACCATCGATTACCCACATCATAAACTTTTCGTTATACTCAGGACAGTTCCCTTCCTTATGGCGTTACGCTTACGTCCGCCCCCTTCCTAAGATTACTAATCCTTCCCTCCCTTCACACTTTCGACCAATCTCAATTCTTCCTTTCCTCTCCAAAGTGCTGGAAGCTTGTGCCCATAAGCAACTATCTGGTTTCATTCACCGCTATAACCTCATAAGTCCCCTGCAATCTGGGTTTAGGCCTGGGCACAGCACTGCTACAGCACTTTTAAAAGTGACTGGCGACATTAGAGAGGGAATTCGGGATACCAAAGTTACTGCCATGGTCCTTATAGACTTCTCCAATGCTTTCAATGCCGTCAGTCATGACATCCTTGAATCCATCCTTTCCCATCTTATGATTTCGCCTGGGACACTGGAATGGTTCCAGTCTTATCTTCGTGGGCGCCAGCAGGCTGTTCGCAATGATGAGACTCTGTCGAATTGGCGTGAGCTTGCAGCTGGTGTACCTCAAGGCGGTATTCTCTCTCCCCTACTATTTTCTATCTTTATTAACCTTATTACTCACAATCTTCAGTGTACGTATCATCTTTATGCTGATGACCTTCAGATTTACACTCAAGCTCGACCCGAGGACTTGTCCTCGGCAATCGAAAAACTTAATAAAGATCTGGAAGCTGTAAGCCGTTGGTCTAACCAGTTTGGTGTGGCAGTAAATCCCACAAAATGCCAGGCCATTGTTGTTGGTGGTCCACGTATGATGAGTAGGGTGGTGGTCGCACATCTTCCCCCAATAATAATGGACGGCACTGTTATTACCATCAGTCCCAGTATCAAGAACCTTGGTCTGCACCTTGATGCTACGCTAGGCTGGCAGTCACAGGTCTCCAGCGTTTGCCAACGTGTTACTAACACCTTGCGTCATTTAAATCGATTGCGAAATTTCCTTCCATCCAGGACCAAGGCAATGCTTGTGCAGTCCCTAATTTTCCCCATAATCGACTATGGTGACGTGTGCTATTGCGATCTCAATTCGGACTTGCTTAATAAGCTTGATCGTCTTATGAACAACTGCATAAGATTTGTCTTCAACTTGCGTAAGTACGATCATGTTTCTGGGCACAGGTCTGAGTTGAAGTGGATGTCCATCCGACAGAGAAGAGATCTTCGCGTATTAACAACCCTTTACTCTATCCTTAACTCTCCTGCTCCTCCTTTGTACCTAACACCTTATTTTCAGTACCGATACTTGGGACATTCTAGAAATCTTCGTTCTTCTAACAATCTTCTTCTTCACTGTCCTTCTCATAGCTCTGACACTGTTCACTCATCATTTCACATCCAATCTATCCTTTTATGGAATGGCCTGCCCTTGGAAATCAGGAAAGCAAAGAACAAGCAGTCTTTCAAAGCTGGAGTTCGCAAGTGTATCTTGGAGGGAAAGTTGGCAAAATCTTCTTTATTATAAACTATCCTACTTTATGTGAATATCCTATACTTATGTATGTAGTATATGGTTATATAATATATATTATTTTACTTATGTATTTTATATGTATTATGTATTACTTATGTATTATATGTGTATTCATGCATATTATTATGTTTGTATTTATATTATTATATTATATTCATTGTATTATGCATTTTATTTAATTACTTTTTTTTTTTAAGTTAGCTCTTGTACTTTTTTGCACCGACCATATTCTTACTGCATCACCCAAAGGTTGGCTAGCAAGAATGCTTGTTGGCATTAAGCCCACCTATGTACGTTGTGCATAAAGGTTAAATAAATAAATAAATAAATAAAATACAACCGGTAAAAAGGGTGACTTTAAAGATCAGCAAATGATTAACAAATGACATGACTATGACAATAAATCATGAAAGTCTGTCACGACTACATCTTTCATAATTTGACATAAACTTTTCTTTTCTCTTTGGTTAGGTACATAGGTTAACCCAAGAATATTATAAAGTACACTGGATGTTGCACCAAGAAAAAAGAACTGAGGACTAATAAAATGACCTTGAAACACGTCATTTATGTTTTGCATCTCTTTCATCAGGGTGACAACTATTTTTACTAGCTTTAGGATATTTTGTACATATTTATGATTGTTTAAATTCAACATTTCTATTTTAGTGTGGTTTTCGATCGTATTAGTTTTGGTTTAGTAATCTATACATACATATAATTGTAAATCTGTAGAGAAGTCAATTCTGTACATTAAATATATTTTCAAAATAACTATCAGGGGTTGGTAGTCGATAACTCGATACTGATGCTAAAAATACAATGGCTAAAATGTTTGTCTGTCTGTCGTATGTATTCCTTATCCCATTCGTTGCTACCAACACACCATTTGCGTTGATGGAGAAAACTACGTCATGCCACCAACATACCGTATGCGTTGAGGGTACCTTAGGATGTTTATTGGCATTACATAAAAATTATAAAAAATATTTGTCAACATTTCATGGCCAGAAACGTTTTTTAAATGTAGAAACTGTTGGTTTTTGCTTTGAACTATGTTCTTGTGCTGATAAGGAAACAACGGTTGGTGCCCCGAAGATCGATTTTGATTTTGGAATAACAGATGTTTTAATGAGTTTTTACCGCATGTTTGTGAATTGTCCAACGCCTGCGCTGCGCCGGCCCCGTGCCTTCGCGTTACGTCGCTTGTGTATGTTTTAGGTCTAAGGCGAGCACAAAGCGTGCGCGGATGCTGTGCGTGTGCAGCGCATGTTATCTTAATACACCCTTAAGAGTACTTACGTATACACACAACTGTTAACACTTAACAGTAATACTGCTATATCTAGATATCATTTCTTTAGATATTAAACTTGATACAAATGAAAAGATATTAAAATTGTCAGGTAAGCAACACAAATTAAAAAGATATACTACGTATGTAAACAATAAGAATTATAATGATAGGTATTCTTTCAAAAACACCCCTTGAAAACAAGTCAAGCTGATAAGTTCCATTTAAGCTTAAAAATTACTTGCAGCTAAAAGCCAATACCTATTTGATTTTATAAGTCCTTACCAGTCCACGATATCAACCATCATCATCTTCCTGCCCTTGTCCCGTTTTATTTGGGGTCGGCGCAATGCGTTTTTTTCTTCCATTCTGTCCTGTCACTCGTCACGCTATCGCTAACTCCTCTGTCTTCCATATCACTTCTCACACGATATCAACCATTCAATAAATTTCCTTAAACAGTTACAAGTCCTCGTTTTAAAGTCTAGTATCAAGTCCTTTTTATTTAAATAGGTAATAACAAATGTCTATACATATTGACAGAGGGCGAATGTAATATCATGTGTGTTGACGATAGGATACCGATCTCGTTTTTCAGCCACCATAGGCGCGGGCTAGCGGATGGTGAATAGTTGGTAGGTTGCCGTCAGACCGTACCGGGGATATTTAAAAAAAGTCAGTACAGTGCAAAATCATTTTTATTAATAAAAATCACAAGTTTATATCACACGTGTGAAAATAAAACAGTTTTATGCAATTTTTGCCTTTTAGTGCGAATCTCACCCAAAAGCCTTTGAGTATAAGTTTTCAGATAAGAATGAATTCTTATTTTAAAAAACTATTCGAAATATATTTTATTATTTCAGTTTCGAAACATATTTTATTATTTTTAAGTGTGGGAGAGCCATGCTTCGGCACGAATGGGTCGGCTCGACCGGAGTGATACCACGGCCTCGCAGAAAACCAGCGTGAAACAACCACACCGTTGTGTTTCGCCGTGTGAGTGAGGTTACCGGAGGCCCAATCCTTCCCCTCGCTCAACCCCTCCTCAATCCCTAAATCTTCAAATCCCAAATCCCTAAAAGGTCGGCAACGCACTCGTAACTCCTCCGGTGCGGTTGTCCATGGGAGGCGCTGATTGCTTACCATCAGGTAATCCGTCTGCTCGTTTGCCGACCGATTACATAAAAAAATAAAAAGTTTCGTGTAAATCCATACAAGTATCAGTGATTGGATGTTTAGGCACAAATAATTCCTGCAACAATGGATAACATTTTTCCAGGACCGCTAACACTAATTTTGATTGCAAATTATTAGTTTTGCTGTGAAGCAGTATACCTTTGGATACCGAGTGCTTAAACAAACTATCTGAGTAGCGGACTACCTTGAACGCTGCATCAGATGCGAAACATAATTTACCTCTATTTACAAAGGTCGTAAACGCAGAATGTCTATTAATATTAACAAATAATCATGATCATCTTTTTTTTCATTTTCGGTAGTTAATAATTGATGACAAAAGTCACGAATTTTTTTTTGTAAAATTTTATGAACTATGTATGAGTTCATAAAATTTTATGAACTCATACATAGTTCATAAAATTTTACAAAAAAAACGAACAATGTTTACTAACGACTTCAAATCTTTTATTTTTTGTTCATTTCGCGCAACTTTTTGTTGTAATTTTTTTTCTTTTTTTCCAAACACTTTTCCCGCAGTGAATTTAATTTTACATTGAACATTAAAATCTTTTAAGCGGCGTCGTTTCGCTGGCGGTTCATTTTCATTAACTACCTGTGGAACAAAGATTATAATCAGTAACAACTAAGATGATCAAAGGGTCTCAATGTCTATCATGAGCTTACTACATCGTGAAAAAACCAAAAAACACCTAACCTGGATGTTGAAGGTTTGGTTTGACTTCTATGCCATAAGTACAAGCTAATACTACACAATAAATTAAATACTTACAATATTTTCAGTGTGTGTGTTGTGCGTTGGTATTGTTTCATTTGATGAAGCCGAGCACTTGAATGGCGTTGTACTTTCCTGTAATTTGAAATATTATTGTTAACATGATTGCTAGGTATGTAAGCAGCAAATTTTGAAAAGGATAAAAACATACCTTAATACTAGACAATAAGTTAAATACTTACAATATTTTCATTTTGTATGATGTGTATGTCCTTTTCGCAATAGCTGTGTTCTTTTCCTGACATTGTGGAACAAGTATCAGTTTCTGTCGGTATCATTGCATTAGGTGAAACCAAGCATTTGAATGGCGTTTTACATGCCTGTAATTTGAAATATTATTCTCAACATGGTTGTTGGATGGGTAAGCAGCACATTGTGAAATGTAAAAAATGCTTACCATAACGTTATTACCACAGGAGCATAATTGTACAGAATCAACCAGAACAGCACTATTTAAAAGCCTTTTTGGTCTTAATGGATCATAATTCTCCGGCTTAAAGTGTAAGCTACAAATCTTTGCTGATTCATAAAACTTCCCTTTTAATAGCAGACAACCATTTCTGCCTTTTTTCCGAGTCCTTGAGAAAACTGAAACATAAAATTAATTGTATATTAACCGAGTTGACTGATTTAATTTACTGTATAACTCGTGCGCGATAACATGGCACCTGGCGTGAATCAATCACGTTTAAAGAACTGAGTTTACTTTTTTTGTTTTTAATTTTATTTTAGTTTTGTGAATGTTAATACTTATTTTACGCTATTGAGTTTCTCGTAATGTACTTTACGATATTTTGAATGCAACCAAACAAACAATTTTTGTGGATTCAATGTTCCAACTGTTTTTGACCCAGGTGCCATCTTATCGCGCACGAGTTATAATTAGACCAAAATAGCAGGACAGCTCTAAACTTAGTTTTGACACTCTTTTAATTATTAAAATTTGAAGACCTTTCTGTTTTACCCTCAGATATAATACGTTAGTCTCATTATAAGAGCAACGAGGCCTACATAAAATTCAACCATTCCACAAATCAAAAAGTATCTACCTAACTTAAAAAATATGGTCACTCTTTAGCTCTTTGTTTACAAACACATAATTTTGACGTTTAAGACTAAACGTACCTGTTTTTTAATAATTAAATGCGATTTACGCATATAAATTTCTAAACGATGACAAAGATTACTAGAAAAATATTTGTGACACCGTTTCGAACGTAAATATTTACAGATTTTTTAAATATTGGCATAAAATACGTAACGATAATGTATAACTTAAAATATGGTATTTCTGGACTTACCTGTGAAAGATGACATTTGATGTTGGGTTCCATACACTTGTACAATCTTTGACTACGCAATACATAATAAGGCACTTTAAATTAATTGACAAATCCTCGAAATACTTCAGTCAAACACTTCGAGTAGTCGAAAAGTAATTGACAGAGTAGCCATTTTGGATAATACTACCCCAACAGTGTTACAAGTTTTGAACTCCACGTTAAAAGTTTAAAAGTGGGTAAACTTAAAAATAATTTTAATAAAAAAACAACTTTAAAATAGCCTGAATTAACTATGAATAACTTTTAAATTGTTTAAATTTTTAAGGCTGATATTTGGATTTCGAAATAAACATAAAATATGTGTGCCTCTCTTTTGGTAATATATTTATGATCAGTTACCAAGGTAAAAAGTCATTTTATTATGGCAACATTTTATTCAAGTGTGAGCGAGATAAAAAACATACGAAAGGTGAATAAACTCGGATTCAATAATTTCTTCTAGGGGCAACATCCAGTGTTCTATATAATATTCTTGGGTTAACCAATCGATGACATTTGTGGTTACATAGACAACAAATTAAAACGTTCCGATGAACGTATTGCAAAAAATATATGGTTTTGTCGAACACACCTTGCAACAATGATAATTTGAAATGTTCCGTTCGTGACTTTGCGTGTAACTGAACGCAGCTGAAGCTAAATGAAAACGGTTTTGACAGATTAAATTGGAGAAACGGTTGAAAATAAAGATAATTTGAATGTTTACTTGTAAAATCCAATTGTATTTTATTTTAATTGGTGGTTTCGGTGATAAAATAATTAATAATGGATACAACGACGAGTATAAAACCAAAGTCAATGGCTGAGTTGTTGCCTGGGCTTAGTGGTAAGTATTTGAAACTTTGTTTACTCCCGAAAGTTTAAGACCTAAATAAATAACACTCCTTTAGGAAGAACTGATTCAACTCCTTGTCTAATAGACTAATACTGTATATCTTAGCTTTATCTAAAGGTATTAATGAGAGATTGTTTATTTTTTAGGTATTCTGTCTAAGGATAGCATGCAAACCCTGACTGCCAAGAAACAACCTCGCCAAACAATTGTACAGACTCGCACCGCAGAGAAGGTTGTCAAACCCTTAACAATAGCTGAAATGAGAGCAGATATTTTATGTAAGTCACCAAATTAATAAGAACACAGAAAATACATTGACAGGTCTATATTGTATTTCCAAATATAGAGAGAGAACACTTAAATAATTAACAAATGAATACTTAAACCTATCATGCAGATTTATATAATGATAAACTAATACTTCATCCTTCTTACCTAATTATTTAATGCATTATATATATTAATTGGTCCAGCATTAAGAGTGCAATCTCCAAGAAGACCTGCTCAAGGAGCTACAAGTGCCAGGAAGAAAAACTGGAACTCTTCAGTAAAGGTGGACAAGACAATAAGCCATACAGCCAATGGCAAAATGAAACTTAATCCTGTCAGAAAAGTGCTTAACTTTCAACCTAAGCCAAAAGTAAGAAAATATGTTTAAGAAATAAAATTTTAATTTTAAAATAATGAGGATGGTGTTCTAAATATAATATTTTGATTTCAGCCTGTTATGAGTAATACCAACACAAGAGTGACAATGGCCCCTGAAGCCCCAAAGTTTCCAAAACCTGAATACAGACCCAAGAAGTCAATGTATTTATTACAAGGTTTGTACTGACACAATTCTATTTATATGTATTGTCCAATTGATTAAATGTGCTATAATTTAAAATATTATTTAATTTCAGCTCGTAATAATGTAAGGATAAGTGGAATCAACAACATATCAGAAACACCAGTTATAACTAAACCAGCAATAAGCCGCTTAACACTTGCCAATAAAGAAAATGTTTCCCACCAACCAAGTATCAAGAAATTGGTTCCACCTAAACCATTGATTAGGAAACAGATTATACCAACCATTCCTGACACTCCAATGTCTAATGAATCATGGAAGTCAAGCTGTGATGCCAGCTTTTTGCAAAAAGAAAAGGAAATTAATGATGCTGAGGCAAAAACTAAAGCAATAATGGAGGAACCAACTCTAGAGAATATTGCTGCAGTTACACCTCCTGTCTCCACACCATTCAAAGAATACAGAAATGTACAAGAATATTTTAATCACTCAAGCGAGTTAGAGAGTTCCGCAGTGTACAATGATAATACCATCATGAGCTTTGATAAGCCTTCAGACAATAAAGAAAATACTGCAAGAGAAGAAAGTGTAATAGTGTCATTATGTGACCTATTGAACAAAGCCTCTGTTGCCACTTCAGGAAAAATAAGCACAGAACTAGAAGATTTATTGCAGATTGAGAAACAGACAGAACATAACTTGAAGATGATAGATAACAGCATCGCTGCACTCAATAAAATCAAGGAATCACAACTAACTTCCCTGAAATATGTGAGAAAACTAATAAATGATAAGAAGCCACAAGAGAATGGGGATAAAACTTTAACAGATACCAAAGAGACCCAAGAAGCTTTAGTAACTGTAAAGAATGAGAATTCAAGTCCTGAACACAAGTCAGTTGTAAGCAAGCCATGCTCAGTGATTAAATCTTGTTCAAAGTCACCATCTTATAAAATACCAAAAAAGAATTTGTGTTTAAGAAAAAAAGTATTTTGTAAATCAATGCCAAATGTTTCAAATGAAACTATTACACCAGTAAAGTCTGATATGGGCAACAGAGCTCTTAGTATGTATATGAAAATGAAGGAACATATGAATTTTTTAAATACACCTGTTGCTAAAAGAGATTTTAATGTGCCAGACACACCAGCTGTTACATCACACAATTTACAAAAGCAGCTAGACAAACTTTATGATGAAAATTAGTAAATGTTCAAATTAATTTAATTTTAGAATAAGGTTGTATAGAAAGCAATTATATTTTAGATGAAATTTTAATTTAAATACTATAATATGATCATTTTATAAGTTGCCTTATTGTATATCAGAACTATTGTGCTACAGGTTGGCTTGGCAAAAAGCCACACAATATTACATATTACTCTAACTTGTACAAAAAGTGACTGAAAATAATTGTGTTGAAACAAAATGCTTTACATTTGATTACTAATTCTAACAATAATGTAGTTATTTAATATATTGTAAAATTTTCAATTTTATAGAGCATAATGTATACTTTTTACTGAATAAAGACAATTTGTAAATAAAAGTAATTTTTTGCGAATATTTATTTAGCGCTTTTTAACACCAATACACTACTACTGCTTTGCTTCTCGAAGTAATACTACCAAAATTTCTTGGCATTATACCTACCTTTTGTGATTCAAACGCAGGCAAGGTAAATTCCGACTTCACAGTCGTGAACCATCTTCATCATAGGATCTACCTGTTTTTCGTCGTACACGGGGACATCTCAGAAGACAAATGAGCCGGCCCGACCGAGTAATAGCACGCCCTCATAGACTTCTAGCAAGAAGCACCGTTTATGTTGTGAATCGTCAAGTGAATGACCGCCCTAGCATTGGAGAATGCTTCTCTGAATGTATGCTTAGGTCACTTCGTACTTTTGGAGGACAAAACTGCGCGCTCGATCATTAAATGCTCATGATAATCACGGAAATTTGGAGAGCCAGAGGGCATTCCTTTCGACCGTCTGCCGTCTCGATCATCGTTGGGTGCAGGTGATCGAGTCCAAGGGGTAAGCTTTGGCGGTCAGGTTGGTCGTAGCGAAGGTTGTCGATCGCAGCATAGAGCGGCTTTTTCGAAGCTTCCTATGGGGTACCCAAGATACAGGACACGGTGGAGCATACGGTGGCGGTGTGCCCTGCTTGGGCTAAACACCGCCGTATCCTCAAGGAAGGTATTGGCGGCGGCGAGCATTAGTCGAGGCTATGGTATACTTAGCTAGCGTAGCGAGAGGAACTGGAAAACCGTCTCCTCTTTCTGTGAAGCAGTTATGCTCGCAAACAAGGAGGCGGATCGCGTGAGAGAGCTTTGCTCCTCTTCACGCCCCAGCCGCCTTAGTAGGCGTCGGAGATCGAGAGATGATCTCCGGCCACCGTGAGCGCGGGTCTGCGAATGGCAAGTAAGGGTAGCTTGCCGCTCGACCAGAACCAGACCCGAGTGTACGGTGCATAGCGTTCCACGACCACCACATACGGGTCCCCATAGGACTGATGTTCAGCCGGGGTTGCAGGGTAAGCGCAATGAGGTACCGCGACAGTACGCGAGTACCCGGTAGAGCTACCGGCACAGAGCAGGAGAAGGAACAGGGGGGTTTTTAGTCAGTAAGAGTCTGACACTCCCTCCTGCCCGGCCCTGGGCGGGAGAAGTCATTTGATGATTTTCCCCTCACAAAAAAAAACAGTCTATTATAGGTATCTGCGTTAAAAAAGCTAACTAACTATTCGGACTAGTTATTTCCTGTAATTATTTCAGCTATATTTATAGCAACCTCGTAGCACTAAACTAATTATTTTTTTGTTGGTTTAATAAGTATTAGCACACGTTTTAGCGTTAAAAAAAAATTCGCAGCAATAACATTGCTTAGCTGAACTTCATTAAAATGTTTACGTTGAGAATTTGTTACAGAGGGCAAATTGATAATGTTACTTAGGGCTGATTTTTCAATGGTTAGATAAATGTTAACTGAGGAATAAATTGTTGCTGTCACTATCTTAAACAAACAGTCTGACGCGACAGCATCATAATTATTCCCCGGGCAACTTTTATCTAATAATTGAAAAATCAGCCCTAAATGATATGTTTACGTAGCTATAAACGTTTTCTTTCTGTGAAATATACTAACTTGTAACTTTTAATATACGCATATTGTGTTGTTTGTCCAGAACGTGGTTACAGGAGGCCCTCTGTCATAGGCTATAAGAACATTAATGCAAAGGTTACCTACCTACATAATTGAAGTTTAGAAATAATTACTCAGTTGGTACCTATGTAATGTGGCACCGCGGCCTCGGCCTAAAGCAGAAGAAGGAATGGAGGACTTTTTATAAAAGAGTCTCACTCACTCTCTCTCGTCTTTCCCTGGGCAGGAGAAGTCATTTAATGTTTTTTTTTTTTCTTGACAAAAAAAAGATATTGCGCTAATGGGTCTCAGTCTCGCAGTCACAAGCATACCTAAAGGTCGTGGTCGACGATGAATGCTTTGACTCCTTGTCTGTGAACGCCTTCATATCACTAGCATGCGGCAAATCAATTGCATTCATTACTATGCGGATGACAACACGGGTGATGGCTTTTACACCAGACCGTACCTGTTCACATTGGGGTAGACTTAATATAATCCAATTTAATACTACAAACACACAGGTCCTCGTGTTCGCAGCTAAAAAACTGCCATATCGACATATCGAGTGAAGAATGGGTAAGGCTAACTTAGCATTGAAGAAGCCCTACAGACGACAGACTCGGGGCTTCTAGTCCACCGAACAGCAGCAGGCCTCGAGGCGGCGGCGCCGTGTTCCGCACGCGCCTCATCGTGCGCAGTGGGTGACGGGCCCGCCTAAACATCTGGCGGGTCAATACCGGTAGGGGGTTGCGACGAATGCTTCGACGATACCCGCTCCTCCAACACATGGGTAATTGAAGGAACACCGGGTTAGTTTTTACTCACTGAGAGTCTCACATAACCCTTCGCCCATTCCTGAGGGCGGTGGGTCTCCATGAGGATTTTCCAACACGACATCAAAAAAAAAGCATTGAAGAAGCTAGGTGTGCTTAATAGATCGAGATAGTATTTCACTCCAAAATATCCCGTGCTTCTTTTTAATGGCACAGGTTTGGTCCCACATAGAATACTGTGCTCATCCCTGGACGGGGGACCCTTGTACCAACTTCTCCCTCCCATATTTCGCGACTGGTCTTTGAATCATTTACTGCCAAGATACCTTGACCGGCTGGACTCTATGGCACTGCGTGGAAATGTGGCCTCACTAGGTAGGTTGTGTTTTCTATCGCCTATAGGTACCATGGGGAGTGCTCCGAATAATCGTTCGGTTTGAACCCAACCACGTCTTCTCGCTCTCGACCCACGCTAAATACCCTTAATCCCCATCAAATACATCTTTGGCAGTCAACAACCATAAGCATCGCGCTTTTTACTCTAGGTTGCAGGTGTCCGTAGGTTGCGCTAATCGCTTACCATCAGATGATCCGTCACTTCGTTTACGTCCAATTCAATAAAAAAACTTGCCAAAAAGGTGCAAAGATAGCAAAGTACGTAGCGTATTTTTATTTTTACATAATTGTTTATAATTATTTTTTGATGTTTAGGTACTAGCAAATATGGCCTAATCTAAAGAAAAACAACCCTACAAAAGCTGGTGCTGCAATGCCACCTAGCGGCTTTGGATTCAGTGGAAAGGCATGCAAAGAGGCTGATTGGTGATCCAGATTTGATTGGGTCCAATCTTCAAAGTCTCGAGCACAGACACAGAGTAGACAGCCTTGCGGTTTTCTACAGGATGCATTTTGGAGAGTGTGCCCAGGAATTGCACGATTTGATTCCGCCATCCCAATTTCACCTTCGGACATCCCGGCGTACGGGGAATATCCACCCCTACGTTGTTGAGACACCTGCGGCCCGGATATAATAATAGTTTGCCGGCTGCAGTCTTTCCGTCCGAATACAATTTGGGTGTCTTCAAGGCTAGAGTGAATAGGCTCTTAATAAACTAGTGCGCCTTACCATCTACGATTGCATGACTGCTTACCATCAGGTGGGATCGCAGTCAAGCACTAGTTTGTTGCAAGAAAAAAAAAACATGATAACATATTTTTTTATTCTATGGTGGGGAACATGACAATAAAATTGACACATGTCAAATTATCATACGATATTGTCTTTGGATTGTACTTCACTACGTTTATTGATAAGCGATAACAAAATACTTTCATTATCATCAGTTTATTCTGTAAATACGTGCAGAATAATCAAATTAGATAATTAATTTCATTGCGATACTTGAAAGTAAAATCGTCTTATTGCTCATAAGTAAAAATGGCCTTATCAAAACCAATTATGAACTTATTGAGTTCTTATTTACAAAACTTATATTTACATCCTATTAAAACCAAAGCTATTACAAGGTGAGTAACGTGAAGCTGAATAAATTAATTTGATTTGTATACTTTGCGTGCGTTGTCCAAAGTTCAACTCCAAAGTCTAGATTAATGTGATTTTTATTTTGACCTATGACTACCAATATTTCTAACCGTGTTACTTGCATTAATTACAGTTGCGTGGTAGGTTCGGTTGGCAGCTTAGCATCCCAGTTAGTAGCCGGTGAAAAAATTAAGGTAGACACAATTTCCGCTTTTGCCTTGTATGGGTAAGTCATACATATTTTTCCTCCGTTTTTCGTTGTACTATAATAACGTGCGATTGTATTTTTAATATAACTTTTGTTACATTTCAGTTTATTCTTCGGCGGTACCATCCCTCATTATTTATATGAAATCACAGAAAGACTGTTCCCAGAAGAAGTGGTTGCATTCCCTCTAGTGAAGAAACTTTTATTTGAAAGATTATTATTTGCTCCATTCATTCAAGCCTTCTCATTATACACACTGGCCAGACTGGAGGGCAAAACACACAACTCTGCTACAAAACAGCTGGTTGCCCTATACTGGCCTATTTTAGAAGCAAACTGGAAATGGCTAACATTGTTCCAAGTTATCAACTTTGCTTTTATTCCACCTATGGTAAGCACTATTGAATCTAAAAAATATTATTAATAGTTTTTTAATGCAAATTATATTTAGAACACATATCATTCAGAGAAGTTTTTTGGCATATTTGAGATACAGTTATGGTAAAAAGTATTGGATGTATAATATTGTAAAATAATTGTATTTCCAGCTAAGAGTCCTGTTCATGAATCTTGTTGGACTTGGTTGGGCAATGTTCCTGGCCACAAAGCGACGTCAACAACAACAGAAAAAGGAATGAAAAAATTTACTAATGCTCAACACTAGGTGGTGGGTGATATAATCTGTGATGGGTGACAAACATTTATATAAAAAAGTCTTTTTATAAATATTTACAATGAATTAATATGTCAAAGGTTATTGGGGCAATATGATGACCTCTTTAGTGATGTAAATGTCTCAATTTAACATTGTTGTTATATTTCTATTTATGCATATATTTGCTATTGTAATGATAAGCAATAAAAAAGTTTAGATCTATAACTATACTGTCTAATGTCAATAAAATTTAAAGTTATGGAGATCATGATAATTATTATTATGAACTATAACTATAATTTTAATTGAACTTGAATTAGCTTTGAAATTTGAAAGAAAATAATAAGAGCATTTTGTCACATTCCTCAATGAAAATAATAATTATATAATCTGTATTAAGGTTTTTGGTGCGAGGCCCACAATCTTATCTTGTTGCGATATCATTTAATTGCTTTATGTGAGGTATGTTTATTGTTTCAACTGGTCAGGGACATGGATCAAATTATTCAACTATTGTAATAAAATAATAATGTTGTTGTATCAGGGTACTTTATTTGACAACAGCAGTTTGTTCCATTATCTTGACATTAATATTACACAGGTCTGTGGGAGTGCCTAAAACTATTTCACTAAGTCATAATCTGCAAAATCAATTCTTACGCAGTGCATTTTTTTATTAAGATGAGATTTCTCTTTACAAACAAAGTATGTATAAGTTCTCTCTAATTAAACTGTTTTATACTGTTACAACTGAGTATTATTGAATATCGTCATATTTATTGCTTAATTATATTGAAACAAATAGATAGTTCCAATCATTTACATACAATACATTCTTACAACACTAGAATTATTCAGTTTATCACCTATTCTACCATATTATTTCAATAATTTAATAAATAGAAAAATAAATATTTTGTAAAATGAGTTGACTAAAATTAAATTTGTAAAATAAATGAAATAGTGTAAATATGAGATTTGAATTAAATATATTGCACTATATTCTAATAAAGTATAAATAAGTACTCGATTTTGACTAGAGTATTTTCCGTTACAATAAAATAAATTAACTAAAGAAAATAATTTAAATAAAATTACCAACAATAAAACAAAGTAAAAATGCAATACTTAGAGATCAAGTATTAATTTCCAATAAGGAATTTGATAGAGTAAGCACATTTGACTAGATAAAATATCTTATTCTATTTTTTTGATAAAACATCAATCAAAAAGTCGATTACTTTGGCTTATTTGCTACCTTACATTCGGTTCATATTTACAAAATGTTGACCAGACATTCAAATTTCATAATAAACTTTGTTTTTGTAACTGAATATTGAATGGGTGGGTATAGCTAATAGTTAATCGTTAGAAGTGCATTTATGTCGTTGAAATTTTGTTTATAGGGCCTTAAGTGTATGGCACTTAGATTATGGTGGTTGTTATTCTCTGTCGGGTCGCGGGGAGCGGGACCAGCTGTGCTGCGACGAGCGGCTGCTGACGGTGGAGGTCGGCGTCGAGGGCGTCGGCCTCCGGTACGGGATGGGGCGCTTGCGCGCGCTGTTATGGTTATTGTGTTAGTAGGATGCTTATGAGTTAGTACAGTTAGACATGCGATATGAAAGCAAACATGATCATTGATGGATTTTAATTAGAACGTTATTAATTTCAAGTCATTTCTCAGTTTATTTAAAATCGTAGAATGATGATATGAGCATTAGAGATGCAACTTTGAAATAATAGCTTACCTTGTGAACGAAAAAAGAAAAAATACATTCATAACTGAAAGCTTCTTCTACAAAACGGTGTACAGCTTCTAGCTTCACTACCATGCAGCAAAACGATAAAAAAATAAAAACAACAAAAAATCGATTCAATAAACTTTAATGTGATAAAACAAAATGAATAATCTTGAAACAGAGAACACACTCAGCATGTTCCTAGATAAATAGCACACTGACTACATCTGGCGGTCATCACTGTAAACTCCCATAAGGCGTATATCACATTGGCACACGTTATCCTCTTCTATACTTGAATTTGTTTGTGGAGTATGATATATCTATAATGGGTGCGCTACGGAGGAAAAACAACTATTAAATTATGTTTCCTTTCAACTTCAAACTATCACATAATTTCAAACGATTTCATTTATTTTTATAAATGATAAAAATGCATTAAAATCGATTAGTGACAGTTTTAAAATATCCCATATTTAATTTGATTTATGAATGTAATATAAAATCACTATTCCAATTTAACACTAATTATCTTACGACTAGTAGCACACCCTGTTAGCAAGATCAGTGTTAAATAGACACACACATTTAGTGTTGTTATCATAGCAGAGACCAATGGTAGTTCAAATATTCACAGCCAATGGGAATATATCAAACAAACATACGTATTTAAAGCTAATCAGCCTCTATACAGATATGGACACCCAGAATATAAAAGAGAGAATAATGCTTTAGCGATATATTATATGAAAAATAGGGCTTATTATTTAAATACAATAATACATAATGTTACTTAAACTAATTCACACTATAGCACATTCACTTCACTACTCGGAGCTACTACTCGTGTCTTCAGAACTCGTGCTATGCTTTCGTGATTTTTTTCTATAAACAAAACAAAAAAACCAAAATAGATAATGGGATAAATAACGGTTTAGTGTCATATCATGGAGTTACTGCTAGTGCTTGCCCACACACGTGTTAGTTAGTATGAAAGTGCTCCAATACACGGATTTAAAATAAAATGCTACAATGAAAACTTTTTACATATTTTAGACGACACGTCAATCTATATAAAACACAGTTTGTGAGCCTCTAAATATTAAATACATGAATATTACCATAATTAGAATGAATGACAACTACCATGATATGTCACAACAAACGCAAAATAAAAATAACAAGCTCAACTATAGATAATAAATCAGAATAAAAAAGCGACACACAGAAAAAGTAACACACTGTGCAACCACCGTGACATCTATTCAACAAAATAAAAAATATCACTATACAGGATTATGGCGCCCAACATGACATAAAGATCTGTCAAATAGAATGTCATCATTGATTGCACTTACGAAATCCCTATTGCTCAAGAATACAGTGCTTTTAGCTGTAATTTTGTTAAAATAGTACAAAGAAAACACAGTATTTTACTAGTTAGGTATTTTTAAAAGCACTGTTCTTTTACGTGGAAGATACCTCGTGATCCGTCGCCTATCCAAGAAGCTGGGCGAGCCAGCGCGGCGCGGAATGGAAGGCGAGCGTGATCGCGTGCGTGCGCGTGACTCGCTGGATCTACGGTAATCCGCGTATACGCCTGTCATTGTTCTGATCGATACCAATGTCGCATGCATGCATTGTTTGTTTTTCGATTTTCATTAAGCGGAAAGAAAAATTTACTGTTAATATCTTTGTTAATTATTTAAAAGAAATGCGTTGGTTCCGTGTCGGTTTTAGTTTTAAGTGGATAAGCTTTAAGAAGATAAGAAAAAATTCAATTTAAGAAGCAACCCATTTCTTTTAATCTACTTATAACTATTTCAGACAAACAAACTTTATCTTGTATAATGTCTCATTCCAAAACTGTAGATTATCTTTAGTTTTATCAATATTGGGTTTGGAATAAGGCGTCAAAGTTTTCTGTGTCTATAGAAAAATAAGCTAAAACTTATAATCAAATCCTGTGTTTCCTATTTGAGATCTCCCATGTACTGTTGGTGTTGGTGTCGTTTTGTGACTTAACGTGTGTCGCCTTGATTTTTTATATTTAGAGCTTCCTTTTTACATTTCATATATATGTTTCTGAAAGTCTAGTCTCATTATGGAAGTGTATTGATAATTAGTGTTGCCAGCCAGAATATTACCCCATCTATATGTATCATATATTTATTTATAATACATATTTACCACTTGTAAACTTATCCCATTTGTGAACTGTAACCTGCTTCTAAATCAAGAGTAGTTTTTGAGTCGACACACTATCTTATAATTTATATTTCGAACAATAAAGTTAAATAATATCATCCAGGAATGAATTTTCATACTGTTTAAGAATAAATTTAAAATTATTTATTATAACAAAACTTTATTGTTAGATTGAACACGAAATACAATGGGTAACACTGTAGGTTGTAATGTTTACCTAGACGATCGGGTAGACCTCGATGTGCTGCGCGAAGACCGAGAGGAACTCCGGCTGCTATACGAGGACGAACGACTTGAGCGGGATCGTCTGGAACAAACAGCATAAACACTTTACAACATTTGCTAAACAAACAAATCGTTAATTCATATAAAATCAGTCTATAAATCATAGAATGTATTCTTGAATATTTTTTATTGTTAAAGGCTATGCTTTTTGTCGAGCAATAAAAATAAAACGAACCTTGAGGAGGAATAGGAGCGCGACCTGGACCTGGAGGAGCGCGAGCGCGATCGCGACCGCGAGCGGGAGCGGGACGACTTGTTCCGCGAGCGCGAGCGGGACGCAGAGCGGCGCGACGACGAGCGCGACCAGCGCCGCCGCGCGCTGCCGCCCGCCACCTCCTCGCTCTTCCTCACCTCCGGCGATGACTCCACGTTCACAGGCGGACTCGCGGCCTTTTTAGGACTCGCAGCTTTACTCACTTCTGGGCTCTTCTTTACTTCTTCCACTGCCGCAGGAGATTTCTCTTTAGCTTTATCTTTAGCGGGGTTTATTGGACTCTTATCTTTCTTTTTGTTGTTCTCGACGACTACTTCCGTCTCTCTAGACTGAGACTCGGCCCGCGTGGCCTGCCACGTCGATGTCGATGTCGACGGTCGGTTCATCATTTCCTCGACCCTCCTGCGCTCTATTGACACTTTAGCTAGTTTAGCCAGTCTTTCTTTCAGTCTACTAAGTTCTTTGACGTCTAACTCTTCTTGCCGAAGCCTGTCATCTATCCTCGAAAACTCAATTTCATGGTCTTCGAGTTCGCTGGACGAGCTGCGCATGCAAACTGCTTTTGGTTTGTAGTTTTCCGCTAAATCTTTGCTGCTTTTCTTTTTGGGTTGTAGATCTGACGGAGATTTAATGTATTTGCGTTTATCCTTTTCAGGTAACTTCTCAATGATATCTCTGTACCGCTCGGGGCTGCGGCGCGCGGGGGAGTAGCTGAGACTAGAAGTGCTCCGGCTCTTGCGCGCGGAGCGGGACCGCGAGCGGTCCCTGTGCGAGGCCCGGCTGTCGTGGTTCCGCTCGCGGTGCTCCGGCCTGGGCGAGGCGCGGCGCTCCGTGGTGCCTCGTTCTGACGACTTTTTGCTTTTCTTAACTGGTGTTACACTCTTTCGTTTGTCCTTTTTTGAGCTTTTGCGTGGAGTTGGAGATTTGGACCGACTCGGCGACGGTTTGCGCCGAGATCGTTCTTCTGGTGAAGGGGACTTCCTCGTAGGCTTACTGGTTTCACGTTTACTTTCTAATTTCCGACTTTTGTGTTTCTCACCTTTGCTTTTGGTCGGAGGGGATTCTTTCCTCTTGTGTTCAGAGGAGCGGCTTCGTTTCCTATACTCCCTCTGTGGTGGGGACTCGCTCCTGTCCTTGTAGTAGCGAGCTTTATTTCTAATTTTCTCTAATTTCTGTTTGGCAGCTGGTTCTGACTCGGATTCGGATGACGAATACTTCCTTTCTGGTCTTTTTAGCGATTTTTCCTCTTTTCGAGATTCTCTGTTCTTAGAACTTTTGTGGATCGGCGACTTTTCTTTGTATTCCGAAGAAGATTCTCTTTTGTCTCTAGAAACACTCCTGTCCTTCTTTCTCCTCGGTTTGTCTTCAGACGCGTCCCGATACTTTCGTTTCGTCGATACGTCTTCATAAGTATCGTGGTTATTCTTATGATTCTTGTCATATTTGTTATCTTTCTCCTTTCTCCTAGGGTGCGAGGTCTCGCGCCGGCTATATCTGTCATCTAGAGATTCACTTCTCCTGGCAGCTTTACGTTCTTCTCTATCGTCTCTGTGGTTTTTGTTGTTTTCTTTAATAGTTTCCTTTTTGTTATAGTAAGTGTCTTCGTTTCGCTTTCTGTATTCTTGAGACGAACTCTTTCGCCGCCTCTTTTCGGGTGGTGGAGATGAGCTGGACTCCCTGGAATAGTGTTTTCTGCTTCTCTTGTCGGACCTGCTCTTGGTAGCGGGTTCTGATTCTGTTTCTGGGGAAGACCGCTGGCGGTCACGTTTCGATCGCTTGGAACTTTTCCGTTTCTCTCTTTCTGATTCTACAGAAGGTTCTCGCTTCTTGTTTTCGACTTTGGTGATGTAGGACCTCTGGCGGTATTCTGGCGAGGAGTCCCGGTCCTCGGAGGAGCTGTGTTGCCGCCGCCGGTCATTGACCCGCGACTCGCGCGGCGGAGGCTCGTCACGTTTGTCGTACTTTCTGCTTCTCTCCTCACGGTCTACCTTTCTGTACTGACTATCATTATTTCTGTCTTCAACTGAACGATCGCGATCGCGATCCCTATCCCTTTCCCGATCACGATTCTTCTCTTTTGGGTATTTTACTGGGGAACTAAAAACACACAAATTAGTTTTGCATTGTAATATATAATACAGGATATATATGTACACAATGTATGATTTATATTTATATTTACCTGTCACGACTCGAAGCTTCACTGCTGCCGCGTCGTCGGCTGCTCGATTTTTTCTGTTCAAAAATTTGACAACGAGCGTAAAGATCATAGTTGGAATAGTTGGGCATACAACACCAGTGCCAATACAATAGACTATAGTGGTAATGGCAAATAAACATGTTTCACTAAAACTTGTACCGGAAACTCTTCATGCGGCTTCGAGCGAAACGGATGAAGAGTTTCCATAAAGAAAAAACAATAAAAATGTATCACTTGTACACATGCACTCTAATAAGGAATAGTAATAGGCATCAAACAAAAGAGAACAGTTGAAAAATAAAATATACTTAAAGCTATTGATGGAAGCAAGTATAAATAAACATGTATCTGTTTGGAAGTGTATTCTGGACGATATCTTAGAATGTTATTCAATAGAGTATCCATAACATTCTCGAAGTGTCAACTCAAAGTAATATATGTATATATAAATAAATATAATAATATAGATAGAGAGGGAACATAAATGAGTGTTGTCTGGTTGGCACCGGTGCGTTACTCGCTTACGATAACTTGTTAGTAACACAATACGGCTCAACATAATTCATCATAAATACATATAATACACAAAAATCAAATGTAAATATAACACTTCGGTAACGTACCTTATTTAACAAACGGTGGTGGTATTGTATACCATTTAAACATGTGGAGCATCCTTAATTAGTTTTGGGTAAATGAGAAGAGGGAGAATGTTATGGATTAGTTACATTTTAATAATCAGACAGTCTGGATATTACTACACGCGACGTGTGTGGTACGGGAACGTGCTCGCCGTATGTTTGGCTTTATGTGAAGTATAGTTTAGTAGAGGCAGGTACAAGGAGGCAGGTTGGCGTAGCACACACGGCGGCGCAGAGCACGACAGGTAGAACCACGGACTGCTTGTAACAACTACACACCATGCATACAGCATACACACTGCGCACTCGGACTCACGATCGCACTTCCATGTAATCTCATGAGCGGTGTGTTAGTCACAAATGCGGTTGTTAACAATGCATTACCAAAATTATCACGGAGTACATAATTTTAGTATTCACCTAACATAGTGTCTTACTGAGTGTTATTGCTTTGTGATATACTTACAGTATACGTTATTTCTTCAGATAAAGATGGCTATCCTATGAAATGATGCACAGTTAAACAGATAATTTTTACTGGCTATTTCTTGTATTTACAGGAAATAAAATAAAAATGAGGTAAGAAGACAATAACATTTAAATAATACGTATCGAGCCCCACACGGACCGCTAGTGGAACGGAACATTCTCGCGAGTACGACCAGCTCGGACACTACCGATGTAAAACATACTCTGTGGCTACTACAGTTAGTTCGACAGTTGAACGATGCAAGTAGAGGGATGGAGATAGGGCCGTGTGAGGAAATTATACACAAACCAAAATTCGTGAAGCCAATATTGTATGCAGAGGAGGTGCCGAGAATGTCATATTCATTGTATCAGGCCAATGTGTTTGTTACACATCAACATAAAATAAAGAAAGCAATGTGCTACTCGAGCTATTCGGTTGTTGCCAAGTCACTATAACATTGTACTAGTTACTGAAGGATGGAACATTATCTGAGAGGCAGTCGAGTGGCTGGAGGCACGCGGAAGGATCCCGAGTTAATCTAAACGAGGCACCGTGCGCCACTATCCCTCTAGTCGGTACCCAGGCCCCACACACGGAGTAGTAACGTTAGAAGTCAATACTCAAAGATTATGTTTCATGTTCCAACACTAGACGTGAGCAATCAAAGTTGCTTGTAAGAGAATCGTTTCTAGAAGCTGAATTAGATTTGAAAAAGAGTAATCGAAGCATAGTTTTTGAGTTTGTAAGCAAACTAAACATAATCTTTGAACGGCAGCATTCCTATCTGATAGCTAGACATTAGGAGTATTGTTAAGTTAATGTTTTAATTACCTTCTTTTTCTTTTTGTGTCGTTCATCGTCCGAGGAGGCGGTGTCGCTGTCCGGTCCCCCCTCCGAGCTGCTCGAGCTGTCCGACTCGGGCGGCGACTTGGATCGCTTCTTCTTTTTCTTGCTTGCTTCTTGTCTGGTAACAAATAAACATCACTTAAGCATCTCCACAGAACTATGTTATATATTATAAGTCTAGTTATATATTTGAAACCTTAATTCTTACCATACAGACGAATTTTGGGAATATCAGTATGTAATTAACATAATAACGAAGTAGGATCGAAATGTTTTATAATGACATTTGATAGCAATATTAAAGGGATAACTTTTAACGAGTTGGTACTTCATATAAAAGGTCTGTTGCATGAAAAATAAAGGAAAGCCAAGTGATTAAGAACCGAGTTTATGCCCTTGGTTTAGACTTAAGTGCTTTATATTTTGAAGGCGTGTTTTTTATAACAAGTGATCATGATAACGGAATTGTTATGAAATAAGCACACAAGTTTTATAAGCATGGTAACACACTTTTATGTAGTATATAATATATAGTAAGTAATAAATATCGTACAGCGATAAAACCAACAATAATTTCCTGAAGGAACAATAAAAATAACCGTTACTGCCCAACCTTAGTAAATAAAGTTTATATTCAACCTCATACCATACCTATTGATGAAGTCCCATAACATTTTTCTTTCACTGAAATGATCACCAGACATATTTGATACTCGAATTTATAAATAAATAAATAAAAGGCAATTTATAAATAAATATTTTGATACTTGCCTCTTGGACAACCGAAGAGTCACCTGTCTGGGTTCAAATGTAATCTATGAAATTTACGCCAATATTTACAAAATTATATAAAATGATATAAATAAACAAATATAATTAAGTTTAATTTACATAAATGACAAACACTTACTTCTCCTTTTTATTTTTCTTTGACTTTTTCTTCTTCAGTTTCTTCGCATCTGGTGATGTACTGGAATTGATAATAAAGCAAATTAGTACATACATATAAAAGTATTGCAGTAGGAACAAGCAATAATCCTGAAACATGAATTGATTTATTACTATTTAGTCTCGAGAAAAATAAATTAGAAAAAATAGTTTAGAGTCGGAAGACTAGGAACAGGATGGGGGAACGGAATACCGTGTTATTGTAAGTCGATACTACCTTCTCTTTTTCTTCCTCTTGGGTGGATGAGGGTCTCTCTCGTCGCGCTCGTGGCTGGGCGTGCGCACGAGTGGGTAGCGCTGTGCGTGTTCCCGCGCGCGCCGCTCGGGGTCCAAGCTGGAGCCCTCCACGAACCGCGGCGAGATACCAAACGCGTCACGCAACCGAGCGTTCTTCTCCTGCTGAGCTTCGGCCACTGCGTGCGTCTCGCGAACGCTGCCAAACAATACAATACACTATGCAACCTCACCGCTTCCATACCAACATAATAGGCACTATAACAAACAACTACTCAAGTCTGTATTCAATAAAATAAAAGCTGTCTAACACATATTTACCTGCACAGCACCTAAGTGCGCTAAAAATAGGGAAACATTATTTTAGCAAAACATTCTTTACTAAAACCAATTTTCTCTTAATAAATCTTGACATTGCATAAAATCAATGATTAACGCATCTAGTAAGTCTGAGTCGTACAGTTATTTCAACTAATACCTTTTAGAACTGTGGATATGATGTAAGTTTTAATGAAATGTGAAAATTTGATATCGCTCGGATGCGATGACCCATATAGAACAACTACCTGCAACACCTACAGTGCAATACGTACAGTAGAGTATCGGTAAAGTAGTGTGCACACCTTATGACGGATCGCATGGACTTCCTCTCCTCATCGTTGGAGAGACAGACCTGCAAATTGTCGTTAAAGTTGCGATCTGTCGCGTTACAGTTACAGCGGCAGCAGCACGAGTTGCGGAGCCCCTCGAGGATGGTGCGCAGCGCGGGCGCGAGCGCGTCGGGAGGCGCGGGCCGCGGGACCAGGCTCGGGAGCGCCACGTCTGAGGTGGGCTCGTGCGAGGAGGCCCGCGCGCGCCGCGCCGGCCCCGCCAGTACAGCTTGGAACGTGCCCCTCCACAGCCGCTCGAATACGACCCTATTGTTTTGTGTTGCATCGCGTCGCGGAGCCCTGCTCTGCCTTTGCATCTTAATCTACTTACTAAACTAATGGAAGACTTGGTTTCTTAACGCTAATATAATCTTTTCTAAGACTAATGCATGGCGGCTGGGCCGCGGAAGACTTGTTTGAGCAGAGGAGCGTAGGGGCTACATCCTAGAGCGGCCGGCAGCGGACCGGCGGCGCTACTGCGGGGCGTCGGGCGCCATAACAGGAAACACGCAGACGCGCGCAGCCTGCGCAAACATCGGATACGCGCCTTGTCGCGGCGATCACAAAGGGATCTCTCCCCCACACCCTTCTTTACGGCTCAAGTAATTTACTCTCATTTGCAAAATGAATACTTTCTCAAAGCAAATTAAATTACTTTTGAACGATTCAGCCCGGTCGCAACTTGTAACCGGTGTGGCTAGGAAAGGTTTTGTATGCAATGTCCCTCATCATCATTTTAATTTCTTATGTTAGATGAAAAGGTCATGTCTTATTAGTACCTACCTAATGATATATCAAATCGGACTATCCTCAGTTCCGCCTGTTTACTGACAACATAAATTATCGCAGCGTTTTAAAAAACCGAGAATCAAAACGGGGTAATATGGACAAATATTAATATTTTTGCTGCTTAAATTATAAGAACTCTCTCTTCGTTAATAATTTATAGCTAGTGCCTAGTACTAATACATTTGTTGTAGCGTTATGCAATTAGTTATAATTTACGAGTGTCACTGTTACGAAGATGTCGTCAGTCTCATTCAAATCATAATAGCAAATTAATCTTGTTAGCTATTTCAGAACATGACTTGTAGAGACGGCTATACTACTTGTCTTAATAGCTAATAGATATTAATAGGTTATAAGGAGTCCGATGTTTAAACGCTTGTTGCTTGATTGCTTTAATTCTCAAGTGTTGATAAATAAATTTCTCATTATCCTAACGTAGAGCAAATTGATAAAGAAAAGAGTAGTATTTAGCATAGGTACACTAGAGCCATTGAACACACACACATTCAGGGAGAAACAGAGCGCCCTAAAGTGAGTCTAGTGGCGTTGAGAGCAGCCTATTCTCTGCTCGAGAATGGGAGCAAACAATTAAGGTCCGCACAAAGAACTATAATTGGATCATTAGGAAAAGTGTGTAACTCTTAACTACCGTCGAGATTTGTGCCGCGTTTTGTGTGAAATAATTACAATACGCAGTAACATACAATATTTTAACGAACCTAATAACTTTACGCACGCGATCTAGATATAAAAGTACTTAGAGCATTTCTTTTAATTACAAGTTACGTGACCTTGTTAGGGTAAACGAGGCAGTAAATATTTTGGTTTTCAAAGGGACTAAGCGTGTTACAAATCATTAACACACAAAAACGAATGTAGTCATCATAATCGGCACATTTAAACACGAATATGTCCGTAATACTAAAGTATGTCGACTTATTCTTATTGACAAATAATAAATGACAGCCAGAATGTAACGAAAGCATCCGAAAATGTGAATTATAGTTGTCTGTACAATGCGCACCTGCGCCTGATCGTTCACTGCCAGACTGCCAATCGCAGTGTTGATCCTGGCAGGCGGGTCTCATCTCGTGCCAAATACCCATGTATCACGACTACGAGTATCTTTAGCCGTCCATAAGCAAGGAGGTGCGGTTTCTGGCACGCACTATGCTTATCCCGCGGCCACTCCCGTTAATTACGATATACGCCTGCCACTCTCACCGTTCATTTGTTTTGCGATCGCGTGACTAATAAATAAATGTGTCAAAATTTTATACGTGCTCAGATTTTATAGCGAGCCTAGTAATGATTTGTTAGAATTCAGAATGTATATTAGTGAAATGTAGGTACGTACGTTCATTGTACGCGAGCTTAATTTAACAGTGCGATGGTGGAATATGTATATTTTTGTGCGCTCCGCGTCTTCGTGTTTATTATTAAAAATAAAACAGTACATTATTTGGGACGAGGTAAAAAGATAATAATTTGCCTGCGTGCGAGTTTCGTTACGAAATTGTCTGCATTCTAGGAAACTTTCTCTGAAGTATATTTTTTGCTTTGGAATGTCTGAATAAATTATTGTGTATTTCTACAACTTTAAGATCGTAGTAAACTGAGAGTACAATTTACTGGTGGGTGAAGGACAAGCTGAGAATGATATGTCAAATGTGACATCACTATAATGATTATGTCCAGTACTTAGGTAACAACTGCAATCAAATGTTCAAGTGAGTGGTCACGGTTGTGTACGAAACCGTGTCTTGTATTTTTTTCAATGTGACAAGGCATCTTCTTAACGTATGTAATAATAAGGCACCAAGATTTCTTATTTTCTTGCAAGAGACACCTTTTCAATATCTGCACGTGCTAACATCTAGAATGACTGGTCAGATTTGAAAAAAATCATATATAAAGCACCCATACTACAGAATACGACTAAAATATACAACTTCTAGGGCTGATTTTTCAATGGTTAGATAAAAGTTAATTGGCGAGTAATTATGATGCTGTCGCGTCGGAATGTTTGTATAAGACAGTGAGCAACAATTTTATTCCTTAGATAAGATTTATCTGACTATTGAAAAATCAGCCCTTAGTCGAAAACTATCTACCAGGTCAGCCAGTAACCTAATCAGACATCTCCACAAACAAACGGACACGTAGCATTCTGTTTAATTAATACAAACATAATAATACAGTTATCTACTGCGTAATTAGGAACACCTGATCAAACCAGTTCATCACGAATACATACTTAATAGATATTTCCCAAAACGAAAATAGAATTATTTTAGGTAACAAGTTAAGCCAAGGAAGTCTATTTCGATACGGCTATTTAGATGTGACGTCATCATGGAACACGTGGTTCTCAATCGAACCACAACAAATTTTTCTCTAAGTTTTTTCATGGACAGCTGTTGACAATTTTTTGTAAGGCTCTCAATGGGTCTCTTCATAAGACGGGTAATCTCCAGCTTACCAGTCAGCTACCTTCAGTAGCTTATCAAAAAAATCTGTTTAATGTGTTGACTTCTTTCCTTCTTTTTAGTCGGCGCTTACGACACCCAATGGGAAGACCAGTTCGGTGGTAATCAACCAATCCTTATCAGCCATGAATAGTATTTTGAAGATCCTCCTTTTCCGGGAACCTTAGGGAACTTTACTGTCTATTCCTTAAACATGTCCTTAGTTGAGGGAAAGGGGAGTTGATATCCTATTCATTGCATGACTTTATTATAACATTATTGCATGTTCCCTACAACAGCTGTAAAGGGTGCAAGTTAAATGAGTTGAATAAGTCACTGTAACGACAACAAAATTTTAACCAACCAAGTAATACGGTAATTCGTTTTGTATTACATTCGAGATTAGATTTCCATCCAACCATTACATAGTACCTACATCGATTTCCCACGTAATTTTTGCTAACAAAAATACGTTTAAGTTTATTATTTCAACATCAAAACGTTTTGCCAAGGATAGTGACAATTGCTTAGTAGTAGTGTAATCACAAGCACCTATGACGCGTTTAGAAAAGAAGTTATGGAGACTGAACTCCTTTCCCTTTCCTTTTGGGTATCACATGGCAAAATTACGTATTTAAAAAAAATGAAATAACTAATCAACCATTTAGTATTTAACTCATTCCAAACTTAAGAACGTAGCTTCTTCAATAAATTTCCATTCCCTTTTAATATCATAAAGAAATGTCATTTTAGTAACAATAACCTTTCCTCCATGATTAAAATTTACTGAAACATGCTTAGTTATAATTATTATAAAACACCACGTAGGTTGTATAATGGTTGCTTTATTAGGTCTATAGTTATTACTAAAGTGGGGTGGGTATACACCGTATTAAAACTCCTGTGACCTCCCGTCTCCCCGTCGCGGGTCGCGGGTGTGAGGTACCGACGTCATGCAACCCGATCGATATGCAAGGACCCTACAATATCGGCTACGTTCGTCGAGGTCCGCGAGTCGCTGCTGAGATTTATAAATAGAATTACAGGCTCTATGAATGGAGAATTATTTTCTTGTTTTTTTTTTTTTGATGACAGCAAAATGTTTAGAAAAAAAGCAATACTTTTAAAATTATAGGAATAACGCTACAGGTGGAACTGAAATATGAGATAAGTAGGTAACCATAAAACCATTTAACACGTAAACTTAGACTTAATTCATCTTTCACTTTTTGTCAACATTTCTAAATTGAACTGTTATCTTATTGTTAAACGATAACAAACTTGCTATAAAATAGTTTATTACTATAATTATTAAACTAGTCCATTATCCTTGTAGACCTCTTATAATCCTAATTCAGCATAAAATGTGTAACTTAGCCCAATGACTATAGGTATAAAAATCCTCATTTTATAGAGAAAGAATAGAAACGGAGATAGGACCTTGGAGAATACTTCAGGCCGCGATTTTATGTGAGAACCACCGGTAATTGGCTTACCCAGTTACCTAGTGGGGGGAAAATGCCCCTTGACGACACTAAGGCGTTCCCTTAAGGAAGGAATACAAGCAATCAAGTACCATATAAAAAAAAACTATAAATAACTTCGTTAATGGGCCCCGAGAGACGTGTTTCAACCACCAAATAATGAAGTAATTTATTAAAAACTTTAGCAATCCATTAAGAAACAATGAAAATGGAAAATGTGAGGTTTCTTTCAAACATATTTCTATGGCCATTGACCTTGGTAACAGGAAACGGGGGTTGGGGTGTAGGTAATGTATTACATTCATACGGAAAATGGTAAATAACTTATTTTCCCTAATGTTTTGTACCAACTTTAGTTAGTAATGTAATGTAAGCTCAAATGTAATAGGTCAGATGTCTTTAAAAAGGCTAGTTATAGAAGAAACTCTATGGACGGGTAAGAGAGCTTGTCAAGTTACAGTTTCTAACCAAATAACTTATACAAAACAGCATAACTAACGCAAATAAGAATAACCACACGAACCGGCGAACTTCATACTGCCTAAAAATTAACCAACACCTCAATAATTACACTTTTTATCCTTATGAAATCAAATGTCACTTACAGAAAAATTATTATGGGAATTCATTAATGTTATTACAATTTACGGGGTAAAACGTAAATAATTATAATCTATCTCTGTGCCAAATTTCATTCAGATCAGTTCAGCAGTTTTTACGTAAAAGAGGAACAGACATCCATGCATATTTACAAACTAATGTTTGTTATTAGATGGAATAACCAGAAAAACAATAAAAGTCAACCTACAAACAGCCATTCCTTTGCACAGTTCTAGCTTCTAGAAACACAATACATTTTATCAATCGAACAAAGACCTACCTAGAAAATCATAACACTCCCTATCACAACAGCTAACGATCTTGGTTTACGTGCGTTAGCTACTTGAGACAAAGGTTTACTTGGCATTTACGAGACAATACCGAATGTTATAAATTATGCTATCGATGTGGGCCAACTGAAATAGATCGGCGGGGCAACGTAAATAGTGTCTTCGCTATATGATCTACTGGTTTGTCGGGGACCGGAGATTATCTGGATAGATTAGTTGTGTGTAGTCAGATATAACATTGAATTAGTGAGATTTGTTACATACAGAGGCTTATTGATATGCATTTGTTGACAGATCACATCAAACGAAAGAATCTTCAGGAGATCTCAGATTTTTAAGTTTAAACCATGTCACAATAATGAAAACTTAGTGATTTTAGTCTACAAATAATATGACGTTAACAAGACAACAGATACTAGAAGCATGCTCATAAGCTATATGCCTAGGAATGACCCTTAACCTCGTGCCTTTCAAAAGCATAAACCGTAAGGTGGAGATGAAAAATCAATATGGGGGTGGTAGCGAGCGCACCTGCCGGTGCATCGGACATTACCCCCGTTACACAGTAATTTCATTACAAATGAAAATGTTTGACGAAAAACTTCAGGCTAATAAGCATTCCGAAACCAATAATCATATTTTAATTAAGCTTTTACTTCTGGGATGGAAGGGATGCCCTAAATTTTTCTGCAAGAATAATATTCACATAAAGAATATCAACACGTACGAAAACGAACAGTGTACCAAACAAATAATACTAAATATATTAATTTGTATAAACACAATCAGCTGAGTACATATTTCTACAGACTACGGTGACAAGGGAAAAAGAACTCTATGAACATGAAGATTTACACCTGTATTTTCAAGTTTCAATACTTAGTAGCATGTATTGATCGAAGCCGGACGGCCATTTATAAAGGTAAATAGCGATGTAGAGCAGTAGAGGGTTTTCATCATTAAATGTATCTTAAGACTTACAAACATCCTTTTACAGATATAAAAATGAAATATTAGAACTTCTCGATTCGTAAGTTCTTTTAGACTATTGTGACTACTCGATTAGTAGCTATCGGGATAAGGTTAAGAATAGGGTTTTTTTCTGATGGAGGGAGAGAGAGAGAGAGAGAGAGAGAGAGAGAGAAAAAGAGAGAGAGAGAGGGAGATTCATGTTTCTCTGATGGAGGGAAATCATAAAGTTTCTGACTCTTACTGACTAATTTTCACCCCGTTCCTTCTCCTGCTCCAGGCCAAAGCCACGGTACATTATGACGCTTAACCCGCAATCCCGGCTGAATATAAAATGGATGCAATAATAATAGAAAGCTATGGCAGCCGTGACATTAACCTATGTATATGAAAATAATTATGAGTTAATTTTCCAATCAGTTATTTTCAGGATAATGTTCACAATATAATTATTTACTTGTAAGTGTTATAAGCGGGCACGGCTACCTAATTAAACTACTTACAGGCGGTGAAAATTAATTAAACGCTTGCAAATTGCCAATCAAATTAATTAAAATCTCGATTTTTTTCGCTCATATTCTATAAGCTGTGGTTATTCTTGTGTATAAGATAGAATGAAAGTGAAATTCGTTAATTTCATGCATTAGATGACTACTAATTAGATTAAACGATAGTGCATACCGTTTTTAGATTCTTTGGAAATATCAAAATCTATACTTATCATTATAGTTTTAAATTTTAGGTATAGTTCCATATTTTTTACATTTTAACTGTTCAATTTTTATTTGCCATTCAATATTTTTTATCTATTCTAATTTTTAAGTGCAATATTTTTTGCTTGCAACTTTATTTTCAAATAGAATTTTTTTTTTTAATTGGCTTAATGCTACTGTCGTTACTTAGTCATAAACATACTTAAATGTATGTGAATTTTAAATTGTCTACGTGTCGCATAGAACCAATTTGTGTAAGTGATAATTATAAATAAATAATTATAATGTGTTGCAGTGGCCTGATGATCTGTAGTACAGTTTCCACCTACACAGAAACCAGTCTCTTTTTCCTTAGTTAATTTCTCCATTTAGTGATGACAAAATAAATTATTACTTTTGAGTTAAAAATTATCAAGAGAAGAAACAAAAATAAGTAGAATAATTTTTAACCTATGATACAATTAGCTTTGACACTTAAAAACTTGATAAATACTCTCTAGTCAGACTTATCTAAACAATCAATAGACTTGACAGGTGTTGAATTGGGTAGTTTCCTAGGTCAAAAATAAATTAATTCGACGTTTTAATACGATAAAATATTGAAAAATAACTATACTTTTATTCATCGATCGATCGATACACTAAGTTTTAGACAGTTTTTAGCTTTTTTTAAAAATAAGTAACCTATTTGACGCAAAAATGCTATGACGTCATAATTCAATGTTTCATACAATTTTCATAGAAAAGTATCGTTTTTGACATTTGGATAAAAGTATTGAATTTGACTAGTTGGAAACAACCGTATTATATTACCTTTCCTTTGGAATCGAGCCATAATAAAAATAAAAACAAATAAAAGACAATCAAAAAATCACCAAGGATGATACTCGTACAGTTTATTACCGCATTTATTCCCATGTCTATCATACGCGCAAGAGAATTTGATTTAATCAGCCACCAATTGATACAACGAACACGTAGAAATTGAGGAGCAAAGTGTTTACTTCCGTATGACAAATGTGAAAGCACTACACATATATACACTATAATACTTACTAAAATTATAAATGGAACACTAATGTTAGCATTAGTACCTATTAACCCGCATTCAAATATTATTCCCGTCAAGCTTATTATCAAGACATCTCAATAGAAAAATTAATCAAGTTTTTTGCTAAAATAAAATCCGATAAGGTGCATTTAATGCGTTAAATTGAATGATCGATTATGGCTTATACTTTGTACTATAATGTTTCCTTAGTAAACGTATAGGTAAACCTAAGTAATAATTGAGAACATTAGCGCTTAACAATAAGCGCCTGCGCATACGATTTTAATAATGAGTATGGATTTTTTCTGCTCGTCTCGATTTATGTTAATAAGTAACTTACTGTGAAAGCGTGATCATTGACATAATTTAATTCATAAATAAATAACTTCCTAATTTATTAAAAATAAATATTCTGATCATTTTAAGGTACGATTTTTTCCTGCACAATTTTCAATATTTATAATATATATTTCAATAAACAAAAAGGTACTCACGCAACTCTTCCGAATTCGTCTCTCGGCACCTCCTTCTCTCCAGTGTTGGTGGTGGAGATCTTCGCTCTGAAGGCAGCCACTCGCGCCGCGATCTCCTCCTTCGGCAACCTACGCAACCATACCAGTGAAACACTCATTTAATCACTTTTATATTAAAATATTACAAAGAATCGGTATCCTGAACAAGCCGCGCGGCGCACACGCGTGGACGGTTTACTTGCAGCCAATGAATTCACGAATGTCTCAGTGAGCGACCGCGTACCGACAAACGTACATGAAAATCTTATAATAAATTTTCCAGCGTAATACCTACCAGTGCATGATACGCCGAGCCGCTATAACGGCGTACAATTACTTTTTGAAAACTATAAAACCCGATAAGACGTTCTTGCTGCACGACTGTATACTGAATGCGGACGGGGTCTGGTTATTGAATAATATATAACGCGAAGGGTGGCCTAGTCTCGCACTGTTGAATTATTGATCTGACTCCGGCGCAGCGGCCATCGCCCCTAAACAGGGGTGCGATCTATACGCACCGACTTAGAAGGGGATCATTTCCATTGGACAAAATAAAAACAAGGGATTTTATTGGGTTGTAAATCGATAACGCAACGTGACCTAAGTGAACATGTGCAATTGTATATGTTAGCTAATAAAGAACTTGCTGCTACTCGGGCACATATTTCGTAATTTACACAATTTTACGAGTTTAAACTCTTGTCGCCAAGTGCTGTTTCAGGTTTATATTTTTAATAAAATTCAAACTAATATTATAAACTACTGAAACGATTTTTGTGAAATTTGGTACAGACATAGTTTGGAACTCGAGAAAAGACATAGGCGGAGTTTTTACACCAAAAATTTGCCGGAAGTCACTATTCCACGTGAACAGTCGCGGGCAAAAGCTAGTTTAAATTCAATTTAACATAATATAAGTACATAAAATGTGGGTATCTCTTATAAGAAACCATTTATAATTTACCCTAAAACTAAGATAATTTGATCCCCAAAAAATCAAACATTAAAATAGAGGTCCTGAAATATCGTCGACGTCAATTTAAATTCAAACGATTCCTGCGAAAAAAGGCACAAGGGTTCAAAGAAGGTCAAGGCGTTGCGTATCTATTAAATATTAACATGCGAAAGCAAGTAATGGAAACTCCAAAAAACCGGGGTAAACCCGACTTGTTCAGTAATGAATTGGGGTAAACCCTTTTTGTCCTGTAATAAATTGAATACAGCTGAATAACGACAGTCGTATTCAACAGTATATAATTATTTATCACGTTTAAACTGATAGATTTATTTGATTATGAAAGGATTTGCGCAGGCGACATCATATTCTTTTTTTTTTTATTAATATTATTTTCGGAAATTATAAGTAAAGTGAGAATTATCGGAAAGCAATGCTACGGAACGAATGTGTCAGTTCGATCGGAGTGCCACGGCCTCACAGAAACGGGGTGGAACAACGATTCAGTGGTGTTGTGGGTAAAGTTACCGGAGGCACAATCCTCCTCACCCCAATACTGAATCAAGTCGCTAACCCCCAAGGCGGGCACGCTACTATAGCAGCGGTAAGACCCCTCTTTGAGGAGTGGCTTGAGAGACGCCACGGCGTCCTCACCTTCCGTCTGACGCAGGTGCTAACCGGGCACGGCAGCTTCGGTAGGTTCCTGTTTCGGATCCAGCGGGAGGAAACGCTCGCGTGTCGTCATTGTGAGGACCACCTAGAGGATACGGTGGAGCATACGGTAGCGGTATGCCCTGCCTGGGCTGAGCACCGCCGAATCCTCAGGGAAGTGATCGGCGGCGGCGACCTCTCGCGCCCGGCCTTAGTCGAGGCCATGGTGCGGAGTGCGAGGAACTGGGACGCCGTCTCCTCCTTTTGTGAAGCAGTCATGCTTGCAAAGAGAGAGGCGGCCCTGAGGAGTAATTCTCCTCCTCACGCCCCAGCAGCCGCAATTTGATGAATTCCCCCTCACAAAAAAAAAACCCAATTTGAACCGGCCAAACATATGAAATGGTTTGACAAATATACAAAGAAAAATCTGTTTATCTATTTTACACACACACCAAAACCTGTAAAGTGCTGAAGTGATGTTGTTAACATAAACATAATTATTTTGTATTATTTATACAAGCTTTGAAAATAATTTGCGAAACCAAAGAGGTAAATAAAATGCTCTGGATAGTATCAAACACTATTTCTCCAATTGAGTGAGTTTATGTTGAGCAGGTTTTTTTTTGTGAGGGGAAAAAATCATCAAACGACTTATCCCGCCCAGGGCCGGAGCGGGAGGGAGTCAGACTCTTACTGATTAAAAACCCCCCTGTTCCTTCTCCTGCTCTGGGCCGAGATAGCGGTGCCTCATTGCGCTTACCCCGTAACCTCGGCTGACCATTAGCTCTATAGGGCCCCGTTTGTGGTGGTCTATTGGCTCTTAGAGGCGCGCGCGGTATGCTACGCGCCGTACGCTCGGGTCTGGTTCTGGTCGGGCGGCGAGCTGCCCTTACTCGCCGACCGCAGACCCGCGCTTACGGTGGCCGGAGATCATGTTGAGCAGGTTGAAATCCTTTTTTATACATTTTTGTTGCATTCTTTTTAACTATCACTATTCTCATCCAATTTAATATACAAGTTTTAATATTAATTTATTTACTCCGAATCTGTTCTTACAAATTTATGGAAATTATGTATGTTAGTGAAAATCATTGATTTAGGAACTTCATCAAACATTAAATCCTATCCCTACTAATATTTTAATGTAAACATTTATAAGAATGTATGGATGTATGTTTTTTTATAGTCTTTTACACAAAAACAGCTGGACCAATTTGGTTGAAATTTGGTATGTAAATGTGACATCCTGGATGAACACATAGGCTTTTTATCAACATAACATGCAGTCAAAGCTGCGGGCAGAAGCAAGTTAGTTATAAAAAGTAAAAAAAATCTTTAGATTTTAGTATCTTTATACCGGAACAGCTGTATATAAATTACTTCTTACAATTATTTTAGAAAAAATAAAAATAACACCAGTATTAATTAATTCATCTGATAACACCAAATAAATAATTGTATAATTCAAACATTAAGTCTCTTATTGCTGCGCACTTAAATTGAATGAGTAAAAACAATTTTGTTTGATAAATTTTACAAAACAATAAGCTAATTAGTTAGACAGGGACCCAGAGAACTTTGTTTAATGAAAGTATAGTAAATTATATAAGTATAAATCTTTATAATTTAACTGCACCATCAACATGGTGACTGGCCAACCAAACACTGTCCAATGTTTTGCAGGATCAATTCCCATCTGGAACCACCCATTGCATGATAAAAAAAAAGTTTTTCTGGGTCAGTGTGTGATGTGGATGTGGAATTGTTTGTTTGTAAACAAACAAAACCAAATCTTATAGAGTGGAAATGGAAAGAAAACGTAATAGCAGTGGATACATATGATGAGAAACAGAGTTCATTAATTTTCATCAGTAACAATCTAAATTCTTTTCTCAGTTTTCAAAGAAAAGTTGAGGTTTCATAATTTGAATCCATATAACAGAGTACAACATTGCCGTTTTAGTGTTTTTTAAGTGTGATAAAGTAAATCATTGCACTCTGGCCTAAACGGCTACTAAAGCCAAAAGCGGACATAGGTGTTCTCTCTCACCCATTCCACTGGCTAAAATTCTGATACTCACAGATTGAAAATGAAAGAATTTATTAACTTTGTAACAACAGTGATTTTAAAACAACTTATTTAATTAATAGATATAAGGTAAAGTCTGTGATTGGATTAATTAACACATCAGTGTAAAGCCAGCACCAATAAAGAAATTAAAGAAAGCAATTTAGGACAGGTATTATATTTAGAAATGGTAAATTTATAGGTGTTTTATGAGACACAACAATAATTCTTGCAAAACCTAACTTTTTATGATAATAAATGCTAGGGTTATCTTAATTCAATATTTATTCAAAAATTAATATTCATTACTTAAGTGCTTCCTAAATTACCTCTCATTGGTTATAACCTTCATTTTTATAACCTTTTTATCAGGAACAAGCTTCATTAGTGTATTCAGTTAATCTCACAAATTAAAGAATAAAAAGAAATTGATTATAACCATTATAATTGAACACTTTGTGTGTAAATTGTTAAGGTAACAAGCTGATTACTAGTATGACGTGGGCTTTGAAAGTGCATAAAAAACTATTGCTGACCAATAAAATACCACAAAATAAAACGGAACGATAAAACTTTACAATATACTTCAAAACATACTAACTATTACGTCACGGAATATAAGTCGTAGAAAACAAGGTTCATAAGTTTATTTACTCACCCCTGTTCTTCCAAACTATCCTCTAGTTCTGCACATTTCACTTCAATCTTCCTCTTCCTCTCATGGTCTAGAATCTCCCGGTTCGGCTGTTTGTTTGACGCAGAATCCAACTTGGCTATTTCTTCCTCAGTGCGATAATTCACTGAATCTTTGGTTTTTCGCACTCCCGCCCAGTTTCTTTGCACATATCCATTGGTACCGGAGCCTCGTGGCGTCGTCAAACCAATACCATTATACATTTTGCCGGTTTATTTACCTAAAATCATAAATCAATTTATGGCATGCTGAGTGAGGGGCATGGCTAACTTGACAATCACAAAGTTGACGTCGTTAGGTAAATTAACTTATTACAGTAATGTAGCAACACTTTATCAGATACTTAAATCAATATGTATGAACACAGATATCTCACCATTTACCAGAACCCCGTTTATTTCAATTTTTATTCATAAGACACACGTCCATCTTAGCTGGTTCTGCTTTTTTTGTGGATGATGACTTTCATTCAGAGTTGCCACTTTGAAAAAATATCATAGACAATTTTTCATTATTTGTGGTTGTGTCGTAATTGGAATTTTGATGTACACTAAACCCACTAAAAAAGAATATAGTTCTTTGAATTAACATTAAGATTTTTGAATATAAATATTATTATTTTTTATACACATAAATAAGTGCCAGTGCTGTCATTTACTGTCATAGATTCAACACACAATCTGTCATTTGATTTCGAGGTTATGTTTTGTTTATAAGACGATAGAGCTGAAATTCCTCTCGAAGAGTAACTGAAATAAAGAATAGTAGTTCAGTCATTTATACTACAACGCTTATTACCACAAATTGGAATCATGCTTGATAAAATTCTTTATAACACGGTTTTATCACAAACGCTCTCACCTTGCGGAAAATATTTGATCGCCGGCAATATTTACAGCCAGTTAGCCGTTTACGAGTAAGTTTGTTTAAAATTTACTAGAATAAACATCAGTACTTACTAAATATTAAGTTACTTATCTTATTGTTTGGTGTCACATTATTTTCTTTTCTTATTTTTTCGTCAATTTTTCAGTCTGGACCGAATACTCAATCCTGTTGTCGAACTTCTAACATCTGATTACAACAAGCCGAAATACATTCACACTCTCGAATCTGGTAGCCAAATATGCAGTCTAGCGAGTACAGAGAAGTTTTTAATAGTTGGTACTGTAAATGAAATATCAGGTTGGGATTGGAAGAATGCAGTAAGTTCAAAGCTGAGTAAACCTTCTTGGGTTATCAGAATACCGTCGCGATCGTCTATGGAACAGACTGATGTGAATAGTCTTTGGCTATCTGAGGATGAATCAAAGCTATATGCTGGTTGTGGTGATAACAACATATATGTTTTCGATTTGGAAGATGGGAGACTAGTGTCCACATTCAAGGGTCACAATAATTTTATTCATGCCATTGATGGAAGGTAGGTTATTCAGGTATAACAATTATTTATAGTTACTTAATTTCATGTCACAAGAAATACAAGGCAAAACCTCTGCAATATTACAACCTTTTTGTAATATGATATCCACAGAAACAAATTATGCCCTCTTTTTATTGATTATAAATAAACTATCTGGGTGAAACTGCAAGGCAAACCAAGAAATTGATATTGCAAGTTAAATAAAGATTCATTCAATTATTACAGGCAACAACAACTAATCACAGCCAGTGAGGATGGGTGTGTGATGCTCTGGGATACTCGTACCAGTTCCAACCACAACAAGTTAGAGCCCCACAATAATAGCAAAGTCAGCCGGCCTGAAATTGGCAAGTGGGTTGGATCTGTAGCCCTTGGAGAGGATTGGATTGTAAGTGTAATTGTGTATTTTAATATGGTGTTAAATATGTAGCTTTGAGTAGACAACCACATCAAAAATTCAGATGGACATGTTTACATTGATATAGATCTTCAAATACTGTGTCATCAGCATCACTACCTAGTATCAAACATAGTCGCTTTCTCTGCCCCTATATCTCTTTGTAAGCTTAATTTTTTTTAATTTGCAATGCATTTGATTTGATTCAGTATATTTTAATAGAATGAGTAATTACAGAGAAATGTTTATACATATATGTAATAACCCCATTGAATTATGGACAAATTTTGTATCAGCATTGCATACACGCAAAGAAGGGACAGGTCTCTAGTTAAAAAAACCAACAAAAACAACACAACGCTGTTGTTGTTTCACGCCGGTTTTCTATGAGGCCGTGGTATAACTCAGGTCGAGCCGATCGGTGTTTGCGTGTTTTGTTAAAAAATGTCTGATTTGGACTTTTGATTTTGATAAAAGTAAATGTTCATCTAAAAGACTACAATCTCAATATAGTTCAAATAGGCCTTATATCTTGTAAATATCAAATATCAAGAATCTAAAGTCCACACCCAAGTTTCAGTAAAATTTAATCACGAATTAATATTGATAGACTAAAATTGTATAGTATTAAAGTTAAATCTTAAAAATATAGAATTGTTTCTTTTCAATAATTATTTTCTTTTTAGGTCTGCGGTGGAGGCCCGCGGCTGGCACTTTGGCATTTGCGCTCTTTGGATGCTGTCACAGTCTTCGACATTCCCGACCATGGCATCCACGTTTCCTTCTTCCACGACGACTCTGTCTTCGCCGGAGGAGCAGCCAAACATTTTTATCAGCTTAGTTACTCTGGAGAAGTTAAGGTGGAACTACCAGTATCAGCTACCACAGTCTACTCTGCAGTCTTAAGAACTAATCCCAAGGTGCTGGCCATCGCTGGCTCCAGCCCTGAGATAGATCTATGCACCACCTTCAACTACAGAGATCAAGTTCTTCATTTTCGATAGGTAAGCTACATAGTTAAATATCTGGACAAATAAGTTAATTTTATAATAAAAAACAATCAATAAATGAATGGATGAAAAATGTCAACAATTTTTTATTATTTACACACTCTTACATCATCTATATGAAGGTTTTAAGTATCAAAACAATTATTTTCATATATTTTTTTAAATTAGCAACACAAAATGTCCTTAGTATTGCAACACTACTTAATACAAATAGCTTCAAATTGAACTCTATACTCATAGTTAGAAATGCTATTTCTTTGTTTATTTGTAATTCATGAATAGGAACTAGAGGTTTCCTTTTTGAAAATATCGTTAGATATAGCCGTGTCCTGCGACTGCAGCAGGTATGAACCCTTGGCTACCGTCTTTCTTCTTGACGTAGAACCACTCAGCGTCTACGTCAGTTTCCACCCCGCCGCCTTGCACAAGAACCACTACATCTCCCTTTTGCACTGTCAAAGTTTTGTTCAACACACTCCCCGCATAGTCACTATTCACTACCAATAGCGTCTGTCTTTTCACTTGCCTAAAATCCCTATTCTCCTTCTCATGTATCTTATCAATATTTGAACAAACGGATTTAGTTTTTAAATACAAAGAATCAAAGTCTTTTTCTGCGCACGAGTTCTTGGATTTCTGCCGCGTAGTTCTGGAGGGGTAGCGGCACTCGGATCGCGTGCGCCCGCGCAATTGTTCCTTCTCGTTGTCTGTCAGGTTTCCACATGGCCGCGGGTAGATGTCAGTACTGCTCTCCCAACACGGCGTCTTCTTTTGTGGTGATGTTCTGGAAGATTGTGGAGATAATATAAAAAGTATTTTTATAAAATAGGTAGGTACTTCACATAATCCGCATTTCTTAAGCTATAATGAATTTATGATAAAGTTATTATTGCGTTAGTCAATGTTTTGGCTATCCATTACTACCTATAGCTATAAATATCCATACTACACATAGATCTATCATCTATAATCATGAAAGAAAAATTCCGATCTATGTATTTTGAAAGGAAAACCATAGAATGACTTCTTTCGCGACTAAAAACCCCTTCATTCCTTCTCCTGCTTCTGCTGCTTTAGACTGAGGCCGCAGTGCCTTATTGCGCTTGCCCAACCCCGGCTGAACTGAATTTATTATAGAGAAAAATAGGCATTGATTCCTTGTGCCTGTTAAACTGATAAACTTATTTAATATTGGTAAAAAAAGCAAGTTAGCAACGTACCTATTAGGCAGTATTCCCAGCGGTAAACACGCACTATACAGCACGTAGCCTTCGTCACCGTGCGGCGTCTGCGCATATAGCCACTGCTCGTTCTTAAACACCGCGTTCACGACTGTGCCCAGCGGTAAAGACAGTTCTTGCTGGACATCTTTCTGTGTCTGATACAAGGTGCTAGGGTATGCGATCACGACCGGAATGTTGCCTGGACGGTCTATTGTGGCCTGGAATAAGGAAATGGAGTGGTTAGAAAAGTATTTTATGTGCTGGTCAGTTTCTTCCGGGTCTGGGTGAAATGCGTAAGTGAAATCGATCGAAATGTTTGCAAACGCACCCACGACACAGGAGCAAATCCTAAAAAACGTAAACGCGCTACGTTCCAACGTGATAGAACTACAGTCAAGCAAACAGACTTTTGAATTACTAATAGTAACGTAAGATTTTTGTGTCATCCGTATCCAGATTTAAAGCATGCCACGAACCTTTTCGAATTTACCGTTTATATAAAAATAATCCGTGTTAAGATAGTTAATAGAAAACTTCAAATCAATTCATCATTACATATAATGAAAAAATAATTACGATGTATTTGATACAGGAATTTACTTTTGAATGATCCCATGAAGTACAAAACGGCTGTTGCGTTTTTGATACGTATTTAGACATGAATTATCCTCCTAAACAAAACAAAGATATACCTAAACACATAAGTAACTAGCGGCCTTCCTCCGCTTCGCACGGGTCCAAATATCTCGCTAACAACGAAAGGATTCCTTTTCCCCAATTTTCCCCTCTACTTTTCTAATATTTTCTTTCATAAGAACCTTCTCCTGACAATAATAAATACAAAATAAAAGGATTTTTCAAAATGAGTGCAGGCCTTTTTGAGTTATGTGCTTACCAACACATTTTTATATTATAGAAGAAGTTAAGAAGTGCTTATGTATGAAAGAACGTAAAAAATGTCCTAACGTTTTAACCCGTTCGTAGGTATGTGTCAGATTTCAGCGAAAACATGAAAGTAAAAAAAGTAATAGTCTTAGAGAGAATTTACTATCTCTAGTTTTGTTACTACTTACTTTCAAACCGTAATTTACGATTTCTTTGTATAATTTGTGTAATTTAAGTATACCTATAACAATTTACATACGCATAGGTTCTATTTTATTATTATACATAACTATCGGTGTACACGCATCTACGGAATTAATATCGTGTCATAATGTTTTGTGCCGAGACTTATCTTCACTTTGGCACCGGTAATTTGTTGTTTTTTTAGATTCAGTGTTATATCTAGGTATACTTAAGTTTTTTTTTACTTGATATAAACTAGTGCTTGACTGCGATCCCACCTGATGGTAAGCAGTGATGCAATCATTGATGGTAAAGCGCACTAGTTTATTACGAACCTATTCACTCTAGCCTTGAAGACACCTAAATTATATTTGGGCAGAAAGACTGCAGCCGGCAAACTGTTCAAATCCAAAAGTACTTCCTTTATTTTTCTGTTAAAACATCAACATACCTAATTAATTTTAACTGAATTTGTATCATTGCAAAAAGCGGATGAGCGTTTATGCGAACCTGTTTATTAACAGAACAACAAAATTATAATGGCGTACCTACCACTAAAAATTTAATAGACATGATTTCGGCCGCACAAGCTTCAACTAATAATTTTCCCGAGCGCTTTAAATCTTATATTCCACAAAGGTCAATTACAAATTATAGTGACCTCTGCGTTGATTTTTAAAAGTCTCCCGTGATATATGGTATTGCCGTGCCGTCGAAATGGCGCAATTAACACCGTAGCGTTTAACCCCACGAAGATATATTGTTGTTTTAAATAAACCGCATTGATGAATGGCCCTCTCGAGATTATCTTGTAACCCCACATTACAACAAACCTAAGAAACATTCACTTAAGGATCATTATCCTGAATACATACCGCAGCAACAAAATTGCTTCAACAATCAGCCAGGCCGATATTCGCCCGAATTTACTTGTAGGTACCTATATTAAAAACTTCAAAAAGGATATCGAAATTTTTAAATGACTTGCAATTTATGTGTTGTCCAATTTTGCGCCAATTTCGCGGCTTACGTTGTACCATCGGGTTTATGCGCCGAGGTAACGCACAAAAACTGTATGTACCTACAACGTAACGTCATAATAACGCCGAAGAAATGAATAATGATCGAGATTTACAGGTGCATTTAAATTCTTTTGTAAAAAAGATCCGTTAATATCGCAATGAGAATGCCAGGTAATGATGAATGACTTTTAAAAATAAAATTTGGGTTATGTGTTAAGAGTAGAGTCGGTTTTTTGGTGGTGTAAGTATATGGTTTGTTGTTATTCAATAAGGATCAACTAAAGCAATAGTAAAAAATCGTACCTCACTAAGGAAGCTGTCCAAATCTCGTATGTCGTAACCAAATTTTCCATTTGGGTTTTTCTTCTTTCTCCTGTGCCGGTGGCGGTGTTTCTTCCTGACGTACTCCTCTGTACCTACACTGGTATCGGAGTACGTGTCCTGCACGTTAGCAAACTCTTCACACGCGTTTCTGAACCTAAGATTATGGTAATACTCATTACGTCCCACGACCCTATCTTTCACATCTCTAGGCTTGCACTTTCTGTAACGTTCGATTTCATTTGACTTCTGATTGTGATTCTTATCTACTTCACTTTTTATTATTGTGTTTTTTATTCTATCTTCACATTGAAACTTCTCACCGGTAAGCTTCGCATTCTCCAAATTTTCTTTCAGCACCCAAGTTAGCGATATCTTGGATTTATGGCGATGTGCTAATGGTGTGGAGTGCCAAAGACCCATGTCTTTAATTTCGGCGTACTCAACACTGGTATCTTGATCGTCATCTACTGACGATATTTTGCAGTTCGCTAGCAAGTCCAAGACTTCGCATGCTGGAGGTGCGTTACTCTGGAATTTATAAGTCACTTTAACAGTTACACAAAATTCACGGTTATTAAATATTCATGTTTTGTTTCTACTAAACGTACCGTATTGTTCAATCCTTGATTTTCATTAACGTCAAAAGCGAGCACTCGTTCACAGTATGGAGGCGGTAACTCTTTAAACGTGATTTCTGGAAGTTAAATAAGAAACAATTTAAAATCACAATCGGGCACACTATAAGCCTCACCGAGTACTATTAATAACGAGATTTATACCATAGTCAGCTGAGCGGATTATTGGGCATAAATAATGAAGTCGCAGTCATAACAATGAAAGTGGGCGAGTGCGCGAAACAATGCCCTGCCGGGGGGATGCGCGCTCCCGGACTACCCGGCGGCTCCCGCGCACTGTGTACACCGACTCTCGCGCACGTCTCTCGGCATAAATCCACGATGCGCGCGCCGCCCACCGTCGGCGGCCTCGCGCCCAGCACTGGCTCCTCCAACGGATACACTATCGACATCGCCCTCCTCTTAAAAAATCTCGGCACATTCTCACAGTTCAAAGTGGGCGCACTCATGCGATCTCAGTCGAAGACGTCGACTTTGCCTCGGGACACGATTTGCAGCCGCCGCAGACATTCGGTCAGAGGTGCGGTCATCCGTCATATGACACATTAATTTATTAGCATAAGTTGATACAATATTTATGCGTAAACAACTATCACATCTACACAAGCTCTGTATTAGATGCGGCAGTCACGAGCCACTAATAGGCAGGTGCTAAGAGTCAAACAATAAGCTCTAAAGGCGAGCATTTTAACACTTCTCACGCTTTTCGAGGCGTAAAGAGTAAACACCTGTGTTTGTGTTTCGTTATCTTGTCTCGTGCTGCATTTGTATTTTTTTACTTAATGGCCGGAGATTCCTTTACAATTGAGTGTTGTTTAAGGAACCGTGACGGACATAAAAACTACAAGACATTAAAGCACGCTATGTTTAGATAAATTGTTGTTATAATAATAACTTGGTTGATAAATGCTTGGATTTAAACCGTTCATTTCTGCGTGCAAAAGTTATATATCATCTCGGATCTCTGAGATAAACTATGCACGCAATGCATATTTGCAAATTTAAATCCGCGTTGAATGCGATGGCCACTCTTCTTCACGTTAGACGCCGGAGATAGTGCGCGATTTATTTTCTCTTTATTTTTTGTTTTGTGGTCTCTACTGGCTCTGCCGCGGACAACTGTCATTATCGTTTAACACGAACGTTCCAATAAATATTAAGTGACAATACATTTCATATCATTACTTTTACGTCTGTTAGAAACTTCCTAATTAAACTGAAAATAATGTTTCAATGATTTAAGACGAAAGTGATATATGGTAGATTGGTAGCATAAATGCAACAATAACTTCAAGACAGATTTAGGAAACTGTTTTTCTAAATAACTACAAATCAATAATTTTGAGATAACAGTTGCTTAGAAAAGATAGGGTAGCGTTAACAAGATCTGAGCCCAGAACGACGCAACGAACCACAACTTTTCGAAAAAGTTTGAGATTTTGGTTTAAAAGTTGCAGGTCATGGACCCACAATATGAACTTTCAGCCTACGCTACTTCGTTGGCGATTTTTGTTTAAACCCGATGGTGACAATTTTATTACTTTCTTTATTTACGAACACCATAAAATAAATGCGACAGCAATAACATTTACGCTTTTTACATTCCACGAAATTGGAAAGTGAGACAGTTTGTTGATGCTGTGTCGCGTACATTACTCGGACGCCAATTTCACGGTTTTATAGCGGCCAATATTACCTTACGGCTCTCCCATAATGATTGTTATTACAAACTTGAAATACGCACGTAATTTTACAATTTCGTTACAAAATATAGCCGCCGTGGTCACACACCGCGGCCATGCCACAACAAACATATTTATGTCTGCCGTTATTATGACAAAATTAATTATTTTCATTAGACGCCTTCGTTCGCCCACCCACATCGTACTGGGATTTTATTATAAGTTATTGGTGTTAAATTGGTTCACGAGATTTTGGATTTTATCAAAGTTCGAAAACCTTTTTTTAATGGAAGTATGACATTAAGCCTTTCGGCGATTCACAAAGGTATAATTTTATTATAATTATAATTATGCTTATTTTAATCAGTTTTTATACTTAGATCTTTTTTTTTATCAACGATCGAACTGCAAACTGATCGAGTTTATTTTGTTACATATTGACATAGGTATCATAGAAATTAGACATCTCGCCCATTTTTAAACGGTTTGATTTTTATTGTGACAAATCGAAACTCAATTCCTAAAATCCACGTACTAGGATAGATGCGAAACTATTAATATTAGCCATTTACGAATATAAAAACAAAATTGTAAAAGTAAATAATAAACATGTCGTTAATAAAAAAAATAACATTGATCGATAAAAGTATTCCGAAATATTCCATGAATTTTTTTCGAACCCTAAGAGGCGTGAAAACGGAAGACAATGCGTTTAAGGGCAAATCACGAGCATATCGCTATGTGGGGAATGTGTCCTCACAATGAGCCGGAATGCTGCGCAGATCACGACAACTGCCGAAAACGTGCGCACACGCATCCCGCCAGGAGTCGCGCCGCGCAGCCGCACAATGACGTAGCTCGTAAAACAAATCATTCATGTTCTTATAATATGCAACTGTTATATACTTTCATTGTAATGAAGTGATGATGTATAACTATATACCAATATAGTATACCATACCACCATATAGTGATGTATAACTATACCAATTTCATTGTAATGAAGTGAAGTTATTGATTCACTTCTTTGTCGTTTTCTTTTTATAGTTCGTCGGATTAATTAGCAGTTACCTATCAGATTAATAAGTACTTAATAAATTTTTTTGACTATCTCATTACCCGCAGTAGTCCGTATTTTTATTACGGTTTCCTGCTTAAAGTGTATCGGAAACGACAGATTTGAATATAATTTTGTTTATGTTTACAGTTATATAGGTAAACTTGCCTAATTCGTACCTGCGCCTAAATCGTACCTCGACTATATCTCGGCATGGGTAATAGTTACCAACGCCTCTGATGGCATAAAATGTCAATAATAGTCGGCCAGATTGCCATATGACAAATAAACACCTGTTACGTTGCTCCCGACAAAAATATTGAACGGGTAAGATTTTTCTCACTTTTTGAGTAATTTTTTTGCATACTTCACAAGAACTGTCTTCCAAGTATACCGCTCGTAAGTTGTTTAACTGTTTATTATATATTTATACGTATATTTGTGAATATATTTCACATGGTAAAGTCGGCTTGTTGGTTGATAGTTTTTTTTGCGGCTAATTTGAAATTCATTTGATACTTGTGCCTAATTCGTACTCGCAGCAACTTCTTAAAACGTACGTACTTACGATTTAGGAAAACAATGTTTAATTTCACAGTAAATATTAATTACTTACTTGATTATTTTTTAGTTTGTGTTTTTATTTAAAAAAACTAAAAAAAAAAACATTATTTTATCCAGTAATTGTGAAAGTATGGGTACATGAGCTATGTGCAAGACGAATCAAAAAAAACTAAATTTTATTATTGCGATGACTTTCAAGATTTGGAAAAGACCATCCGCTGTATTAATAAGAATTAGGTAATCTAGGTACATTAAGATTAAAAAGAGTAGAAGATTATTAAGATTGTGATTTTTAAGACTGTAAAACAATGATAGGATCTCAAAATATGATTTAAGAATATACTGGTACGATTTAAGATCAATGGTCTTAAATCGTACTTTTTTTAAGTTTTTGTAAATTGTTTATTTCTCAGAAGTTTATTAGATTTATGTTATATTTTATCGGAATACTAATAGAACATTAGTTTAATTATTACTACTTAATATAAATAACTGTGTATCATTGTTCATTTTCAAAATATTCGAGGTTCTCCTTAAGTGGTACGAATTAGGCAAGTTTACCCTATTAATATACCTACTAGTAAAATTTAAATTACACTTAAAATTGCCAAGAAAATCTGACATTATTTATGTTGTGACTGTGACATTTCAAATCTAGCTAAGATTAACGCCAGCGTGTTATAACTGCCGGTCAATCTACTGTGTTGTCTGTGACGTACGTAGACTTTAGTGTTTCTGTAATCTTATCCAAGTAACGCAACCGTAATAAGTGTCTTCACCTTAATTAAGTTTTTGTAAACCCCAAAAAGAGCGGCGTTCGCTCATCTATTCTTCTTCTATTATGTCTCGAATAAGCACGATGGAAAGGTTAAACAGAGTTGCTGCTGTGCATGAAGACCGGGATCTCCATCAGTTTGTATTACGGTTTATAGATGTGGTCTCTAAAATCTATTATACTAGAGAGACTTAAAGTTGCCCATCAAGCAATAGAGAGAGCTATGCTCAGACATCCCAAATGTTGTAAATAACATCTGTTGCCGACATGGCTCTTAAAATTTAAAGCTGGGGCAATGGGCAGGCCACGTCGCTCAAAGGATAGACAGGCAATGGGTTAGATGCGACCATGGACCGGAAGACTTACCGTATGCAAACCTCCCCGTAAGTGGAGCAATGATATCGTCAGGGTCGCGGGAAACCTATGGATGCAAGTGGCAAGCCATCGTTCGACGTAGAGGACTAAGGATATTTGTCCAGCAGTGGACGTCTTCCTACTGATGATGGTGATGATGATGAAACAGAGTTAATGCCATAAGAAATGATAGATGTTCAATAACAACATTTAAGATTCACGTTTAACTACAATGCTAACTAGCCATTAGTTTGAACCTGTTATTAACTCGATCATTATCGATAAGTAATTACGTTCGTCCACGAAATATTTTTGGAACGCCTCCATTCTTAGATAATAAAACTTAATAATGTTAACGTTATCTCGCAAAAATCTACCATAAAGTTCACGTTTTAAGGTGCCATGTTGGGGTGATTTATTGTTTTACTCTAGTCGCTAGTGGAAGTACTCACGGTTTTGCGTGGTGGGCAAGGAAAAGCAACTATTAACGACTAAGATGTAGAGAAAACCGGAAAAGTCAGATTTTCACAATATAATGATCAATTTTAAAATTGGAATCCACAATCTATTCCTCTCATAATGTGACTGTTGATTTTCTCTAGAATTTGATAACATTTTTGACTGCACGGTTGTGCACGGGTGGCTGCCACGCAACATGTAGCGGGTTCGATAAATCGATACCCAAAACAAACAACACTATGTGTCATTCACAAAGTATTGTTCAGGGTCTGGGTGTGATGTGTTTGTGAAATTGTATGTTTGTAACGGCACCCACGACACAGGAGAAAATCCTAGTGTGGGACAACGTTATGAAAAAAAAAAAATTCTTCTCTTAAAACTAGACTGAATCATCTGCTGATAATTAAGGAACAAAAGACAGACAAACAAATAAATACTGCATATTTTTAATGTTACTATGGCGACTTCTGGGAACAACATACGTCTGGCGGAATTGTCTGATCTTTATGATGAATTTTGTGTATCTAGTTTGTGACAGCAGCACGGTTGTTTTCTTAGTTTTCGTTGAAAACTTGAATTATTTTTGTTGTAGCTGACAACGATTTGAGCTCTCAGTCTTTATGGGTGTAGAGGCTAACCGCTTGCTTATTAAAAAGTCTTAAAAGGAAGTGTTTAGACTTTAGGAGACTACTGATAAAATTGAATACTGTAATAATATTATGCGTCTTGTAAAATGAGTGGTTTTAACTAAAACCACTCATTGGCAACGATAAACATTAAACTCGCTTCCTATTAAAAGGAGGTTACTAATTCCCATTAAAAATAGCATCTTTGTAAAAAAGTAACTGGCGTTTATAACATTGAAATAATGATAAAGTTCTTAAATGCTAGACATCGAAAAAATACCATTTCTATCTTACTGAATAAAATTACGTAAGGATATGGTGCTCGTCTTTAGAATCGCACACATCACGTATTGGCGTCCGTGACTTAAATTCGTGAACGCAGCGTCAGTGAGGGATCATTGGAACTGGTAGGAGGGCAGGAGGGAATTAAGGGTAAGTGTAGGCAACCGATAATTGCGTGGGAACGAGCCCTGCAGCCTGCGTCGGCGCCGACAGCACAAAAGTATTACTGCTTTTATTGTTGCCAGTATGAAATTTAATTTAAAAGGGAAAGTAAAATAATATTTGGTATCTATCTAACTCTATGGCAATAGGTACATTCGGGGATCAGACCTCATAGGTCTTTGTTGAAAACGTACTGTCATCTCCGAAATTGCAGCCAACAACCCTTGTTAACTAGTGCTAATGCCACAGTCGTCTTGTTAGTGAAAGTAAACAGCAACATTTTAAAAACGTTCTTCTTTATTCAAAATTATATAATGAGAAATAAATTTAGCATGTGTATATGTTTTTTATTAATTAAACGGAAGAAGAGGTGTGTCGTAATGTATTGACATCGATACGTATATTAATCGACGCGTGATTTGCGATTTAAGTAATCGATTGTGCATTTTCAATGGCTATTTTTTAATTTAGAGGTTGTTACGTAGATTGTTACCATGATTGTAAAATAAAACAACAACAACAACCACCTATTTATGGTAGTACCTTAGCCTTTTTTGTTTAATCCATAAACACGTCATGACACACATGACTAATTACTAAATAACAAATACTAATTACAATGCGAACAATGTCTTTGCCAACTCTACTTCCTCTATACACCTCCTACATCGCATTGCACGCCACAATCGGCGAAAAGGTAAAATTGCTGCGCCGGCGCATTCTGCGTCCCGAGCGCTCTGATACCAAACACACGCACTTACAAAAGTTCAATGAACAAAATACGCAATATTGGCAAAGACAGAAAAAAGTCATGTGCCTTAAAAAAATCAATTATAATTAATTTAAGTACACCAAAAAAGTGTCTCACGAGTTTTGATTGGTACAATTTAGTAACTATGGAACTGCGTTTTCTACGTGGTACGGAATGAGTTTTCTGCTATTTGCCTATAGTGGTTCTGCGCATACGACGCACACCTGCACGATTCATGCATTGTGCGCATCATAGTGCATCTCGTAATGACTGCATCTATTCCTAGATATTCGCTCACAAAGGCAAAAATGTAAATGCTAATGCCATAAGAAACAGATTCACTTGAAAAACCTTTTAAACGCAACAGGACTTTTATTTTACCCGTTAAGCAAACTTAGACTTATTATAAAAGCATTATGTGGGTACCTGAACTCAAATATAATCCGGTAGGTAGATAAACATAATCACTCAAGTATTTGTCTAGTCGCGACCAAACAGGTTTTTGTTAAAGAAAGCGGTGATTTTCGTCTGCCAATATTAAGATTTTGCCGTTTAAATACTCGTATGATGGCGTATTTACGGATGATAGAAAGCGAAATCCGTGGTTAGTGGAACGCTTTCCTAATGTCGCAAAACATAGTATGACTGTAGCGAATAGGTAATCGTAAGTATGGGCCGCGTTGTTCGTTCCACTCACCCGTCCCAACCACTGACGGCGCGATGGTGCTGACATCTTTACAATGTGGCCACGCAATTATCTGTGAATCCTTTATTACGTGCATTACCATCTCTGAAGCTGCAAGGAACATAACGATTGGTGATTTGCGTATTAGGTAAACAACCGGTCACATTCTTGTCTTCACATGTGACGAAATGGCGTTAAAGCTGATACGTAGGTAAATTGTAAGTTCGAACAAATAATATTCGGATTTAATTTAATATGTCATTAGAAACATATTCAAACATCTTTGGAGTGCAGATAAGGGTTGGTTGATGATCTATGAATCTGTAAAGCTCTGATTAATTCTTATAACTAACACTATTATTAGAGCACCTCTTTGGTTGAGTGGTGTCTAATAGTGAAACTATTCGTACTTAGATCTCCATACTCCTACAATGTAATAAAAAAAGTGACGATGTTTGGTATAATTCTGGCCCTCTATCAAATGGAACTAAGTATTAGTTTGTTTAACGTTTATAAAATATCAATCTAATAATACTTTGAATTTTGAACCAGACCGCACCTCACGAAGGGCCATAAAACTTCACAGCTGAGAATCAATCAAAATGCACCCGAACATCCGAACATCAAGAAGTAACAATAGCTATTGTGCACCGTCTCTATTAGATAAAACGCGTTTTGATAGGAAAAACAACAATGGTACAAATAAATAAAAGTATGCCACAATAGACTTAATCTGTATAGTTTTATTATGCAACTAAGTTTATCATTGTAATAATGACACTGACTTAAAGAAATACTGGAAGAACTAATATTAGTTATACTGGGTCTTCCAGTCTAATATTTTTTTCTTACAGAAGGCTTACAGACTAATAGTACTTAAATATTTTAACTTAAATTATATATATAGGTACATTAGGCTTTTTTATAAAAATAATATTTAGTCGATAGTCTACCGAATACGGTATTTTGCTATCCAGACTTCTAATCGTAGTAATAATGAGGCAATTAATATAATATACAAAGTATTGAAATGAAAAATCTATATTTTTTTGTATTCCTAAATGTGACAATTTTATATTCATTATCAGCCCATAAGTGCCCACTACTTAGCACAGGCTTCTTCTCACACGGAGAAGGTTTGAGCATTAATCAGCACCACGCTTGCTCTAATGCGGGTTATAATTAGAAATTATAAGTTCAGATTTCTTCACGTTGTTTTCCTTCATCGTTTTTCAGTGGTGTCTAAATAATCTTAGAAAGTATATGACTCGGAAATAGTCACATTGGTACTTTACTTGCCAGGTTTCGAACCCGCACCCTCATGCACGAGAAGCGGGCGCCTTAACCTCCGGGCCACCACGCTTTGCTATTTTAAATTCAGATTTATTCATGCAAAGTAAAATCCGACTCCTGTGAAACTCTAGTAGGGTTTTTTGTTAGACACGGAAACTGACCCCCTACATCAGTTCCGTCACATGTCGTGTCTAAACTGTCCGCAATGGCGTGCCGTGCTCTAGGAAGAGCTGTCCCTTCCATTTTACATAGATCACTGGCTACATTCCTATTCTTCTTGAGTTACTGAATCTCGCATAATTTATCTTAACGGAGAATGCAATTTGTTAGACGGACTCTAAGTAGACGACGCAGCTCGACAATACTCTATGATTCGTTTATGATATCATTTGTTTTACAGCATCTAAACATAGCCTCGGATTTGTCGCAGCTTTATTAGGTATTATTACCTACATCTAATCGAAGCTTGTTACAAGTTGTATTTAACAATATCTCTAAAGCTATAACCGCAGATTAGCCGATACTTTCAACGCAAAACGTTTAATTATTACATCTATAGCCAGTACAAAACATATCATTAACAATTCGACGTAGCGATGGTATCATAAAACCGCGATCATCGCTCGGCTGCTTTTCGGCATCCACGTGGAATTCTTGCTACACTGGCATTCGGGAAACCGATTAAAAATTCAGAAAAAAAGAACTTTACGTACAATAATTTAAGGTCAAGAAGGAGCGTGATCTCGACGCAGTGGATAAAAATTATTTATTTGCGTGGGGCGCGGCAATTAGGGGGGCGGAGCGCGTCTGCGCGCACGACCTTTCGACCCTCGGCCTACGCCCGCGCAGCCGAGCCGCCGCGCCGCCTGTGGACACTCGTCCTGTCACGGTGATGGCCCAGCGAAACATCTCGGAATTGCATGCGCTCCGCGCTCTGCAGCACGATCTCACCTACTTTCGCGAAATATGTTAAACATTTTTGCATTTTTCGTGTGCAAGACATTAAAATTACTCGTGCAGTTTAACTGAAGAGGTAATTGTTTGATCTTTTAGGTAAGTATAGTCATTACACGCTTTCAAAAACATCAGACTGACAATGAAATTGTTTGGTTTTAAATGAGTATAAAATACATAAGTCATAGTGTACCCACGCTATACAGGCCGAGGCTGTATACTCCAAATACCCATATGCCACGGGTATCATGGTCAGTTTTATTATTACATTCTTAAAAGGAGATGCAATTACCGATACGGCGTGTATCGATGGACGCACGCGCACGCATGCCTCATCGGCACAGACCGCCGACGAAATGTAGGCGGCGCGGGTAGAAATTAACCCGACTCTAGTATCTGATAGCGTACCATGTTGCTCTTTAGCTTTGTTATGCTTTTGTTGCTGATGATGGGAGCGACGGGAACTAGCCATGAAGACGATTAATTTACGCTCTACATGACGGGCACTTGTTTTATGAGCAACAAGACGAAACTATAGGTAAGCGGATTCGCGGTATTTTGAAATTTAAAAATAGGCTTCGGCTCAGATGTAAAGTGAAATACGAGAACCACACCACTACATATGTAGACGTACGATTGTACGATTGGATCGTGTGGAATATTTGAGAATAACAACAACTAATTGAAAACTAAATAAAAATATAATCACGATGACTAACGAATGTTTAAAAGCAAAGAGACCGTATCGAATATGTATGTTCTACCTACATCATTGGTACACCGGAACAGAACGTTCACCGACTTGACCAACATCAATTAGCTCACATCACATGTAACAATTATATCATTTAGGTAGTTAAATAACTGGCATTACGCAAGCCGCTACTTACTCTCTCGGAACTTGTTGAAGATCCTCTTCATGGTTGACTGATGTGGTGGCTCTTGGAGCGGTCTTGTTGTGGCTATTTGGCAGGTGTTTATAGTTGTTGGGTATCTCGGGTTCTCGCCAGGTGTTCCCGCGCACGCGCTCGCGACACAAATGCTGTCTGCAGCGAGCTGGCCACCGTCACGCTCGGGTGCGCCTGCGTCGGTAGCGTCGCGGGGTGGATAAACTTTACATCCGAATGCATGGACTCCTGATATGGTGTGTCCGTTTAATTTGCGAATGACTAATCTTTGTGATTTAGTATAATATATTCTTTGTCTTTCGTGTGTGTCCCAATTCCTTTGTTATTTGGTAGTAATGAGTACTTTGTTAGAATAATCTAAAGCTAAGCTACTTATTAATGCATCAATGCTAGAAGGAGGACGCTTTACAGACTATCGTTGAACAGATACGCTCAGGATATTTCAAGAGGACACCGTCACACCTTATATCTCTGAAGGGATATCTCGGATCATAACACGAAAAGCCTAAATACAATGCTCAGTGCAGTGTCTCCCATGTCACAGAGGGTGAGCCATTGCCAAGTAGGTAACCGGCACAATTCCTAGCTTCGTGCTATCACAACAGAATGTAATACTAAATAAACTCGGTAGGTAATACTGAGCCCGGGACTCGAACCAGATCCCTTGCTTTGCGGCCACGGCCTGGAGTTGAAGAAGGAACAGGGTCATTTTAAGGGTGATTTTAAGTCAGTAAGACCCTCCCTTCCGTCGACAAGACATTTAATGATTTTCACCCCTTGCTCGGTAGGTAGTCGCTCTTGTAATCGTTCCAGCAACAGGGCTGTGAATTAGGTACAAGAGTTCTTCTTCGAAATCTTCCTAAGTCTATTCCCGGTGTTATTGTGTCATTTGACTCAATATTTCTGATAAATTATTCTAGTATGAAATTAATTCTAGTTAAAGACTTAATGGCAACCCTTATTCCTTACTTATGTTACCAGGCAATGCAATTAAAGTAATGGCACATAATATCAAATCTGACTCAAGGCAGGTGATTAAGAGCACAGACAAGTACGGTGAGTTGAGGCCTATAAGCGGAATCACGCTTGCCTGGCGAAGCGCAACGTGGAGTGAGCGGCGCCGTGCGATATGCTCTGCAGAACCCATATCTCTACGTAGGTAATTGTCGTACATAATAATAATATACGTAAGCCCATACAGTTTTATCTTGGTATATTCTTGTTATGAGCACGGAAAAGTTTCGATATTGAGGGACTCCTTCAAAATCATACTGAGAGAATAATAAATTGAAATAAAACTGCTGTTCAACATGAAAAAACACAAACATTAGCTACGAAAATAGCATTTAATTAGTTAATAACTAACAATACTTAATATAAGTATTATAATAAAATGATTTCGAGCACAAAATTGACCATCCTCAATCTCACAAAGCCTACAACTAATTTTCTTTTACCACACCAAATGAGGATGATGCTCCTAGCCTCGATTGCTCGTCGCAAACAGATACATTACGCGTCATGATTATAGTTTTAAATATTATGTAATGATTTCTATCTAACATTTTAATTACACAAGAGCGCTCAATAAATTGCATTGTAAAAACAAGGTACTAGAATCGCAATGAACTTAAAATTCTCATGTACTTATAAATATAAGTAGGTAAGATGTAGGTAAGTAATGATTAGAAACAAATTCAACAGTTGAGATGCGTTAACTACATTTGCGCTTTTTGAATTTAAGAAGTTTATCTAGTTGCTTCAACATGTGAGGTCTAGTGCACAGGGCTTTTCTTATTACGTCATCCAATAGCTTTTTCTGGTTAAAAGGTGGTATCGGAGTGTCCTCCAAATGAAAGGTATGCAGCCTGCCCAGCGTATCCCCGACAAAAACATTGTGTCCACAAGGCGCAAATCTTATGTATGTCAGCGTCACGTCTCCAGGAAAGCTGTACTCTGCACATGGCTTGTGCGTCTTCCGCCGTAAGTCCCAAACTGAAACTGTATTTGCGCTCGCAGATATTAAAATAGTCGAGTTAATTGGACAAAATGTTATCCCGTTAACTGCGCCTGGACAGATCAAGGTCATTATAACATCGTCCATGCCTTCTATCCACATTCGAATAGCATTGTCAGCGCCGCACGAAGCCAGCAAATAGTCCATGAAGGGTGAGTAACACATGTCCGTGACGGGGCCCGCGTGAGCGCGGTACACGTCCATGTGCTGGTTCAGGTAGTGCATGGAACACCGATGGATGCAGCCCTCGTCCGTGCCCACCAGGTAGCAGTGGTCTATGGTGGAGTGCCATACCATGCACAGCACCGCGGGGTATCTAGTAATGGGCACGTCATGTTTAGGACACGGTCTCGTAGTTTCTAGTCCCTTCAGTTTACCTTCAACGGTACACACGCGCATCAAAGGCGTACTGATGAAATCGTGTGTTTTTGTTTTTCGAAATTTACGAATCCTTCCGTCTTGACTCGTTGTCATTACGAATTCACTGTCGCCTTCTACAGATTGCCAACTTATAACCCAAATGGGATCGTGGCAAGGGTTTGTATCGCGTTTGCTTTTCGCTTTTATTTTGATAGAGTATGAAGTAATATCTAGTATTATTACATCGCCGTTACAGAAACCACATGCCAACCAGTTAGGGTGTTTTTTCGAAAAACTGACACATGTAACTGGATCTTTAAAACGATAAAGTCGCTCTGGTTTACTTGGATTCTTCGAACTCCAGATACAAACAATGCCTTGACAGACGTCTGCATAACCGTATTTGCCATGAGATATAGCACATATGCTCGGATACTTTGGATTGTATGATATGCAAGAGATTGGTGTGTTCAGAGTTTCTTCATATTCATATGTCCATAACTTGACCATTTTGTATATATATATTAAATCTAATGCTAAAGGATCCATTTGGAAGAGCCCTCGGAACTTCTTTTGTTCTGCAGCAAATTTCAATGAAGCGAGCACTCGTTCCATTAAAAGAACAGCATCCAAATATTGAGACGTGGCGGCTATCTCTTCAAATGTTTTACCAAGACGCTTTTCTAATTCTGCCTTCTTTCTCTTCTTCCGTAACATATAGGATGCTGGAGTATCATACATAACCATTTCATCGTCATCTTCTATGACTACCGTTTCATTGATTTGTGCATAAGTATCGTGCATGTCCCACACTGATGCGAATGATATGGCATTCTTTTTCTGAGGCCTCGTAGCAAGTACATGTCTTGATTGTACCATTTTTATTTGGGTTTGTGTTTCTTCGTGAACTACTTTTTTGTTTTTACCTTTTCCTATGGTGATATAATCATAAAAAGCATTATCTTCTTCTGTTAAATTTCCTTCTAATGATCCTTTTTCGTACGATAAACATGGCAAAGAAATTAAGAAAACTGTTTCAGTTTCTTTAAGAGTGATACAAATTTCAGGTGGATAAGACGTGATTGATGGGAATTTCGGTAAGTTAAATGCTGACGGAGCAGGAGAAACTTTATCGTCTCCTGTTTGTAATCCTTCCTCGGTGTTTTGTGAAACATCAATTTCGATATCATCCAGATTAATAGTAGTAGCATAGAATTTGGTACCCGTACTATCCAAGCCTGCCCTGGACCTGGATCGGGAAAATTTAAAAGGCCCTTCAATTTTATATCGAGACCTAGAATCAAACGCGGCGTGTGTAGTCAAATCGTTCAGTGTCACGTACTCGGGATCCACTATGTTATTCGGAGTCACGTCTAATCCGTTAACAACTACTTTGTAGAACTGTCGCTTGTCTAACGTGGACGTAATGTCCTTCACAGACTTCGTGTGTATACTTCCATTCAGTTCATATGCTGAAAGATATTTTTTTGGAGATGTATTAGATAATACAACAGAAATGTTGTCAGCTTCTACCATTTTTGCTACTGGTAATCACTTTTACTCTTTTATGGTAAGTTTCTGGGTATGCCTATTTAATACCTTCGCTTGAAATACGAAAACAACTCTTATATGTATTCACTTCGACACGCGAATAGTTTTAAAATTGTCTATGCAGCAATGACATTACGTAGGTAAGTCAGAGTAGGTACAATCTGGTACAATCGGAGCGATAGAGGATAAACTTCATTTTACAATTTGCGTTGGCTATGATTTTGACGATAGTGACAAAGGCGATTATAGAAGCGTATGACATCGCGATCGGTACATATCTAGTTCATACTTGGTTCATACCCTATAAATATCGATGACTACTAGATTCATAATGCTCATAAAGTAATTCTTATACAATATGAGTGTTGTACAATTATCAGTGTACCTACATGTGCGACGGTGCGACGTGAGAAAATACTTGATTTGTTTTAATGGTAATGATAATAATGAAGTCAATTTTGAGTTAAGTATTTATTTTTAGAGACGAATGGATCTAAAATCATGAAATATATCCTTTACTTGCAATTATACCTAAGCCGTAGTACAGACTTCACATCACCACACTATCACTTTAGACTTCTACACAGAACATATCTATACCACCATACAATACCAGTACTCCTTACGGAGTAGGTAGGTACGCATAGACAATTGCGTGTTTGTTTGTTGCCCTGTTCCTTTTTACTATTTAGGTATTATTAGTTTATAGCCAAGCATTTTTTCAAATGAAATAAGGGAAAGGAGGAAGGACACTACCTATAAAAATCTGTGGAATTGAATCACTTTTAATCGATTGATAAGAATCGAATTTAAGTTATTCAGTTCCTAATTTCTATGTACCGAGCATATATCACCTGATCAGCGCCGCCCATGGACACCCGCAACACTAGAGGAGTCACTGACGTGTTGCCGACCTTGAAGATGTTCCTTGTGACGTTTCGAAGTTCGTATCAGTTACAAAATCTTGCCGCTGAAAGTTAATTTCAAACAGTTTCAGTTTTGCGAAAATCGCACAGACTGCAAGCCATTTATATGATGAAGAAGAAAGTGTCTTCGGTGGCTCGATAGTGATACGATGTGGCAGCAGACTTGTGATTCTTTCAGTTGCAGTTGTAAGACGATGTGACATAAGATCAGACCACCACAAATGGGGACCCAATGGGGGCATCAAGGGCCGATATCTGATACTCTCATCAAACCTAAAGCGAGGGGAAGTGTCATTGGATTGCGTGTTTTGCTATTTTTATAATTATGATTGATGACATCAAATTGTTGTTATAAGTATGCCTAGGTTTTGATAAGTATCATCATATTATGTTCCTATTTTCTCAAACGTATTCCTGCAGTTTTATGGTTTCAGAATATTTTATTCGTTCTCCCTATGTAGTTTTCCGTTCTTGACAAGTCTAAACTCCATTAATTGTCCTGTCGTCACTTTTTTAGCAAGGTTTGAGCACAGCTCCCCACTATCGGTAAAGCATATGTCACAACTGATCTGCTTGAACAGCAAAAGGTATTGACTAAAAAGGAATGCCTGATGATCTCAGGGACCTTTAATGTGTGTTATCTTTTAAGGTAGGTAAGTAAGGGAAAAATAATCAAATGACTTCTCTCGTCGGCGAGAGGGAGTGACCAGTTGTTCCAAAGATTACCACCCTACATACAAACTTACAAATTACTGAGTATTATGTTACCTCACTATAAAATTTGTAGATATAGAAGTACCACTGAGAAGTACCTACAGATAAGCACACTGGCCAGTGTATCCAATGTGACAGTTTTATGACACAAAATAAAAATCCACATGTCTAATTTCATACGTTGATATACATATAAATAGATACAGTTATACATATATTTGGATATTTTAATCATTTTAAATATCATAATTTATTTTATTACTAATTATTTATACTTATCTTAATTTTTGTAAAAATGGTTATAAGCGATAGCACGATGTCATTCAAACATAGTTTGAGGGACTTTTCTGAATATGTTCTGACTACTGAACCTACATCTGGTAAGTCCGTGAAACTAGCTCCATCCGTAGTAACAGACAAGCGGCTACTGTACAAGGTGATGCTCAACGGGGTCGATTGTACCCCGGACAGCATTACTCACTCCTCGTACGCTACGCTAGACGAATCCCTGACTCACGCAGCTTTTGAGGGAAAATCGAAGTCCAGAAGTGATGCAGTAATTAAATTCTCTAGGTCAAAGTCCATAGCAGGGTTGGGCGGCACGGGAGTTTACGCCACTACTATCAACCTTGACGACATCGAAATCGATCACACACTTAATACTGAGGAGGGTTTACAAGCCGACGACGGTCAGCTTTCCTTGGCGCCGTCTGCGTTTTATTTACCAAAAATGAATCCGGTTACGTCGTACCCGCCAGAAATACTTGTCACGCTCAAAGAAACTGAAACTGTTTTCTTGGTTTCGTTGCCAAGTTTATCATGCGACAGGGGATCAGCGGAAGGACAATTAGTCGAGGCCGACAATGCATTCTATGAGTTTATTACATTTGGAAAAGGAAGAAATCGAAAAATGGTTAATCAAGAAACTCAGACCAATGCTACTACAACACTCACCAGGCACACCCTCGCTACAAGGCCAGAGAAGAAGAATGCCATATCATTCGCTTCGATGTGGGACATGCACGATACTTACGCGCAAATTAAAACGACTCAAGAACAAGAAGAGGAAGATGAGATGGTGATGTACCAGTCTGCAGCGTCCTATATGTTAAGAAAAAAGAGAAGATTGCTGATAGAACCAGGGAAAGGAAAGGCAAAGACATTCGAAGAGATAGGAGCTACGCCGCAATACATGGATGCGGTGCTACTGACAGAACGTGTACTGGCTTCCTTGGAGTATTCTGCGGCCCAAAAGAAGTTTCGGGGGCTTGTCGCCGTCGATCCGTTATCATTAGATTTAGTTTACGTTTATACGTTAACTAACTTGTGGACATTCGAATGTCAGGAGACTTTGAACAAACCAATAATATATATAACGTTTAATAAAATGTGTCCAAACCTTTGCGCAACAGCTCATGGCAAATTTGGCTATGCAGATGTTTGCAAAGGCATCGTTTGTGTTTGGTGCACCAAAAACCCACGAAAACCAGAAAGACTTTATCATTTTGAAGTTCCTGTCACATCTGTAGGCTTCTCTGAAAAAAACCCCAATTGGTTAGCATGTGGGTTTTTTAACGGTGATGTCATAATACTAGATATTACTTCATATTCTCCAAAGATAATAGCAAAAAGCAAACGTAACACAAATCCCTGCTTCGAGCCAATTTGGATTGTTAGCTGGCGATCTTTCGACAGAGACAGCGAATTTGTAATGACCGCGAGTCAAGACGGAAGGATCCGTAGATTTAAACGAACAAAAACACACGAGTTTATCAGTACGCCTATGATGCGCGTGTCTGCCGTCGAAGGCAAACTGAAGGGACTAGAAACTACGAAACCGTGTCCTAAACATGACGTGCCCATTACTAGATACCCCGCGGTGCTGTGCATGGTATGGCACTCCACCATAGACCACTGCTACCTAGTGGGCACGGACGAGGGCTGCATCCATCGGTGTTCCATGCACTACCTGAACCAGCACATGGACGTGTACCGCGCTCACGCGGGCCCCGTCACGGACATGTGTTACTCACCCTTCATGGACTATTTGCTGGCTTCGTGCGGCGCTGACAATGCTATTCGACTATGGATAGAAGGCATGGACGATGTTATAATGACGTTGACCTGTCAAAGCGCAGTTAACGGAATAACGTTTTGTCCAAATAACTCGACTATTTTAATATCTGCTAGCGGAAATACATTGTCGGTTTGGGACTTACGTCGCAAGACGCACATGCCGTGTGCCGAGTACAACTTCCCTGGAGACGTGACGCTGACATACATTAGTTTCGAGAAATCCGGGCTCAATGTTTTTGTCGGAGACACGTTTGGCAGGCTGCATACGTTACATCTGTCGGATACGCCAATACCGCCATTTAATCAGAAGAAACTATTGGACGAGGCCATAAGAAAAGCTCTCTGTACCCGGCCAAAAATGTTAAAGCAACTCGATAAGCTCCTCAGGTTCAGAGCCAGTAAGGTTCCAAGGATGTAGCTGGACCTCATAATGGGATGCAGCGATATATTTTTATTTTTGTAGATAATGGGCCAATTCGGTTTTAATATAGAACATAATTTGTAAGAACTTTCTGCCACATAAGTTACCATGTATTCGAACGTGGTAAAACAGGCGCTTGTTGTAACCATATATTAAAACATTCATTTATATTTCACTTTAAGGTATTTATAGTAGAAACTATTTATAATTTTGTGATAATTATGTTAAATAAATGAAACTATACTTTGTTTATTTGGTGATTTTTATTCTTATACATATATCTCATAAGGTACAAAATATTATTATAACAACAATGTGTTGACAAGGTAAATAAATTATGATACAAGTAATAATATACATAATGTACTATATCTACATGTTTGGAATGACTAGGACTTGTTGGACAGTTTCTGTAGATGATATTCCTTTTTCAGTTCTTTCAGGTTCGTTTCCAATATCGCTACCTGCGGGATACATACAAAATTCATTACATATTATTTACCTACTTATGTATTTATGTTTCTATAGACGTATCTCAATAGAGTTTAATAATAGATAATACTAGCTACTCCCTGCGATTTCGCTCGCTGCTCGGCTCCATTTGATTGTAGCGTGATGTTTTATAGCCTATAGCACTCGGGAACATTGTAGCTATCAATAAGTGAAAGAATTTTGGGAATCCGACCAATGGTTCCAAATATTACCCCATAAAAACTTACAAATTTTACCTCTGTATAATATTAGTATAGATGACCACTCCAACCAGTTACAGGTGGCCTTAATTACCTAACCTTTTTAATGTGATAAGGCCACCGAGGGTAAACGAGAAGATGGATCACCTGATAGTATAAGATAGAAGCAATCAACGCCCCCCATGGATATTCGCAACGCCAAAGTAGTAAGGAATGTGTTGTCGGCGCTTTAGAGGATTTGAGGTTTTAGATTAAGGGGTAAAATTGGGCCTCCAGTCACCTAGCCCACACGGCGAAACACAACACAAGCCTTGTGTGCTCAGAATACCGGCGTGAAACAACCACAGCGTTGTGTTTCGTCGTGTGAGTGAGGTTACCGGAGGCCCAATCCTTCCCCTCCCCCAATCCCTCCTCAATCCCCGAGTCTCCAAATCCCTAATCCTTAAAAGGTCGGCAACGCACTCATAACTCCTCCGTTGCGGGTGTTCATGGGCGACGCTGATTGCTTATCATCAGGCAATCCTTCTACTCGTTTGCCGAACTATTACACAAAAAAAAACATCATGATGGTAAGTATCATTAACTAAATTTTATTTGAACAGACTGCGTATCAAGTAAAGTTCAAAATGCCAATTGTTACTATGTGGTATTGCAGATGAACTCTGCACACTGCTTACCTTCAGACAATCTGACTTTCTGTTTGCTGCCTTACCATAAAATTCTACATATTAAATTAAATTAAAATGTGTTTATTGACAGAAATTTTTGTTCAATCAAATGTCAAAATGCCAGGGCTTTCCAAAAAGAAATCCGGAGACACTTGTGTCGGTAAATGTTCCTCATATAAAATTATATATCACTTACCTCTTCAAATTTCATTTCCTTCCTGGCTTCTTTGATGTATTCCCTTATGATGTTCATCTGTTCCAGCAACGGGTTATCGTCATCATCCTGGTTACTTTCAACTCTGGATGCGCTGGGCCCTGCCATCTCCTCCAACCTGTCTCTTTGTCTTTCCATTCTCTCTCTTTCCATCTGAATCTGCCGCTCTGCTTTCTCATACCGTTGCCTCCGAACCTCTTCTATTTGAGCCTCCGTCGGTAGCTTTCTTAATGATAAGAGATCCTCCTAAAATGAGAATGTTTGTGATTAGTTTTATCATATCTGGCCTGTGGAAGTCATATGTGTCTCCTCTAATCTCTATGAAAGTTGATCTCTATGATTTCTGCTTATCAGCAGTAAGTGTCTTTTGCAACACCCATAGGAAGTATAATGATAAATTCTATTTACTTTCGAGATACTTTTAACCTTATTAAATGTAATAAAGTTGGCAATCTTACAAGTTTTCGACAGTTCAGACTTAATATTCGTAGTTTCAATTTGAATATGGATTCGTCAGCTTTTGTCTTTTTATTATTCCATAAAAACACGGGTAAAATTGAAGAAAAGTTACTTACTTTTATATAATGTGCAGCTGCCTGTCGTATAGCAGTCTGTAGCCTGGCCTGCCGAGTACCAGGTTCAGCTGGGAACGCAATTATTTGCTTGCTCAAAAGGTCAATGCCCTCCGCAAGTTTTCCGATGCGCCCGCGCATCTTATTGACGTCTGTCAGGTTGTACGTCGTCTCACCGTCGAAGAGACTTTGACACATCTGTGGAAATACGGATATTGTTGGATTTTTAACTTTATTTGTCAGCGTAAGGTCTTTGGATTGAATATCAGGTAGTTTTTGAGGTTTGCACTGCATAGAAAATACGTTACACCACTTATAGAGCAAATTGTTTGGGTTGAATAGAAACATTAACTAACTAAAAATATGTGGTTTTGTATATACAAATTCCCAGATAAAACAACAAAATATGGTTATACTATTTAAAAAACGACTTGTAATATTAAGTCCAAGGTCACATCTGAGATTATGACTATGCAGATAGGCTGGAAATTAAACCCTGATAAAATTACAAAAGATACCTTTTCATACATAGCGACATCGGGCCTGGCTTTATCCATCAAACTCCTCATCTGTTCATAAGCAGTGACTAGCACGGTCTTAGCATTCCTGGTCTCCTGAACCTGTTTTCGCAGCTCTATAAGATTGTAGCAGTGCTCACAGAGACGGAGACCATTCTTTTCGGTGGTCTCATGATCTGGTGGGTTAGAAGTCTGTGGCACTGATGGGTCTACTATTGCTCCTGTAATTAAACATTGAGCATTGTTAATTAACCTTTTAATCGTAGTAATTGACTGCGCGGTTGCTGGGCAACTGGTTGCCGCTTACCGCGCAACGTGTCGCGTTCGTGTGTGAACAAAAATTATAACTAATTGGATAAAGACACTAAATTACGCAGACACTGAGGCACTATTACAACACACGAAATGAAACACATATACATACACATACCTACACACACAAACACACAAACACACACACAAGCATGCTGTTTAAAACTAAGTTTTCTATTTATTGTAAACTGATGTAGTAGAGCGGAGTGTCCTAATACAGGCATTATTTGCTTAAAAGGAGGCTCCAATCACCAACTTATGTTAAACTTTTGGTAAAGAAAAAAAGATTTTTGTATTTGTATTGTGAACAACTCTTTGTGTGGTGCACAAATTATGATTCCGTGTGTGTGAAATTATGTTTGTAAACGCACCACAACAAAGGAGTAAATGCTAGTGGAAGGCAGTTTAAAAAAACGAGTCACAATAAAAGAACAATAGTTACGTGAACGCGTTCACTTGGGGTTTGATGAATTAAAGTGGTAAACTTGAGGTACTAGATTTGACTTTTGGACCAGACAACCTGTTACGAACCTTATTTGGGTTGCATTATGGTAGAAAAATGCATCAAAAGAAAGATTTGTTACTTACTATCTTTTAAACATTTTTAAATTGTTTTTATGAGAAAATGTTTATCTCTTTCCGACTTTCAGAGATAATTAAGTTCAATAGGTAAGTGATTAAATATATTGGTAAGCAATAAAATGCTACAAGTAATATTTTTACATACCTAAACAATATGTGAAGTGTTTTGGAATAATAATTGGGAAAAAATAATGCATAGTAATAAATTATTATTCCGATTACTTAATAATTCAGTTATTGGGTACGGAGACATTATAGAATAATCATATTAGTATATTTTTTTCACCAGATTTATAATCAAACATCTTTCAATCGCTAATTGTATACTGCAAGTATTTAATTTTGAATTGTCAAGTCTCTCAATGTCATTAAAACATTGAATTGTTCCACACTTTCACCAGGAATAACTGTATTGTATAATGCTTTATTGTGTAACAATAACAATTGTCACAATAATATTTTGTATATTGATACAATAGATTTCCTCCATACATTTGTTTCAAAGAAAATCCACCATCATAAAATCTATGTATTAAAAGACACTCACGGGCTACATTAATATCTAGGAACAGAGAACAGTCGTGGCAGAGGATGGAGCCACATAGTCTGCAGTGGTGCTTCCTTCTCGTCAAGTTAAATGTCTTCGCACAGTTTGGACATAACTTCACCGAGGACCCATCTAACCATGGAACTACCTGGAAACAATTTTTTTATAATATTAAAATATAAACGCATACACAGAACTTGGATTGGTTTATTATTAGTTGCAATAACAAATTTTAATACATCTTAATTTTGTGTTACATTTAAATTAATCTCAATTATACATTCCTTGTATCTGTTTTTATATCATTATTAATATTAATAACATTTATTGGAATTACTTAAAACAGCATGAAAGAAAAATCAATACTTATGCCTGTATTAGTGTTATCTTAAACACATTATCATTTGATGGATATTAAGTTTTCCTAACTATTAATATAGATAATAGAGATAACCCGCTTGTACTATTATAACATTAGAATAAAAAGAATTACCATATATCATGTAAGGAGATATGAGTATTTTTCTCAATGATCAAAGCAATTGTTTTATTCTTACATAAAGAGATAGAAGAATAGCAGAACATAGATTAAGTGTAGAAAGCTTTAACAACAATAGATCTTAAATTTCTATTTGTAATCATAATTCAAAGTTGACTCACTTCCTGCTCATGTAGTTTTCTCTGGTTTGGGTCACTTGGCATGTTGCACACAAGCTTGTCCAGCCTTATGAGCAGCTTGTTAGTCTCCGTCGCGTACCTTTCAAGTCGCGCTGACCTCACTCCCTTCAAATAATCCGTAGAACTACGGGACACACCTATACTTTGCTCTTCATCCAAATACCGATGTTCCTGGTAACTAAACTTTAACGCACGATCAAATGTCTCTTTCAAGTCCGAATCGTCATTATTCAGTATTATTTTCTTCGCTTTCCCAAAAATATCCTTCAGGGATCTCAACACATCCTGCTCTTCAGAGTGTAAACTTTCGAAGTGGCTCGTTAATTGAGAAGCAGATTTTAAGTCTGCTTTACATATAGGGCACAGAAACCCCTCCAATATCTCATCTTCATTAGCCATAGCCATGGTGAAACAATTTTAATTAACCACCATTATTCATACACAGTAATTAATTTATAATTTCTTACAAGAGAAAGAAACTGTACACCCCCTCAGCCTTCACACAAATTAAATTGACGTTGACAGTGACAGTTGCGTTTGATTTTACGTAAGTATTATTTACTAAATTTCTCATCTTACTTTAAAAGTGAAATGGATTTTTGTAAAAATACTTAAAAACATTGGAACCATGGCCTCATAGAATATCGACGTGAAATAACGCTTGAGTTATGTTTTGCGAGTGAGTGAGATTACCGGAAGCCCTTGGCTCCTTAATAACTACAAAACACTTTCTACCTTTGGTATTGTGGGGGTCCAGAAACGGCATAACGTCACCTCATTTTAATAAAAAAAATCTCTTCGGCTAGTATTTATTTATTTATTTATTAATCGCAACAATTAATTAATTAGAATATTTTACAAGTATATATCTTTCTCCAAATTATTGAGTTGCCTCCATAATCATACATTATTCGATTCCAAAATAAACTTCTTATGCATTACTGCTTACACATATATTTTTTAAATGTTACCCCACACTGAGACTGAGATACATTTAATTTCACAAACACATTTTACTCAGACCCTGAATAACCATTTCTGCACCTCAGAGTTGTTCCGTGTGGGAATCGAAAAGACGACACGTTGCATGCCTGTCAACTGACAGTTGAGCTGAGCTGTGGCTGGCGTCAACTGAGCAGGAGAGAGCTAAAAGGAGCCACACAATTCATTTATCTTACAAATGTTTAAATAAAACCACAAAAATGATATTTACATAATTGATTTCATATATTCAGTAACATCGGTAAATAATTGTTTTAACTCTTCCAAGCAACTTTGTGTTTCTGGCCAGTTTTGTTTTTCTACTGCCCTGATGACTGCCTGGCCTGTTAGGCGAGCTGAAGATAGTTGTTGATTGGCTTGTACAATGTCTTTTTCTTCAGCTTCTTCTCGGGCTTTTTTACTAAGTTCCAAAACGGAATGCGCCATGTCTATCACCTTTTTACACGTCTCTGGGTTGTTAGACCAGTTGCCAGTCTAAAAAAGAGAAACATTTAATATGATTAACATTTTTAAAATCTTGTTACTTCTGCTATCCTGTTCTTATCGAGAATCCTGCCAGTTCCGAACTAGTTAACCTAGTTCGGAACTGGCATCGGAATAGAATTTGGCATATTCATAGATTATAACTAGTATGAAGTTACTTTAATGTAAAAAAGGGCAAAATTGCTAGCTAAAAAACATAAATAAGAACTATTAATTTACCTGTGTAAAACCTTTATACGCCTTCAACAAGCGCTGTGCCGCCAACAAACTTGTCGGACTTAAGTCGGAGTACAGCTGCCATATCTCGGGCTTATTTTGATGTATTGATGTTATCCTTCCGAATAACTCGAGAACTCGCTTTTGCAATCTATATGAAATAAAAAAAATTGGTTAAATTCATACATCTTAAATTACAAAGTAAACACTCTGCAGTAAGAGATTCCTTTATGGAATATACAATACTCATCTCTGTCATTATATTTATTAGTCATGAAAAACTGTGTAATATTTGGAGGTCATAAATGAATTTTGAGCTCTTTTTCACACTTTGTACACGAAACAAACACACATTCACAGCATAATTTGTGGTACTTAATTTAAAAAAAACATTCAGAACTACTTCTTTCTTAATCCATCAATTTCTTTCTCCCGTTTATTACTAACAAATAATCAAAATAATTCACCTAGCTGAACTATTTCCATCAGCATCCTTGGTGTCCGCCAAAATGGCTCTAACTAGCAGCTGCAAAACTTCAACATCTTCAAACTTTTGCTGCAGGTCCAGTAAGCGGTGGCAGCCACGGATGACATCCTCAAAGTGACCTGTATCCATACTTACTAATACTACATTCTCCCACAGCTGAGAAAGACGGAAATGGGTTTTAGTTTTATGTGGAAGTATATAAGTTCGCTTATAGGAAGAGATTCAGCGTTTTACTAAGGCTTTGTTAGAGTCGAGGTTTTTTTAAGGGATAGGCCGGCAAACGAATCTTACAATTAACTGATGGTAAACAATCGGCACCACCCTTGGACACTCGCAACACCACAGGAGTTACGAGTGTTTTGCCGACCATTTGGGAATAAGGGACTGGGCCTACGGTAACCTCACTCACACGGCGAAACACAACACTGTGGTTGTATCACTCCGGTCGAGCCGACCCAACCGTGTCGTCTCCCACAATAATATTTTAATATTTAGCGATCCAACTCATGGCTTAAACATCAGTTGGATCGCTTGATGGTAGATTAGTAGTATTTGATTCATTTTATTTTACTACAACAAAAAAAAGTTGGTCAACGCCGCCTATAAAAACCCTCAGTCTCAGTTTCGATTCTCTGGATTAATCTATTCAATTATTATTTATATCACAACTGGTGAGTTTTGACCATTTCTTTATTACACACATCTGTATAATATACACCTGTGTGCTTTACTGATAAATAAAAGTTATAAATAATGCACAAAAATTACCTTCCAGTTATCATAATTGAATCTCAAAGCCTCTATAAGTGCCCTGTACGCTCTCTTCTTGTCCCCTTGGTTGACGTACACTTTGGCGAGGTTGTTCCACGCTTCGAAAGTGTTGGGTTGAAGATATGTGTAGCGACGATAAGCCTTCGCCGAAACCTCCCAGTTTTCTGCCATTAAGGCTGCATATCTGTATTAAAGTGTAGAGAAAGTTAAATGTATACACATTAGCACGCATATTAGGTAAAGTATCCCAGAATTTATTAAAAAAACAGAAGCGTTTAAAGCCAAAACTGAACTAAAATACGCAAATCAAGTATAATTTTAGTCTATAGCACTAAGGAACATTGTTGTCGATTAGTGAAAGAATTTTGGAAATCCGACACCCCTGGTTGTTGGTTCCAAAAATGACCCCCTACACTGACATAAAACTTACAAATTTTACCTCTTTATATTATTAAAATGGTTCTTGTATTACGAAAAAGTATGAGAATACAAGGATTTTCTTAATAACAGCTGTTATACATATGAAGTTTATTAAAACTTTGTTTTATGTATACATACCCTAATCTAAGCCAAACTCGATCCTGTATAGAGTTGATTTCCACAGATTTCTCGAAATGTGGAATGCATTCTTCGTACTTCTTATGGTCAAACAAGAAGTTGCCCCAATGTCTCTGCGCTCGACTGCTCTTGTGGTTTGAGAACTCCCACGCTTTCTCATAACACTTTACGTCATCTGCAAAAGGAACATCATAGATTTATGTTGTTATTATTATGGACTAGTTTAAAACTTTTTGCAAAAAACTAGGGTAGGTAAATATCCAGGCATTCTTGCTAGTCAACCTTTAAATGATGCAAGAATAATATGGTTGATACAACAAAGTAAAAGAAAGAGAAAAATGAATTTATACAACTAGTTATATGTGTACACAACACATTAATACATACACAAAATGCAAAAATAGTTTATGTAAGTAGATACTGACAAAATTGCTGATTGTTCATCAGTCTATCTTATTCGTCAGTCCATTGAGCCAATAATGGCGTGACCAGAACACTTCTTAGAAACTTCTACTTCAAAGAAAACATTTTTTTTTTTTATTTAAAAAATGTTGCCGCACTTTAGAATTAGCTCCTGTTTTGTGGGTGCGGTAACAAACATACAATTTTACATGCTCAGCACATCCAGACCCAAAACAACAATTTGTGGATCACACAAAGAGTTGTTCCATAGGGGAATCGAAACCGCGACATGTTGCGCGGCAGCCAGTTGCCTAGCCACCACTCCAACCGTATAACTGAAATCCACCATTTCAGAAACAGGTGTTTGAAATTTATTATATAGAGTATAACTAACCTGTTGCATCACCTAGCAAGCAGTACAGTTTCACTGTCGGATTTATATCGATTTGCTGCTGTATAATTTCAGCTGCCTGTAATGGAAAATAAGGTTGACTTTCGATTGGCATCGCAGATAATAAAAAGCTGGACTAACTAACAAAAACAACTGTGTTTTGAGTACTACAGAGAAAAATATGATTATCTAGATACCTCACCAAACTGCAAAGCAAAAAACTTGGTCAGTCCAATTATATTGTAAGTAAAAAGGTGTAGATAGACAAGAGCTCAGCAAGTGATACATTAAAATGTAGATAACTAGCCACACTTTTCATTTTTGTCTCTTTTTAACTCGCGATTATTGAATCATGCCATCTCACTTTGACGTCTAAACATACGAATTGTTCATGTATGTATCAGTCACAGAATACAGAACAAACCAGAAGGCGTTATCGCGCTTAAAACAGAAGCAACTAAAACCACTCTTTAATATAGTAGTATGAAATTTCTACGATTAGTCAATTTTGGCACGTGGCATGTCGTGACGTATTTACGAGTATCAATTTTAATTTCATTATGCCGTCTTGTGTTATTACTACGAGTAAAAATGCGACTGGAAACACGAAAAAAGTGGATAAGATTACATTTCATCTGCAAGCATCGACTGCAATAGTATATTTAATTAATTATTGAATTTTTTTAATCGATTTATTTTTCTCTGAAAATTATGCGGCCATTTTGTGAGTGTTGTCATTTTTGAGGAAAATTTTACCCACTTATTTATTTTTCGTGGGTTATATTTCTGTCCATTATCTAACAAAAAAATTAAAAATCATACAAAAGGCACGGCTAGATTCATTTTGGAAACCATCTAGCCAGAGCATAGTTTGCTCAATTTACTTTGAAGAGATATATGTATTTATGACAAAGGTGGTTTGAAAACAGCATTTCCTACTAAGATATATCTATAGGTATACTAATTATAGTGCTGAAGAGTTTGTTTGTTTGTTTGCTTGAATTCGCTAATCTCAGGAACTAAGTAAAGTAAGTAGACTTCTAATCTTTAGTTCCGGGTCTAAAGACAATACATATTATAAAAAACTAAACCAGCAAAAGGGAACGCAATAAAACCTTCGCACTTATTGAAGCTTTGTTTTATTTGTTGTGTATAGTAGGTGTAACCAAAATTAACATTAACATTTATAGTATCTAAGTTTACCTATTTTTGTTGGGTTTACCCAACAAAATATATCTTACCCTCCTGTTGTAAAATTACCCCAAACCAAGGGAATTGTTCCACTTTCGGTAACACTAGGCGGGTGGGAAGTGAGGCTGGCGGGGGGATTGACGTATTGTTTTTGGACACATTTGACGACATGTAATTATGAGTGAACGCGGCTTCTGGTTTGTTCTGTATTCTGAGGTATCAGTGTGTCGTTTTTGAAAATCGAATTTTGTTTGGGTAACGTATCTACACTATTTAACTTATAATATCATTGGGTCGGTCGATCTCTTCATACCAGAGATCTTTGCTCTGACATAAGGAGAGAGTAATTTTATTGAAAATAACAACTTATTAATATGTGAATTAACTGAGATGGTTTCAATGGTGGTGATGGTTTTATGGTTTCAAGTCACAACGTGACTCTTATTCATGAGTAGCGCGTCGGAGTGACGTCACGCAGCTTAATAAATCTCTACTAGATTTATTAAGCTGCTTCAAACTCTTCTCAGTACATTCACGTAAGTCGATATTTTAAATAAATTTTGTATGTCTCACGCTAGTTACTAGTCGAAAGTGGAAAGAAAATTGTATTTAATAAAAATAATATAATCTACCTTATGCCTTAACTGCAGTGCAGTATAACACACAATGACATCTTCCCAGAGTTGAAGTTTGAGGTATTCCTCTAAGGCCGCCTTCACAAGTCCAAGGTTCAGGTACAGGTCAGCCAACTGCTGTCTCCATACCCAGGCTGGTTGCAAACCAGTCGCCCAAAGGTAAGATAATCTGTAAACCAGCAGTTTGATTATACCTCAATCAAATTATTTTTTATTTATATTACAAAATGTTATATTTTTTTGATATCTCTATGACTTAGTAAGAATATGTTTTAATGAAAGTAAGTGTCTGCTTTCATTAAATTCTCAATGCTTTGTGCTTTGAGAAGATAATAGGTGATATGATAAAGGAAGCGGGAAGCTGCTATATGCAAATCCTTTGTTAGGGGCTGTTCTAAAAGCTATTAAGTAGTAGTTAAGTTTTGTGATGGATGGATAGTTTATTTTGCAAAAACTTTGTAGCTCATAATATAATGATGAATAAATCTAGATCTGGACCTACCTAGTTGTTGAACTAGCCCCTGTCTTATCATTAACAATGGTCTCACACTGCAGCATTGCTCGCTCCACTGTCCTTTTGTGGTTGGCTTCCAGCTTGCATCTGATAAGAAGAGCAGCAACTCGAGTAGGCCACGCACCTTTCTTTGGAGAGAGAACAGCTGCTATGTAAGGCTCCAGTTCTTCATTCATCAACTCATCCTTTGGCTGAGCTTTCATTAAGTATTGCCTGCAAAAAAAGCAGGCTTTTCTTATCTTGTCATTTGCATGGAAACAATTTAGGTAAGACCATTCTGATAATATGACCATAATATAATATGAAATACCACATCAATCCTTATAAGAAAAAGGTGTTTATTGTGATATGTGACATTACTTTTCATTTTTTGATGTCAATTTACTCTAAACCAGTTTCACAACTATATGTACAGCTGTAAAATATACTTACACAGTCAGCAAACACAGAATTTGCTCTAAACTAGGAAGTTCAGCTTGGCTGATAGACTCTGTATATTGGATCTTGCTCAGTCTAAGATCATCTTGCAACTCAAGGTCAGGAGGCAGTTCAGCATTTCCATGGCTCTGTTCAGCTGTTGGTCTCTCTATACTGGAGTCCAGCTCACTTGATAGTGCAAGTTGAGGTATTATTGTTTGTTGAAACTTTGTTCTTTTGCCTAGTATACCTGTAAAATATTAATTTTGTCTTCTATTAGAGTAGATAAGGTACAATCCCTACAATAGCAAAGTTCATTAACTTCTTGACTGTTAATTAAGTCGACACAATAGAAAAACATTGAAGGAGAAAATATAGATCTAAGTGAGACAGATCTTACTTAGATCTGTGCTCTGAAATACCAGGAGATAAGACCCAACATATTTTATCTAAGCTTCTTAAATTGTTCTAAGATTAGATTTAAGAATTAAAAAATAAAGTGTAATGTACAAAACATGGAAAGTGCATGTTGTACTACAACACTTTTCACCAATAATGCTATCAGAAGGTTATGTAATATTGTAGTTATAAATACTATATTTAAAAAAATATTTACATTTTATGTTAAGACCAAAATTATAGAAGAATGTAGAACAACAATGTTAACATAAGTGGTTCATAAAATAAGCATAAAATCATAATAATAGGTACCTGTTAGTTCCAGTTTTAAGCCTGCAATGTCTCTGGCTCTGTTAAGATACTCTTCAGTTCTCTGCACTCTGCCATATATAAGGTAGGCCTGAGCTATCTCCATACACAATAGGATTTGCAATCTGGGCTTATCTTGAATCACATAAAGGAGGTTGGTCAATTTTGCTATAATAATTTCCAATTCTGCATACAAGGTGGCACTGGTATCTTCCAAACTCCTTTGATGGGCCACTTTACTTCTGAAGTACCACCATAAATGTAGCTGTAAATCAAGCATAAAAATAGTGATACCTACATATATATAAATAGTTGAATTACAAAAAGTAGGTTTTGGTACTCTAATTAGAATAAACCAAATATTTAACAAGAACCAAAGTGGTTATTTATAAAAACTTCTACTTTATTAATTCCAAAATCTAATTTTAAAATCTTATGAGAGAATTATACAATGTAAGGCAAAATTGTTTAAAAACTTTGCATTTTAAGTGTTTACCTAACTTTTGTGTTAAAGAATGTAATAAGAAGTTTCTATCTTACCAAGCTTTGATCAGCTTTACACAGAGCACTGAATACTTGTGTCGAAAAGTAAAGAAGTTCTGGATATAGTATATTAAGATACAATGGTTCCGAATCCCGCTGTAGCAAAATGTTAGCATCAATGTCTTTTGGCCATTCCACACCAAAATATTCTTCTACACTCAGTTTGTCTGGGTGGGGGTTCCAATTACGATCACAAAACGTCAAAAACGAACTAACGGAAACAAATAGAATGTTTCCCAAAACATGAGAATCTCTTTCATGTTTTTTCAATAAATCTTCCAGCGCATCTGTATCTAGACCTGTCGCTAACAATTCCTTGCATATTCCCTGCTCGTTGACTGACCACTGCTCTGACCATAACTTTTTAATGGATTCATTTTCTGAAATTAAAATGTTTCATTTTTTTATAAAAAATATACTGTAAGCTATCTTAAACAACTTATGTAGTTACTTATTACTCTTACCAGTGTTTAATTGGTCATCAAAATTGCACAAAAATAAAACTGACTCTGGTGTCATTGTCATGAAACGATAAAAAATTACTTTGATATAGATTGTCTAATTTTAAGAAAAAATCTGTTTATCTTCCGGTAGTCCAGTCTCGTCTCGTCTCTCGTGTTTTTGACATAAATATAACCTTAAAAAAATGACGACATATAGGTGACAGTGCTGTGTCATTGTCAAAGGCAATTTTTTTTAGCTGTAGCCCTACCTCGAAGTTGGCAAAATCTTCGAATGACGAAGGAGCCATAAACAAAAAGAAGAAGAAGAAGAACTGTAGTCCTAATTCTCTCTTTTTTAAAATAAAGTTACATTGTAAACATTAATGCAGTTGATTATGGTATCGTACTTAACATATTTTGCAAAGGTTTCGGCCCGACAGAATAAATTACTTAATTGAATAATTGTTGATCTTTTTTAACTTTTTCTTTGTCTATACCCTTGACCGTGAGTCTTGGAAAAAATAGTCTATGGCATACAAGATGGGTGTACTTTACTTTTAGGTTAGGGAATTAAAGATTTATGAAATTAAAGTTTGACTAAAATGAAATATATTTATAAAATGGAATCAGTGCTGATAAGTATAGCCATCGTTTTATGTAGCGTGTTACTAGTAAAACTACTTTATAAATTGCGGTAAGTTGGAGAGGTTATAGATAACGCTTTCCCGCCCGACTAAATCTAAAAAAACACATATTTGCTTTTCCAGGTCAGCTTTACCTTGGCGTGTAAACTGTTGGTTCTGTAATAGTGATTTTTGGGTAAAATATCCAGTGCGTAACAGCTGGACTTGTCCAAAATGTGATCAGTACAATGGATTTACCAAGGTAAGGTTATCACTGATTATGAATGAAATTACGACTATTATTATGTATTATATAATTTACACATCATGATTAGTTGCATATAAATCTGCACTGTATTATAAATGTAACGATTTTGTTTCATTTATTATGCTTCATGTAGTCTTATTATATTCGGTAATATTGGCAATGTTTCAGCCTTGTAGCTCGCAAAAGATGTGCAAAAAAATTGGCTAAGTATTGACTTTGCTCATTTGTCATCTATATCCGCCAAAACTCAACTTGTGGTATTTCATTATTCTAGGATGGAGACTACAATAAGCCGATTACGGCGTGCAGTGACCAGGGTATCCAAACTCCGAAAGTCTTCAAAAGAAGTCCACCTAAGAATGGCCTCTGCAAAATGTGTAATATAAATCAACAGTTGAAAGTGACCCAGCTAGCCAATTTTGTTCCTATGAATGATAAGAAGTTTGATGAAGAAATAGAATCATACAGGTAACACACCTTTGTTAAGCAGGTCATTACAACGTTAATGGATTACATAAATATATGTCATATCAACAAGTTTTTCATGCCATAAAAAGTTCAAATGACTTTTCGTCACCATATCATAATTATGCATTTCAGGCTCCCTGAGATTTGTCATATAGGTACTTGTAGACAATTTAGGAAGTTTATCTAGTAGAATGTCCTTATCTAAACTGTTGCTAATTGTATAAACTTGTGTTATCAGTTGCTTTAAAAAGTTATGTTTACTCATCCAGATTGCTATTATTAACCTCTGCTTATTCAAATTCTCCATAAAATGCTGATGTGAATAAAATTTAGCGTAACATGTGGCTCAAGCTGTGAGGTTGATATATTGTAATTAAAAAATTTCAAGATTTTTTTTTATGTAAGAAAAGTTTTGTAGTTGTATATGCATGGCGGCGGCGAGGTCGGCGAGGCCGGCGGCTCATTATTATTTGTTTCAAATTGCAGGTTGCAGTTAGAAAAGGCTTACAAGTTATGCAGTCCATGCCGTAAATTCCTCCAAATGAAATTGCACAAAGAGAAAGAAACCCTTCTGGGGTCCAAACTCTTAGAAACAAGAACTTTAGACCAGAAGTCTGACAAAGAAAAGCAATATAAACAAACCAAACTATTGAGAAAACTTATAAACAATACCTCAATGCTTGTAGCAGTTATACTTTTTGTACTGGTTTCTTTTGAACTTTACACAAACCTAACATTAAGACACAAGAATTTACTTAGTACAATAACTAATATAAAAGTAATAGTACTCAGTCTTCTAGAAAGAATATACTCTATTATTGAAATGAAGACAACTTTGACATTCCCTGCTTTAGAAAATTATTTCTATGACATAAATATTGTGAACATGATGCCAAAAAGTTTTAATTTTAGACACATAAACTTAGACCAATTAAATATATCTACTCAAGAAACTTTAGGAAGTTTTGTATGCTTTTTACAAATAATAGGACTCATCTTGAATGTAAACAACTTGAAAAATACTATTCTTATTGACATGCAATGGCTGGTATATGTTATTGCAACATTAGGACAACGCTATATGGCTGTGGAACCTACCTATTTGAGCTTAATTAAGGTTAGTAAAGCATTTATTTCAATTTTCAGTTGTTAAAGGAATAAGCAGAGCTCTCTAAAATATGTTCACATGTATGTGTATGTTTAACACTTAAAGAGACCAATTTGTAACAATGTTTTATTTAAAAATGTTGATTTCGTCTACATGATAGGCACTCTAGAAATTTACTATCAAGCTATAAAAATATGGACTATATTATTCATATCTTGAATTAATTTTTTTGTTACAGATTTTGTGTATGTTCTTTGTAATATTGGCTTATAAATCAATCAAGACAGAAGCCATGAAGACAGAAATAAAGACCCCAACTTCACCGAAACGAATGAAAAATCTTGTAAATTCATCAAAAAGTACAGTAATTGATGATGATGACGACACTATGCATTTAGACAGTGATGATGATGTCTCATTGAGCAAATTTGGTTTGCATAATTTTTCCGAGTCTTCAAATGAAAACTTAGGTACCTTAAATGCAAGTATGATGAATGGTAGAACTTTTACACCAAGAGCTGACAGTATATGGACACAACCCAAACTTAATTCCACATTTTGTGTCAACTCAGTGATTAGCAACAGTCCCAGTTCAGTATCTGATACAATATTTGTTAAACCTTCATTCAACAAATATCAGAAACTCATAAAGGATGATTCAGACTCAGAATTAGACGAAAGTATAAGTTCCTTGTGTATAGGTAGTCCAAAAAAGGCAAAAAAGAATACTAATTCAGTTTTCTCCCTGAGAAAATTTACTGCTACTCCCAGTTTCATTGCTCCTACGCCTATGGCTCGAACTAGGCCTCTGATATCGCCGAGCAAATTAGGTCATAGTACTTCTTGGGTTGCTGGTGGCTACTGGGGCTCCGAAGGCGAGCGTCAGATATTCAGTGTAGATGGAAGCCGTTCTTCGAGTCAAAGTTCGGGATTCGAATCTCAGACTTCTAGTGTAAACCAACGCAATATGTTTTCACAACCTCCTTCCCGAGAAGAGTCAATCTGCGGGGAACCAATGGTTTTAGATCGTTTCCCAACTATGAGTAGTTTAAATGGTTTCCAGTCACCACAGCACTTCAATCGCATAAGTTCGCCAGTATTTCCCCAGATGCAGTATAACAGTCATGTCCATATACCGCAAGCACAATTTGCTCAACAAAACACAATGTCTGCGAACATGTTTGTGCATCACCAGCAACATACACAGAGCAGTTTATTCAAGACTCCTGGCGGGTCTGGTCTTATAAAGCTGCCGCAAGTCAATTCCTTCTCAACTCGTTGACTCTTGACGACTAGTCAAACAACTGCCTTGACGTTTCTTACATGTTTTCTTTAAATTCTTACGTATATTTTTGTCTTGCTTACCTCTTTATTTTTTACATTTTTATAAAGTTCCGTGAACTGCCATTACGTTAAGAACATTTTGTTAAGTTATATCATGTTAGTTGTAAGCGATTGTTAGTTGTAACGTTTGAGACTAAACTTAGTTTGTAAGAAGTATTTGCTGATCTCGTGTTGGTGCCAGGTGTTGGCGATATGAAAGCATTAAGAATTATTGTATTGTTAACAATTTTTATATGGACGTCACTGTCCTATTCTCGAACAAAATGTGATATGTAAAGACTAAATAATTTTTTGCAAAAAGTGAAAATGATTCTTGATGTTATCATCGTTTTGATTTTGTCATCTTAAAACGGAAACTTTTTGTGAATTTCCTGCAATATAAAAAATAAAATTGTAATTTTGTTTTCATTATCAATGAAACCTAAACACATTCTTTTAGTAACGTGACAAGTACTAACGCATTTCTGCCCCTCCTTTCATTCGGTTGTAAATATTGATGAGATTGTGGAGGTACAAACGTGTCTGAATGTATGGTCGATATGTAGTCGGACACGTCTGTGCAGCGCCACTCGTATTCGTAACGCTTTCTTAAACCCCACTCCGTCACATTACCCTAAAAGTATATAATATTGGAGTATTACTACATAGGCGCTCGAGGAATCTGTCGAGAGCCGTATTTAGTTGTAAGGTTGCCAGAAACTAGTAAGGATAATACAGCTCGCATTGATGGAGAAAACACTAATGGAAAAAAAGTTATAACGACTTAGCAAGTAATGCAGTGGTAAGTGAAAGCGTACGTACAAAACATTTCAAAAGGTCAGGTTGTGGATAGAACTGATGTTGCGCCCTTTTGTAGTAACGCTGGATTGGGCCACACAGGGGCTTCGGCAGGTGGTTATACACCAGATCGTTTGTTGTTGCGTAATTTGGACATTTGTCGTGGCTATCCTGTCTTATTACTGAAGAGACATTACTCTGTAAGGAAGGACAGTGAATGAGATTGGAGCATATCAGTAAATTTTATAGTTACACAAAGTAAACATTTGTAAGTGCCTATCGGAACGAGAGAAAGCAGATTTTTCTCTACCCGTAGTCCATACTTGCTTAAATGTACAATGTACAAAATTATAATAATTATTTTTTTTCCATCTGACCTGTGTGCTATTGAGTTTATTTTGTCTGAAGTCGGGCTGTCTTGATTCGGGTTTCATTTTGTCATAATCATCCTTATCTTTAGGAGGAAAGTAAAAGGTACCGGTCTTTGGACATTCTATCCGGTCTTCTACCCAGTTACCTTTAAAATAGATATTTTACAAATTAAGTAAATTTAATAGTTTAATACAAATATTAAATACAACACATATTGCTGCCAAATTTCAGCTTTCTAGTGCTAACGGCCACTGAGATTATCCGCAGACTGACAAACAGACCTCAGAATACATTGTTCTGCATTCTGAAAAACAGACATGGCTAAAAATACTTATATTATTATGTTTCAATTGGGTAGTTTCCTTAAACGACGTTTCAGTACAATAAAATCGTTTCTGACATTTTAATAAAAGTATTGAATTTGACTATAATGGAAACTACCGTATTTCAATTTTCGTACAAATAAAGCACATTAGTAATTTCAAATCTCAGAGCAACTGTAGGCTCATTCATAAAATAATTTCTAGTTTTGTGCCCTGCTTACATCTACCGAAACTCTGCGATAAAACAACAAAATGAAACTTATTTAAATTATGAAGATAAGTGCTGTTAATTGGAATGTTTGCGTAATACTAGCCTATAAGAACTCCTCGGCTATAGAAGGGACGGTTCACAAAAAGAGTTTTGGCGATCGCCTGAAGGCGACCTGGCGAAGGAGGTCTTGTAGACACCACACCAACAGTTGTTTCCGGCATAATGCATTGGTAGCAGACAGTAAACGACTATTTTACAACATTTGATAATCCTCACATCTGATTATGTACCTAGTGTCATATTTCCATATTACATGTATTTATAAAAAATATATGTTCTGTCATTTTAATAATAAGTTCTTATATCTACTAGACTAGACTAGGTTTCACTCCCTACTCAGTTCCTTTTGACCGTAGCCAAATATAATTCTATAATTTGAACGAGTAATGCTGGAGATTTGCGCGTTCAGCAACAAACAAGTAAATGTGGGACTTGGGAGAGCCATGCTTCGGTAAGAATCGGCCTCACAGAAAACCGGCGTGAAACAACCACATCATTGTGTTCCGCAGTGTGTGTGAGTTCCTTAAAAAGGTCGGCAACGCACTCGTAACTGCTCTGTTGTTTTGGGTGTCCGTGGGCATCGCTGATTGCTTACCATCAGGTTAAACGTGAGCTCGTTTCGACCCATAATTTAAAAAAAAAGAGTACGAGAGAGCCATGCTTCGGGCCGAATGGGCCAGCGCGGCGTGATACTCCCACAGCGATGTGTTTCGCCGTACGAGTGGGGTAAACGGTGGCCCAAACCATCCCCTTCCCCATCCTTAAATCTTCATAACACCCTTATCTGCAAAAGGTCAGCAACGCACACCAAGTCCTCTGGTGGCACGGGTGGTGATAGGCTGTGCAGATTGTTTAATATGCTCATGTGCCGCCGTATCACACGACAAACCTCTTCAGCTCCATAATACAAATTATGTGCGTCAATTGTGGTAATAATCAGCTTTTTAAATACCCTGTGGGTTTTGACCATAGGTACTCTTACTTGCTAAATCTTACAGAGCTATTCTGCCTAATGAGACACAAATTATGTTTTTTAATTTTAATTTTTCAACAAATAGATTGATGGTATTGAGTAACTACAATAGTTATACAACATAGCAGTAACGAGTGAGGATAACATTTAAATGTAAAAGTTCTGGAGAATACAACGTGGTACAACTTAAATGTCAATAACATTATCTGCCACCACTTTCAATACAAGAGTTATCCTTTCTGCTGCTTCTCCATACTTCAAAATGTCTGTGTATCCAATTTAATTGAGGTCCACTTTTAATCCATTTCCATAGGCAAATTTAGGTTTGGTTTTGGTAGTGATTGTAATAGCGCAGACAGCTGTCCTTCCAAAGGGCCGGCCTGCTGTACCAAGTTTTTGAGATTCGTTTCAACTACAGAGATGTCCTGATTGATGGATTCCATACTCTGTGAATATTATCAAAATAGTTCATTATTATAATAGGTAGATACCCCACAGTTCAAATGTACAAATATGATAAAAAGAAATGTCAGTTATCTGATAGTTTACAAACAAACAGCTTAATGGATTTAGTAGGTCAGCTTAGGGAACATAGTCCAGTAAAGTATTAGTCTGTCCGGCTGGACTAATAAGTACTTAAACGAAGATAAAGAAAAAGTCTTACCTGTATTATTGATGTGTACAAATATTTGACGTCTTTATCACTGTAGCGGATGAAACCACTTACGTTCGACTCTGAATCTGATGGAGCTATTGAAGCCATTCTAGTATATACTACGTAAAATATTTAAAATACATAAATCGGAACACCGTTGAACTTGACAAAATTGAAATTTGAAAACATGCCTTACATTTCCATATCTTTATTTTAGTATATTAGACATTTTAGCATTGCAAGATTTGGTCTCAGTTAGTGTTAGTTAACCTTTTCTTATATCATTATACCTCATTTTTAAAACTGCCATGTTAAAATTCGGGAATCGCTTGAGATGTATCTTCGGAACGCAATTATTTTTCGTTTGACAAGCAAACTATCGTCTATCAATTATTACACAAAAGTTGTGTGGATAGTCGATTGATTTAAATAATTATTTAAATTAATTTAGTAAAACTTTAATATTTATAAATAGTTTAAGAGTCAATGTTTTGTTGTATCATCTACTAAAATCAGCCACCGGTTAAAATTTATTTTCGTGGTGACAATAAGTCTTTCGTTTCTAAACTTAAAAAAACGAATGAATGTCAATGTCATCCGCTGCGGAAAGAATCGCCTGCATTGGAGAAAAGCCAAATTTTTTCGAAAATCACTAATAAAAAAATACTGACTGTGAATTTTGTGTGAAAAACTCAAAATATTTTCCGGAAAAGTGTATGTAGTGGTGTTCTATCATTTTTCTCTCAAGTACATACAATGTTGTTTGTGTGGCGGATATTGTTTTTATTGCAAAGTTATTGATTAGATGCTGAAAGTAAAAAAAAATAACTGTGCAATAGAAAAACATGATATTACGATATTAAATATGAAAATCCCATCAAAAGTTGCTTTTAAATTAGAAAACGGTTGACAAAAACAACATAGAACATGCATAATCATTTTAAACTTTAACTACTTTTATACTTTGTTGCTTTATGCTTACCATTATGCTTTTCACATTTCATTTTTATCACTATCCGGATCTAATCAAACTTCACCGGTTTTAAATTTAAATTGTTTATAATACTGCATTGCATATTAGACAAATTATAAAAACCATACAATGGTCCAACATTATTCCCTCAAAATAATAAACGAATGTAATAGACAGTATTGTGGCTTGAAATCAAGAAAAATATACTTAAAATGTCTTAAATGTATTAAACATTAATCGATTTTTTGGCTGGACGAGTAAAATGAAAATATATAGAGGTTGCTATACGTCGATACTACCTTTATTAAGATAATATTTTAAGAATTATTCTTATTTTCAATGCAACTTTTTTTTCATTTTAATAATGTATGTAATGTGAGTGCAATATTTCAATAAAATCTCATCAAATAATTGAAAAGTTGTCTAAAAAATAATCTTATCTTCAACATATCAGGCCCATGTCAGTAGTATTGGCCTGCGGTATTGACCTGTGTTGTTAAACTTTACAAAAAAATACCACTCAAGAATTTTATGATGTTCCATTAAAACTATTTCTCATTTAATTCATATCATTCAAGTATAGGGAAATTATTTAAAATATAATAATAATATTCCAATTCCAGGGGTTAAAATTAAAATAATTAAATATTGAGGCACAATTTGTATGCATCAAATGTATCACTTTGGGACCCTCTAGCTCTAATACTAACACTCTCATTTAATGGATTTAACTAATATTACTAACTTTAATACATAGAACAGATAATGCTAATGAAATGAGTGCTAGTGAATAAAAAACATCATAAATCTGGAGTAACAAAACAACTGGATATAATTAGAAAATCTGTGAGAGAATCCTTATGAGACAGTATCAGTAATCATAACACTTGTAGTGATTTGCTGAGAGTTGAATAGGCCGCATTAGTTGGCAGTAGGTCGTCGGCGGCGGCGGCGCCGGTCGGGCTGGCGTCGCGACGTCGCCGGCTGCCCCCGCCCCGCACTCGTCTCGATGCCCCCACCCTCCCACGTGTCAGTCTCAGTGTCCCTTTACACACAACCAGTAACCACCCCTATTCTAACTCCTGCATCTTCAACTCGCAAGTTTGTTTGGTTCCTTTCGTTATTTTTTCCTTCACCTTATTTTATGGGTTGAAGTTTACTGCATAATACGTAGCAAATCCTAACATTCTGTCATATATTCTCTTATTTTGTTTTCCTATTATTCTTCTATAACAAAATTACAGTTAATAAACAAAAACAATGTGTTACTAAGTGCGTGATTGAAGAGTCATGTCTGAGGAACATGACCTGGATTTTCCTATGAACGACGAAAAACACGATGAAGAAAACGAAGAAAAAGTGGCCGGAGATGAGGACGCAGTAGTTGACACTGAACCGACGAACGAAAATGCCGGAGAATGTCAAATAACGGTAGATACCGAAAAACCAAGTGCCAATACCTCCAAAGAAGACAGTGCCATAGATGCCATAGATAAAGAGACTCTGAGTAGTGAGGTGGACGAGAAGAAGGATTTATATGGTGCCAACGAGAAATCCACGCTCCGCTGGACTGCGGAAGGGAATGAGTTCAAGATAGCATGGAACCTGCCACCGGGAACTGCTACCAACGACGATTACATCGCATTATGTTGCACAGGTAAGAAAGATGTTTGTTGATTTTAGTGGTACCTAGATTAAAATATACATACGTCCGAAAAATTACTTGTGGCGGCACACCATTACTCAACTTTTGAATGACGAGGTGCAAAAAATATATATTTGAACAATATTTGACAAAATACTAGAAGAATGGTATGTTTTAGTGCTAACTGCATTTAATAGCATCTAAGTTACGTAACAGTTTTCCTTAAGGTTATGTCACGCAAACCAGTTCAGTATTTTCTAGGGCGCCCGGCTTCACAATTTTGTAAAAAGTGGCCGTTATATTGCTTGGTTAGTTGAATGTATAACCTTAATAAAGAGAAAATGTATTAAATTCAAACTTAATTTATTTTCAATTTAAACTTAAAAGCTAAAGTTTTAATCTCTACACTTGGCAGGCTTGGAGATCGCAATCAGACATACTAGAGATCAATTCATTCAATGAACCGTGAAAACTTCAAACGTCTATGTTTACTTTTATTCATATCTTTTGGTTTCCAGTATTATTTCGTATTCCGTTCGATTGAATGACTCATGCCCATTTTTCTTGTGTTTATGTTTATAATTCTCGCTAATTTGAAAGCGATACTTTTCGCTAATTGGTTGCGTAGGTATGATGTTTCTGTCATATGAACCGACTCACTAATAAATTAGTTTTTATGTTACTTTGTTTATTTGTTTTATTGACTTTTAATTGTTTTTATTTGGCAATTTCTAACAATATATTTTAGTCCAATTAAACAATGAATTTATTTTTAGAAATAGCCATTAAATAGCACTTTTAAACGTTAAAATTGTATATAACAAAATTGGTTGAAGCCGGCATTTCCTATCTAACTACTTTGAGGAGAAAAGCCGGAACAAAGTCACGTAATAATTGAAAGAGACACGGACCTCTGTCTCTGTCAATTGTTGCTTCTTAGTAAGTAATTCTTAGTCATCTATCATTTTTATTTTTGCATCCAAATAAATTAAACAGAGATTCCAGGTAGTAAGTCCTTGTTGTGAATTGTACTGAAGTCCAGCACATTCTATGCATTTAACTGGTTGTCGTTAGGCAGTGTGTAGACTTGTAGAGACAGTGTTATATGACTCCCGGCTCGCAGTGGATTGGTGTTATAACTGTATACACGGGCTGCGGTACCGGTCATTGCATTAATTGACAACAGGAAGCGGCGTGAGTAATCGAGCTACCCCCCTTGTAGATAGTATCACTTGCGGGAAAATATGAGACGTTTGCGTTAAACTAACAATTATAAAACAAGAAACAGTGGTAAAATATACTAGCTAAGTATGAAAACAATTATAAATTGCCATCTCATCATATCAGCCACGAGACGTTTCTTCGTAAACTTTGGTACCTTAATGTCCTTATTTGCACCTGTTACCAAAATTTAGAATACAAGATTTAGGGCTGATTGTTCAATAGCACAGTATAAATATCATACAGTATTTTAACTCGGCCGCTTGAAAGAAATAAATACCTACAGCCGCGCGGTACGTAAACATGCGTTAGGGCTGCTCGTCTCCAGTATTTTAATTACCTTTGTCTACTTTCTGTTTCCATTTAGTTTTGTGATTGTAAATATCCTTTTTTTTATATAAACAAATAAAGTGCTTTAAAAATAAACAAACAAAATTTCTTTGGCCACTAATGCCGAACTGAACAGCTGACTACGAATGTTCTAAAATCACAACCCTCAAACATCAAAATATTACATGAGTCTAGTCTGTTTTATTGTTGTTATTAAATATTTTCTAGTATTATTCATAAACGCAGATAATAAACAAATATTATTAATAATAAAATACCACACTCTCTACTTTGAATTATACAAACTAACAAAACATACATGAACCGTTTTAACACAAGCGTAAGTAGGTAGGTACCTAACGTATCGTGATTCATTCAGAACCAGAACCGCCTATAACTACCTATTTCACTCGTCTCAATAACTTTATTCATATTAGGTATTTATAAATTCAAACATCTGTGTTCGTGAGATAACTGGAAATAATGATCCATAAAGACACACTAGGCTACTAGAGCCTAGATAGGTACATAATGTCTGTCTAAGTAAAATTATTTTATAGTTTCACCTTTACCTTTCAGAGTTTCCAGGTAATTAAAAAAAAACTTATGTCTGGATGCGTTATTGACGAATTCATGCAACCAAACATATTAACAACACAATATTTCCTATTCGTCATATTAAATAATGTACTCGAGCTGATTTCTAAATAAAAGACAACACACCGTCCGTTCGTCACTGCGGTACAGCCGCGTCTGTCTGCGTCCCGAGCGCGTCCCGACATCGGGCGCGTAGGTATAGTTCGCGTTTCGGCCGTTTCTATGAAGTTGAAATACTTGTAGATATTATTACCTTGTCAATAGTTAGATAAATGTTATCCGAGAAATAAAATTGTTGCTATCACTGTCTTATACAAACATTCTGATGTGACACCATCATAATTATTCCCCAGATAACTTTTATCTAACCATTGAAAAATCAGCCCTAAGAGTAAAACAAGAAACATCCATACCTTAAAACGTAAGATGGTACATTCTCTCAGTTCATCACGAATTCGACCGAAGCCGATTAATAATCCAATAATCTTTTACTTATCAGACTTGTTAATCTTTTCCAGATTAATAAGTCTACGTGTATATTAGGCTTTTAATCTAAATTATAAAGAATTCTGGATCCATACTGTGACAACGTGATTGGTACAACATTGTGCTAGAAAAAAAATTCATGCATAAGGATTAAAACGTGTTTAAACGAAGCTGCAAAAAGTTGCAAAATGTTTAAGTATCTGCTATACCAGCCAATTTTTCAATTAAAAATTTCAATACTGGTGAAATTTTTGATTTGCTTAATAAAATGAAAATAATCAGCAGTATAATTAAGCATTGAGGTTACAAAGTATGGTGATGCAATTTTCATGTCACGAATCAATGAACGTGCAGCGGAAATACTTATTGTAATAATGTTTATGTATAACAAAAAAAAAAATATGTTTTTTTCTCTGAAATGACACAAGGAACTGAATTTCTATCGTCAGAGCTTTCATCATTAATCATGTCGGTGAAGCCATTAGTGCTCGCTCTTTCCACTCCCTCTTGAACTGCACTTTAAGTAATAGTCTAATAGCTAAAGTCAATTAATTAATCTTTCTTTAGTTTATGAAATTCCCGCTTCTGAGAAGTATATTCGATAGTTAGATATTCAATTTTAATTAGATATTCAACTGCTACGGTATTTGTGACTACCGATCTTTCAAAATAGTCTGATAAATATTAATAGTATCTTTATCCTAAAATGTTACTAACTTTTATAGAGATTAATATGCATACTAGGTAATACCTAAGATATTATGAAAGTATATTGTCACCGTTTCCAATAAAGGCTAGTACAATTTTTATTTTCATTAGCTCCGCACTTATACTTTTGCGTACATACCTCCCATACGCGTTTTCAGTCGAAATCAATTAAAATTTGTTTGTGTTTAAGAGATTTGCAAGTATTTTTCAATTAGACCACTATATCCATTTTTAAACGTTAAACAAAGATCCTCTTTACCTCCGTCCTCTTTACGTTATTTACACGTCCCAAAGCTCTCGATGGAGAAGAACGACCAAGAAACTTCATAGTTAGTCTTTTATATTTTAACTCTCTTCATAGTAAATCAGTACGATCGGATCCCTTGTAACATTAAATTTGGCTCCATTATGTGTCAACATTCTAATACTTAGAGAATATAACCAACAACATAGAGCTGGCCAGCCCCAATTGACACCTCACCGGGGGTTGCGGGGTAAGCGCAATGAGGTACCGCGACCTCGGCACAGAGCAGGAGAAGGAACAGGGGGGTTTTTTAGTCAGTAAGAGTCTGACACTCCCTCCTGCCCGGCCCTGGGCGGGAGAAGTCATTTGATGATTTTCCCCTCACAAAAAAAAAAAAAAAACCGCCCAACTCAACCAAGGAGACCACCAAGGAGATGAGCGACGTGACAACTCACAATATACCAGCTACCTCAGCTGTGGTACATTTACCACATTCTAGGGACATTTTAATATCTATGTAATATTATAGTAAGACCTAATGACGACAGCTACCGTTTTAGAAAGCGATCAGATCATTTAATGGCGACCTCTAATGAAAGTTACTTCTACTTGCATTGCAGTACGTGCAGTTAATTAAGCAACATAAATGCAACCAGTTGATTATAACCAACTCCATAATGTCACTGCGTACTGATGCCGTTTACTGTTTATTTAAATGTAATTAGCTTCTATTTACCTAGGTATGTGTTAGAATTTTTATTTTTCCACTATTTAAACTTGAATCTTTACTAGTATTACCTGTTAGGCTACATATCTTAACCAGTTCCTTCATAGTTCAGGTTGTATATTGCGTTGCAAGTAATTATTTTACTCTTTAAGATCTTGGAGATTAGCTGTAGAAACTTAGTCATGTTAGTATTCTTAAAAAACACGTCACACTTCAAAACTTTAATGACGAATAAATTACGCGTCTAACTGAGGTCATTCCCGAGTTCACATAGTAATAGTCGCGAGAGCGCCGACTAGTCTATTAGGAAGTCAAAGAGGCGCTATTTAATTTTGTACGCGAAGCTGAGAGGTACCAGGGATGGCTGGAAAGTTATCTACCTAACATAGAAAGAAAAGACATAGGAAGCTCATTTTTTTTTTATTTTTCAATATAGTCCCCTGGTACCGTAATGCACTTATTACATTTGTCAATAAGCGACATTAAACCGTCAAAAAAATATTTCTTGGATTGGTCGTCAAAATGGCCATCCACAGCGGCCTTTATTTCTTCATCGGTCGAAAATCGCCTCCCTCTTAGGCTTTTCTTCAAATTTCTAAATAGAAAATAGTCACAGGGGCCAAATCTGGACTATAAGGTGGATGGTTTAGTTCCGTGAAACTATTCTTGCTTAAGACTGACCTTGCATGTAAAGCTGTG